GTAGTGACAGTGAAAACTATAAAGAATAGTTTTTGTTTAATTTGTTGTATGCTTTCATTATTTACATTAGTTATTAAGTCGCAACAATCGTATTCACCATATGATATTTTGACGTTACAATTTTGTCTTCCTAAAAATATTTTTTAAAAAAAAAACACTTTTATTTATTATTAGTTACAACGTATACTGTATATTCACATACCAGTCTTTAAATCTCTGAATCAATCTCGTTTAATTTTTGTAAAGCTCTCGATAGTAAAGTTGTAATGAACTTTGAATAAACAATTTAGTTTTAGATTTCATTTAAATTACCTCATATAAAATGTAATTTTATTAAATTTCAAAAAGGATTCTGACTTAATTTCAATTTTTTTTTCTCGTAAAAAACGGCTAGGCTTTTTCAACTTTATAACACACGAGTTACATTTCTCGAGCAGTTTCAGGCATATTATTGTTCAATAAAAACAGATGTATTCACATAAAACCAACAACTAGATTTTATACTCCACGTAAGAACGTCGAGGTTTTTTTTTTACTCGAGAACATTTAATTTATGATAACTGCTTTTCAATTCAAAACGTCGTCGAATAAGTTAAAGACCTTGTATAATTGTAAATATTTCATATCAAACAGTCTTGTGTCGCATACGGTCGATTACAAGGACTAATCATTTCATAAACGTCTTAAATATTGCACGATTGTAGTTTGGCAAGATTCAATGACCGGAAAATAGGTATAATTGACCCAAACGCTCGGTTAGAGCTCCTGGCTCGAAATGATCGGACGAATGAATTAATACTAGTTTAAAGCTGTCTTGTAATACTTAAGCTTTTTAAAATATTAAACGAACCAAAAATTCATATAATCCCCTACGGCCGCTCACGTAATAGTCGACGGTATTGGTTTTATAAGATTATTAAAATGTATTTGCCAAGTTTCTGGTTTCTAATTTTGCATTATCCGATATGCAAATAAACGTTTGAGGAAGTCGAGTGCAGAAAAAAACAAAGTACAAAATCCTTTTCATAGTTTTTTTTTTATAACTAGTTGTATAACTCCGGCGAATGGTTGTTAAATATTTTTTTCCTAGCTTCTATGGTTAAATTAATTATCGATTAATTACTCAACGCGAGTATACATAACGTTTTCGGATTGTCTTTGTTCAATTAAGATTATTATAATAATATATGCGTTGACCAGCCCGGTTGATCTCCTATCGATGCGGTTCGTTGGATGCAAACGATTAAAAAGCGTGTAATGCAATTATTCGTGTGGTTTTATTTTTTATTGTCTTGACCGATTACTCTCGTTGGGTTTTTTTATTTCTCCGGCTAGGTTAATTAGCATGCGATCTGACAAAAACCATAGACCACTGCCGTCTAAATTGCGGAGGAGCGATAAAACGCTGTTGTATTATATTATAGCTGTTATGTAACAATACACGTTGTGTCACAGGATTAGGCATACAGTGTCTAAACTCGCAGTACCTCGGGCAAAATCTTTAATGGGTCCGGTCGATATGTACAGCTGATATCATTGTCGAAGCCCTAACCGACCGCATGTTTGGGTTGGCCGAGATAACGTTGAGTGTGTACTTAAAAACCTATACTATATAGGTCGCCTGAGGGGGCTTTTATGATAAAACTGAAAATTAGTTTGTCACTACAGCAACTGATAAAGTCCAATACAGACTAGTGTGTTGATTGGACGACTGTAGACAACAATGTCAAAACATTACCAATATGCACCTAAAATTATAATTGGTACTATATTGTTGATAATATCACGTAGAAAGTGTTATGCAAATGATTACAAATCAATTGACGTCCGACCAGATAATAATATTTTAATAATATATCTATGTATATACCTGTTACGATACATGTATAGGTAATGTTAATATTATGCCGAAGACAAAATGTATAACGAGCTCTTATTATGCAGGCAGAAGCTTTGATAATTTGTCAATTTTGAACGTGCCCCGAGCTCTAGTTATTATACGCATTGTTGACGTCACAACAATTCATTTTTTAACTGATAGCCAACTACAGATGACAAAAGATTATATTGTTACCAATAACAGTGAATCGAAACTTATGTAACGTTTCTAGTTTTAAAAAACCTCTAATTGTATCACACATGCGGGGCTGACCCCATCTTATGCTATATGCAATACACAAAGCCATTGTCTACCTCTTACACACTGTACGTATAGTACACAATATATTATACTCTGTAATCTAAACTATTATATTTATAATTTTAACGACGTTTTTAAGTAATTTTTGATTAAAAAATTTAGCAACTGGCGGAAAAATGTTGCAATAGCCCGTCAGCTTGTTATTACATTGATCAAGTTATTACCCTAGCCAATAAATTTCTTGTTTAGCACCATTATAAACAGAGTTTGGGTCAAGCACAAAATGGTATTCAATTACTCGTTTTAAAAAATACACGTATATTTTCCGTTAAAGGTTTCAAAATAAAAAAGGCTAATTTTTTTACTTCAAATCTGGTTGTTACGTTTATTATTGAACGAGTTTGCCAGAAACCGAAAATTCCAATCAATAAAAATTCACCGTTCAAAAAAGTACAGGTAATCATTTATATACCAGTTAGTCTAAAAATGAGAAATAAATAAAAAACGGTTTAGTCAAATTATTTTTCTTGATTTCGGAAGGTGTGACTTTAAACTTATGACTATATAAAGTTCTTTCAATGATTGATTTGTTTTTCTATATTCTATGTAGACAAATAAATCGGTGTAGTTAGTGGTTTAACAATGAACCTGAGAAAAAATATATAATTTTAAAACCAATACTTTCTCGGTTCCAAAGGTGTAACGAGGACTAAATTATTGTTTTTATTTAAAGAGCATTTCCTCTTTAATGTACACACAGTTGAAGTTCATTGATTTTGATAAACAATCTATAATAACATATTTATCTACATAGGTTTTTACTGAGGATAAAACAATTATTGTAAAAGATAATTAATGTTAGTTTAAAATTATGAAAATATAGTCAAAATATAGTGCAAAATGTCTCAAAAATAATTTATAGAGGTAAAATAGTGTTGTAGAATATTCTAAACCGATTAAAAATAATTGAAGTGGCGGTACCCAAAAGAGTACAAGTAATATTTTATTATTTTCGGATAAACAAAAACCGTTCATATCAAATTATAAAATAACGTAATTAATTTTGTTTCTTTAAAAGGTTATTATGAATAGGAAAATACATAAAATAAGAATACAAAATATTTATAAAATTTAAATTGACAAATATTTTGTTAAACAAAAAGAGTAAAAATAAACTTGATCGTATACTAAAAAATAAATGAAAAATAAGTTTATTAATACATGATTTATACTCATATAGTCATATATTATACTTATATTTTATATTTACTTTCTGAATAATTAATGAGATATTATTTTTACGTATTATAGAGTTGTAATAATACTAATTTTATAGTAGAATTTAAAAACAATTTTAGAAAATAAATTCACTTTACCCTTTTGGTTTTTTTACTAATACAATACTTGTTAGTAAGAACAACTAAACTACATAATAATTGTACTTACAAAATCATACTATGATGTATGAACCTAAGAATTTTGAAATACATTTATACTAATTTGGTTAAATCCAATGGTAATGAACTATATTATTTTTTATAATTAAGTGATGAAATGAATAAATTTAATTTTTAAATGATGTATAAAAATAGATAGATATGACTTCTATATCACAATAACTACTCGAAAATGATTACAAATAAACCAATGTTGTTTAGCTATTTAAAAAAATTAAATTTATATTTATAGCATCTTACGAGATACAAATAAACATTTTCAATGCAAATTGTAATAATCGTTGATTGTTTTATTAAAATATAGAATACACAAATTCTTCTTATAATATGTTATAGGACACCCTATAGTCCCCTGTTGATCTTATATAGAACATAGAGATAAAAATAAGTTTCATTGACGAATATTTTAGTATTTAAAAAAAATAAGCTTTTTAAAAGTTGAAAAATAAATTATTTAAATAGACCTCTATGCTATATTTATACATGAGTTTACAAATTATACATTAATGTTAAGCTTTATTTAAAAATGATGTATAGACATACACTAAAACTTGATAAATACTGATATAGATATCATTTAATTATTATTAAATTTATTTATTTCACATTATTTGTTATATTATAAAAGTATTTTTAAAATAATAACATTGCAAAAAGTCATTTCAGTGGGGTCGGGAAAAGACCTGTAGACAGATCTATAGGAATTATTATAGCTGAAAGGGGGAAAATCACTTTTAAATAAACGCTTCGGTGCGAATGTGTGGTCTAATAAGTTGAAAAATGTTTAAATTTGTTGTGTGTTGTTCTCGATTTTAAAAGTAAAGGGATGAGATTTTTTAATTTCTGGCCCAATATTGTTCTCTACAAGCACGATTTCTGATTTATAGAGTTACTACTTACTACACGAAGAATTCGGTTCAGCGAAGATATCTTGGGTACAGACACAAAAATATAAAAATAAAAGCACATCATTTTAAATACAATACCCTCTCAGCTCCGCATCGAAGGTAAAATTTCCTAACAAATTTGGAACTAATTCGACTATTTTTAAATAAGTTATAGAGCATCGTAATTTGACGTTGAAAAATGTGTACATTTTTTGGATGTTTTTCCCGATTTTGAAGGGGCAGAGGTGAATTTTTTTATATGTTTGTTCCAATAAAGTACCTTACAGGTACGCTTTCTGATCTATAGAAATAATACTAATACAAAGAAAAAAAAATAATAAAACCAAATCATTGTAAAAACAAGATCTTCTCAGCTACGTAATATTTTAATATTAAATTATTAATCAGCTAAATAATATTTTAGTTACATTTTTTAAACTATTATAACCAAAAAAACATTTCCTCTGAATATTGTCAACATTTGCTATATTAAACCTCGGTTCACCTTGTCCACAGGTCAACAACAGCGAGGCGGTTCAATCGTCGGATCGTGGCCATCGACATCCAGTGATGATTACACGGACGAGTCAGAGTTATTTTCTCAGCCCCAACAGACTTTCGTCACCAACTCTGGGCCGTTCCGACATCAGTATTTGTTGCAGCAACAACCACAACTGTCCACCGCGGTGTCTACCGCATCTGCGCCGTTCCAACAACAGGAACAGCAGGACGACCGGCAGAGGCAACAACGACAACAGTTTACCGGATTCTTTCCCGAGCAGCAACCTCAGTTCCAACAGTCAACCCGCTTTTTGAGGCCCTCGGCGCAGACCGCCTCACCCGGATGGCGATGGCAACCGGCTGGCCCCGAAATTGTCGAAAACCAATCGGCGGAACAGCTTGGCAGTGGCCGTAGACAGCAACAGCAACCGCAACAACAGCCTCTGGTCGGCTTTACGGCTCTCGTGCGGCACGATGAGCCGGCTCCGGCGGTGACCACTCACCGGCCGCAACAACCGTGGAGAAATGCGGCTTCCTCGACGTCCGGACCGTCGAACACCAACTGGAGACCGACCACGTTTAGTCCACCGATCGCCCATCGGTTTACTACCGTGACCAACATTAGATCCACGCCAGCTGCCGCACAACCTTCCCGACCAGGTAGATTACAAGCGTCGTCCACTTCGGTCGAAGAACAGTTTCCGACAAGACCGTCTCAACAGCAACAACCACCGCGACGCAGACGACCCAACGATAGCGTCCAATCGACACAACCTCCGGTCACTACATTGAGACCGTCACGTGCTCGAAGCCAGGTCCACCCGGTATCCACTAACAGGCCCACCACGACCACTACTAAACGACCAACACAATCGGTGCCCCTAGACACAGACTACGAGTACGTGTATGAGATTGATGACGACTCTACTACCGAAAGCACGGCTACTACAAGTCGTAGCACAACAGCAGCACCGTCGAGGAAACCTCCGACGTTGGCCGAAAAGAAAAAGATCAACGGACCGTCTACAGAGAGCGGACGGACGGTAACCGTCGTGCAGAGTAGCCGATCGTCAGTTTCGTCGTCTGTGCCAAAACAGTCAACTACGATCACCACTACTACAGCGTCACCCGCGACGGCTGAAAGTATAGTCGATAAACTTGACAGAGTACAATCTGGACTTGCCGACGGCGTTTTGTTAAACCGATTATATCAACAACAACACGAAGTTGACGCTTCAACGGTCGCCACGTCCACTACTACTAGCACTACCACTGCCCTTCCAATAACGACTTCTTCTACTACTACTACCACTACTACCCCGTCTACTACAACGACCACAACAACCACAACTACATTACCACCGCCAAAGAGCACTACGCGAAGAAACGATGACGACGACGATGATGACGATGATGGAGGAAGCGATGATGATAGTGGTACTAAGTTTGTCCGCAAGTTTGTGCCATCCAAGCCCCGAACGTCGACCGCCGGTATCACAGGTAGCACGACCGCTAAGCCCGCTAAAAAGAAGAGTTTACTTGACTCCGTCATCTTCAACGAAGAACCGTTGTCGGCCGGTCTCCTTCCGCCCGGTTTCGACGTCCGTCCAGCTCCGGCCTATAGAGCTAAGGCTACCACGACCACCACCAGCACTACTACGGCGACACCGTCTACGGCCGCAGTGACTACGGAAAAAGCAATTAAGATCAAATTTGTTGACGCGGCCGAAGCTTTGCCGCCAGGCTTGCTACCTCCGGGTTACAAGCCACTAGAAGAAGAACCAGAGAAAGAGTCTAGCGCATCGACCAGTACCACCACTACCACTACAACAACGACCACGACAGTCGCGCCATCGACGACAGCAGTTAGCAGTGGAGTAGTTTTCCCCGGCGGACCAGCCACCAGGAAGCCGCTCCCTCCGCCGAAGAAGCATGGTGCTCCGCAACCCGCAGCGGTCGCCATCCAAAAAGGCTGGCCAGTCAGGTGAGAAAATCAATACAGTCGAATATCGTTAATTTTTTTTATTTTATTGATAAGTAACATTAACGCTCAATATTTGCAGGGCAACGACAGAATTTTCGGGATGGCCATCTTCAGCGCCCACGGAAGAAGCAAGTACCACCGCCACGGTCACTTCTAGTACCACCACGACTGCGGCCACAACTACTACCACAACGACCACGACTACGACGACCCCGCGACCGCAGTCGACGACGCCGGGCGTGTGCCGTGGAGGTGAGGTCGAAAACAACGGTAAAACTGGCTGCGAGCTTGTCGGCACAGTGAGACTAACAGCAGGGACTCAATGGTCTCCAGATCTGTGGGATCACAACTCGCCTGGTTGGAGACGCCTAGCGCGAGACGTTGAAGCACAGGTATGTACTCTACGCTTAACGTACTCAAATTATCAATATTATTCTTAAATCGTTTACTGTTTTGCGTTACAGTTGGACTCCGCGTACGCCGCGTCACCGGCGTTAGGACGGTGGTACCGTCAAAATGGAGTGACCGTCGACTCATTCAGGTATACAAACGAACTACACGACTTGTTTAGTATTCATAGTAATCATGTAATATTTTTCATGACAGTCCTGGCGGCGGTGCCGATGAGGGAAGCGTGCTCGTCGACTATTTTGTCAAACTGGACACGGGCGGCAGAGGCGAGGTGAGCACGGCCGAGCTGCGGCGCATGCTGAATGAGGCATTGGCGACTAACGGCGGAGAAGGCGATTCTCTTAAGTTGGGCACGTTCGCAATAGATCCGGCAAGGACGGACTTTGTCGGTAAGTAGAACTATGAGGTGCATTATAATTTCAACAACCCTAATTTGGTTGTATTCCGACGTAGTGTTGCCGCCGGGTAGTGGCGGATTTGGTGGATCAGCCGGAGCCGGAGGCAATAGCGAGGATCCCACCACCGCGTCGTGGCTACCCCGATGGGCGGCCGCTGTGGCCGTAGTGGGTGCATTGGCCACCGGTCTGTCAGCTCTGGTATACTTTGGAGTTCATGTGGTATGTGCAACGTGACAACATACCTACGGTGTTATTTCTAATATTTATTTTGTCTACAGCTTGTTGGCCGCAGAAACCGCCGGGCTACCGGCAAGAAACAGGTCGACGACGACGGATGGCGGCACCACGGTACCATGGGCACCGGGTACACGGGTACCACTAAAACGGCAGGTAGAGCTCCTGCACCACTGCCAGCCCCGCAACACAGGCCACCGCCGTACAATTACGGGTATGACGATTTCGACGACGGTGACACAGTAACGCTGGACGCCGATGATCTATTGGACGACGACGACCACCCCAACATCCGCGGATGGGAAGCAGTGTCCACCCAGAAAAAGGTAAAACAATACCCAAGTGCACAATATCGTAGTGACGGGATAAAGGTCTTGTGTCTAAAATTGATCAAAATAATATTAATTAAAAAACAAAACATTAGGTTTATCGCGTGAGGCTTAACGAAACCTCGTCTTACTCTATAATTCAAAATAATTGTCGTTTAAAAGAGCCCCTTTTATCCAAGCCCCTCATTATTGTTATTATATTATAATATGTAATTAATTTACTAAAGCTCGGTGCAAATTACCAGCAGTACCGAAGTGGTGGAGGAGGAGGATACGGAGGAGGAAACGGAGGATACGACAGCTGGAGGTCAGTGGTTGCACCGCCGATGACCGTGGCTCCTGCGCCGCCACCGCCGGCCTACGGCTATGAGACTGGCACCAGCTCTAGGTACTACAGATCGGACCCTTACCATCATCACCAACAGTCCCAGCGGTACGAAGGCACTAGTAGAAAACCGCCATACCAGAGTACTGCCGACTATGACACAGACTTCTAGTGGCCACGGACAATACAAACCGCTCACACTACCTTTATTTTTAAATTATAAATAATTATACCCCCACGTTTTTATACCATATTTTTTATTATTATTATTATCATTAATGATTTATAATTTTTTTTTAATATTACTTTTAGTCGTTTATATATATATATATATTATACAATTACATATTAAGTATATTATATTACTCGTTTTTTACATTGCTTTTAAACCTTCTTAAGTCCTACAAGAATAATGGATTATTAGTAGTGTAACTATATCAGCTAATCACTAACCAGTGCAGCATGATCTCTTTTCTATAAAACCACTTATGACTAATAAGTTATACATGTATGAACTTAAACACGTTCACTGCGATTGCGAGAATGGAAATGTTTTATGTCATGGGTTTGACATGTTTAAGAGGCGTATTTGAAAGTTTAAGATATCATAACATTTTGTTCTCTACTACTTTTCATCAAAGCAATAATGTTAGAAAGTAACAATACAAAAAATTATTATTTTTATTGGTTATAATATTATATGGAGAACCTTTTCAACAAAAAAAAACTCAATGAAATAGAACCTTATCGAAGTGAATTCTTCAAAATATACGGTTCGTGATAGAAACTTTAAATACCGAAGATTACCTCTATAGATTGTATTGTTTCTGTGTCAAATTTTAGCTTAACAACAATAATTGACAAAAAGTTTTTTTTCGAAACATTACTATATAGCAAATTTGTATTTTCAGGTTACAATCACGTGTCTAAATACATAATAATAACATGTTCTTAATGTTTTTATTTAAATAAGTATTCTGCCTATGGCGTTCTTTAGTTTTCTCAACATTCTCTAAATTGATATACCAACATACGTACTACTGCTTATTGGAGTTTTTGTCTAGCTGACATGGTCTTCTACTCTATTTATATCTTATAGGTACCTATCTACTACTATTATACTATACCCTAATATGCCTACCCTATAAATGTGGGTTAAGCAACTGAAAGCTCAATACTTCTGTATCTTTGTTTAAAATTTTTAACCACTTTTCCTTGGCCTATCTTAACCTTATTATTATTAATTTTAATTACAATAATGTATCGCTCTTCATTTTCAACATAATTAAATTTTGATTAATGAATATTACATTGATAAAAATTCACCCAGGTGTAATATGAAAAAACCTATTTGAATTTATATGCATGCATATGATTATTAGCTTATGATTTGGCAAATCTAATGATTTTAATTTGTAATATTTATTTTTATCGCATTTCATAAATTTTAAAATTATTGTTCTCATTATAGTATAGTTTAAGTTCTAGTGCAAGAAAAAATGTATTTCAGTATTAATGGATTTATTAATAGTTCAATATTTATTTAAATTATTTTTTTTTTTTGGATTCGTTCATAAGTCTATAAGTTTAAATTAAATTACTAAATTATTATACTCTATTCAACTAAAAAACATAGTTAGTGGTAATATATCGCAATATATAACACGGATGTCGTGGTCTATTAGCGTGGCCACTGTCTTTATCTCTTATCTTGTTTAGAGTATATTATAGTTCGGTCAAAATAGACAAGAAAACGGCAAAGTATGGGAAAAATTACCGAAAGCTGAATTTTGTTACACAAATAGATTGTACCTAACCAATGAACATACTAAACAAATCTTGACGCCCACCCCTTATGTATAGTCTCCCATCCCTCATAAGGGTTATATTGATCTTCCCACCGTTTCACTTATAACTCGTCGACCGTTTATTTTCGACTAAAATGTATAAAACCAAAATGAATGGCCGTCAAATTTAACATCAATAAATAAATAATGAATTGGATATGCGTATTCCTATGAAATATGTAAAAAAAAGCCAGAGCACTAATGAGTAGTGGGGAGAGGTCTACAGGAATTATTATAACTGAAAGTGATAAAATTACTTTCAAATAAACGCGTTCATGCGAATGATGAATGATGAAAGATGGTTGAAATACAAATATCGACAAAAGAATTGTAATGACTATAATTTGCTTGAAATTGTAATTTTTGTATTAGAGTTAGTTTTGGTTAGCGATAGAGTAAGTTGCTATAAAAACTATGTACTACAAAGAGACTGAAATGGACTCATTTACCGCTGATTTCACATTCGAAGAGCTTAGATCCAACACCTGGCATTTAAACGGTAGACGTTTGCACTTAACTTAAGATACTAAAAGAAAACCGTCTTCCGATAGAAAAGTGGAAGAAATTAAACGTATTCGACCTTCTAAAACCTGTGAAAGACCCAAGCGACCCGAAAAACTTCCGAACCCTACCCTTACTTAGCCAAATGTATAAGTTCTTAGAAAGACTGCTGCTAAATAGAATTATGCTAACAAAACATAATTTGCTGATCATTGGATAGTGATCCATTATCCATATTGAAATTTATGATGGGAGGAAGGGTGAAGTATAGTATTATTTTTCAGTCAACAGCAAATTATTCTTATTCTAAAAAGTGAATTAAATATATTGGTTAACATTTAAGTTTCATAAGTTGATATCGCTATTGAAATGACTAAAAAAGGTAAATATTTGGCAGTTGTATAATATTGTACAATAACATAAATGAAAGTTTTAAAAAATTGTAATTATTTTCCGAAAAAATAAATGTCTAATCCTTAATGAATTACCTTGTATATCGACATTATCGTTTTTTAATTTTAGTTTTTATATGCTAGTATAGTTTCAACACAGTTATTGTTTGAAATATTTTATTATTTTATTTTATTTTAGCTATTTACATTTTTTTTTATTATAAAACTATGAAAAACACTTTAAATTTTACTTTGAACAACACGTTGATCATTATTATAATTCAAGAATTAAAATTAATAGTGAGTACATTGACTCAAGGCCGACCAAAAGTATAAAACCCAATTAGAAAATTGAAAGAGGTAATTTCGATTTCCTCAAGTGTTGTAGGCGATGACAAAATTAATTGTTACAAAGCCCAAGAAGTGGGTTTTCAAACTATGATATAATTTATGGACATTTCAATGAGGTCAAGCTAAGGCGAATGAATCAAGTTGTAACTTTAGAAAGTGCTAAAAAAACAACAATCCCGATTAGACATGATGTTATTCCAATAAATCCATTATTACTTTTCCAGAGAATAATGCTGTAAGTGAAGACAGGTGAAGAAATAAAGGCATATTTTGAAATATAAATTGTCACCTATTATACTATCATTGATCGACTAATCAGGTTATATGAAAGAAACAACAATATCAATTTGTATACAATGTGTTCCGAATTACTTAGAGTTCTTACGATGTCCTGGATGAAACTGAGTTTAATTTTATGATAAAGAATGACAGTGGCGTTATTGCCCTCGACGTTTTTGGTATTTTCATACTAGAGATCATTTATTTTATCACACATTATTAAACATTTTTAAGAGGCAGTATTAGCTCATGCTCAAATTAAATTTAGGTAGAGCAACTTACCAGGTAGTAGTAAACATAGGTTTCCAATCTGGACTATAAATTATTTGCTTATTTTTCGCTATTCTACCAAAATATATTATTATACTAGTTTTGAAATGGAAGGATTGTCTGTGTGACATTGTTATAACATACTATGACAAATTTAGAGCTAGGCACCTTATTTTACCTATTAAGTTATTTAGAGATAGAAATAAAATACAATAAAAAAAAAAGCTTCGATGCGAATCTGTAGATAATGGACCCCACTTGGGTAATTTCTCACCGTTCTAGTTTGGACTGTTCTGGTTTTTACTATACTTGGTTTTACTGATCTAGTTTTTATTACTTCACTTTTTTTCATAACTAGCTCTTTTATATAAAATATTATTTATTATGCCGATTTTTTTCTTCTATTATTATTATTATTTTCTGTATAAGTATTTAGACTGTTTTGATTTTGAAATATACTTGGTTCAAACTGAGCTAAGTTTTATCTGTATTCAAATACATTTTAACCTACGTATGCTAGGTTTAACTTGTAGTTTATGTTAAATGCTTTTACTATCTGTACTTTAAGATTTATTGACTGCTTTGACTATTTTTTTTATTGCTTCCTGAGCTAGTTTATTAGTTATTACTGTTATTTTTAACGGTTTTGAATATTATAAATATAAAATATCTAAAGAAATGAATTTAAGATGTTAGGTTACCGTAATAAATTCTTAAACATTACTGTGGTTTGATTTGTTATATTATTGTACTTTTAAAAATAAAAATTCTAACCATATTTGTTGATAAATTTTAAATATTGTTTTACCTTATTATTAATTAGATTCGTTCCTAGTAAAACGTATATTTAAGATATAAGGTAGGACGAGGATGGCTAGTAAAAGGAGTCTACATATATAGGCATAATATTATCATCTTTCACCCAGGTTCTTTTTTATCCATAGCTATATTGAATAGTAAAATTGATTAATTTTCCCAAAATAATGATATAACTTAATAATATAAGAAAAATTATTATAATATTGATTTTGCAACCTTAAATTTTATTAATTTTTTGACGTCCATGTCCATGTCCACGTCAGTTTTTTGTTTGATACATACAAAGTACTGATAACCATCAGTTCATAAAAAATAATATGTATGTTAATATTTTGGTTTGGATGCGGTTATTCAATTTTCAGTGATTGGACGATTACACTCTCCACTTCCTGCTTATCTATGTACATGCATACATGCATTTTTTAATAATCGTTTCCAGTTATTACAGCACAGTCATTGTCGTGTTAGATCATTCACCCTATACCTAACTTAAATTGTTTTTGTAACCAAACTATAAACATAATGACCTGTGCATAGAAACGGTGTTCTATCTAAAATCAAATTAAAGTTATAATAAAAAACAAAATTTTATTATATTTACAGTTATCTATTGTGGTTTTGAAAAATGGTGCAAACTATATGGAGCAACTTGTTAATTTGCACAATCTCATGATTATTTACTAGAGTGTTTTAATAGAGATTAAGGCGCTCTAGGTATTATTTACTAAATTACTACCTATTAGTATAATAGGAAAAAAGTTGTTTAATATTTATTTTGTTATTAACTTAATTTATTTTTTGCTTACTCTTAAAAATAACGCTACAGGTTATTTATAATGAAATAAATATTACAACACTCGATTGTCAGACGCATTAGCGACTACAAGGTGATAATTTGATCGTGAACCACTCAATATATGATAGGGCTTAATAAGAAATTTAATTTGTGTTTTTGTAGAATGTAATATCAATTTTTGACATTTTTTTTTTGTTTTTACCCCTTACCCACTTTAGTTTTTTGATAGCAGCTTTTAAAACTTAAATGGTAACGCATACATTGGGAAGGGAATTGCGGTTGGGAAGTGCACGCAGATAAAAATAATACTACACTCCACCTTCCTCCTGCCCTAAACTTGAAACTTTAATTACTTCAAAAATAGTTAGCTAAAACTGGTTATCGACCTGTCAACATTTTTAGTACATTTTTCTCAATTTAAAAAGTTAATAAAATGTATGCGTTACCTTTTAAGTTTTAAAAACTGCTATTAAAAAAATTAAGTTGGAAGGGGGTAAAAAAAAAAAAATTGATAACACATAATCTAAAAAATTATGAAATAAAGTTTAATTTCTTATTAAACCCTATGAAATATTGAGTGGTTCACGATAAAACGATGTATATGTAATTATTACTTTTTAATTATAATTTTTGAGTTAGATCAGTAGTTATACTTGAGAAATTAGGGACTATATTAGAAATGAAAAGTTAGTTTCTTCATAGGCTATATTCATAATGAAAACCGTAGCACAATTTATTAACATAAATAAACAAGGTTATGTCTTTAAACTACCAAATTGACTCAATTTATGTATTTAAAAAAATACAACCCGTCTAATGCCTCATCGAAGGCCTAAAAAATCCCCTCTCATACTGATAAACATTTTTTTAATTCGTATAAATATGTCTAAACCTAATAATTACTAATGTTGTAGCTATATAAAAATTGCAAAATTATATTTTAAAGGAAGAATGTTACAATATAATATTTTACAACTTTTTATGCTTATCGCCTAGTGTTATAACTTATTAAACTATACTTATTTATCTCAAAATGACAATATTTACATGTACACCTATATCCCGTATATAATAATAATTAAAAAATAAAATAAGTTTAACATGCTAAATACATTCCAACAAATGTATCTAACATATCAATGCTATCATAAAATGATCAATTGAATATTTTAAATATATTTTGAGTTTAGAGAAAGTTGTTAAATGTTTTTTCTTGTCAAAAACAATTTTATTTGTAGGCTTAAAAGTATTCTATCAGCGAAACCTCGATGGCTCATTTTTATTTATTATACCCTTATAGCACCGGGAATTGGGAAGCTAATGGGAAATTTTCGTGAACATCTCAAAATAAAATAGGAAACCAACAGGACTACACCAAGTATGGAAATGTATATGGAAAAGTAGTCCTATCAGCTATAGTAATATAAAGTAATATAGACCATATTATATTATGTTTTAAAGTTCAATTTGAAGAGAAAATAGTAACTACTGACTGATGTTACGTTGGGCATATCAACGAATAACGAGAAATAACTGTATTATTATATTTAGATTTAAAGCATAAAATATATCAGATTTTTATGACACAATTTATTTTCACAAAACAAAAACATACAATGCAAAAAAAAAAATATATAATGACAATAAAAATTGATGCATCACAATTTGTCACAAGTTCCTCTAATCTGATTATCTGGTGGTCGGAAACGATTGTACGGTTACACCGACCGTCTGCCTGGGGGACAATTCCGGTACTTGGGCCAAACAATGAGGGCATCTGCTTCATCATAATCATAGGCATACTCTATTATTTTTCTCGTTGTCGTTGTTTTTTAATGTTAATAATATTATTATTATTATTATTACTATCGTCGTTATAACGCACAGCCAGCGCTCAAACAATGAATATTAAAATACATATTATTCCACCGTCGGACGACGGTGCTATGAAGAAATCTCACTCCGCGGTCTGATAACCATCGTGCAATAGCTTCGCGCATCGCACAGTATATTACTGGCCGAGCCGTTGTCCTACTAATAGTATTTAGACAGGGCCAGCAGTAGACGTCCAGGAGTAGTGGCACTTTGTGCAGGTATAGTTGTAGTATTTTGCAGCTAATAAGGTTGCGATGGGGCAAGTGCGAGCACGCCAGGTAATTAGCGCGTGACCGACAACAACATCAGTAATTATCGAAACGGAGAGATAATTTTGGGTCCGCGTGAAAAGTGGACGATGCATTACTATAAGTTGATTAGGCCATGCTAGAGTTTTCATAATCGTAGTCTGAATTCCCAGTAGTAGTAGACGTGTTACAATATTTAAACACAGCAGCAGCAATAAAAAAAAAAAAACGATCGAGCTCTGCTTGATTTTCAGCCGATTAGGTACGCCTCGCCCGAATCATACACTAAACAGTATAAAAACTTCGAATCTAAATAAGTACACGGAGTCACAAATTGTAGCAAACATCCCTCGACCCGAGATTGTGCACAAAAAAGCACATCAGTATTTACCTAATCTAACGGCCAGGGACGAAGCGGCACTTGACCGTGGGTTATATTTAAAGCTTTAAAATGAGTGTCATTAACATTCTCAACACCATGATAAAGAACCATTTCATTATCAGGTGACGAGTTCTTGAAATCGATAAAGTATTTTTGTAAAGTGCTGTTTTGAAGATGGAAATGGGAGAGCTTTACTATTTGATTAAAGCGTTCAATTTTTTGTTAGGAAAGATGTAAAACTTATACACGAAAATTTCACACTACGGTTATGTATTTTGAGTATACGTCTACATGAAATCAATTAAAAGCCAATTTAATAACAATAATGTATACTAGTAATTGTAAAAAAGCTTTTATGCTAAAAATAACGCTTTACAGGAGATCCTTGACATCACAAAGTTAACCTTACCGTGTAAAGTTTAATAAACTCGCAAGTGTATGTGCTGAGGCCATGTAAGTACAAAACAAAATATAAAATGTGACTCTTGTCCAACTGACTTTATCCAAGTCGCCGTCATCAGCCCATTGCGATTGTTAGGCATTATGGCCCAATGGGAAAGACATTATGAGAAATGATCAACGCAGTTAGGTAATGCATGCGAGTGGTAATCTGAGTGGCGGAAAAGTCCATTGAGGTAACCGAAAGGCGACCGAGGAGTTTCGCGTTTGCATTGTGCGCGGTCTAGGTCCGGAAAACTACCTAGGACGAAGAGGACGGACATCCTTCGACGTGCCGCCTTCGTGACGACACCGGACACAATGCATGTGCGTAAAACAATAAACGAGGATGCGACAAACAATGGTACAGTGTCATGTGTATGCGCTCGAGTTCACTGGACCGCCTCGTTTTCACTACCAATGGTTGGTTTTTTTTTTCAAAAACGATTATCGTTTATCGTGCAATTACTATCTCCAAACGACTCGGCACGCGCCCCGCAACCTAGAACATTCTACATGCCGTTACGACCGCGATACAATATAATATTACAGTGTTGGCGTTCAGTCAGATCACCGTAGAGCAGAGACCGGACAACACTAAAAAATAGTGCTTAAAATAAACAATCAGGTACGTAACTATTATACTTTTTTATTAGTTTTTTTTTTTTTGCTTTTTTTTTTAGTGAAACTATATTTTAAATGAAAAAAGGAATGTAAGCCGTCAAAACATGTTCAACGAAATGTCCGTTTTACACCTAACTATTATGCCAATAAATAATCTATACCATATATTATGTAAATACAATTATATGGTTATAAGAATTGAGGCGTTTATTTCATCTTCTTTTAAAAAATTTACCAATTTTTGTGCCGAGTCGTTTATTATAAGGTCAGTCGTGTTAACTAATTTTAAACGAATGGATGAACTCACGAGTGGGGCGAATGTAAACGCTAAAATTTTAAAAGCAATAATTTTAATTCAAACCTAACGTTACATACATTTTTAATTTTCGGATATACTTTAATCCGTAAACTAAATGTTTTTGCAAGAGATAATTTTTAAGAGATATTGATAGTCACCAAAATTCGTTTACGCCATAGTATAACACAAAACTGCTTACACCAAGCAATTTGTTGATAGATCTGGAATAAAGGAATGATATATTATAACGCAAATGTATACATAACATGTTGTACATATTACGTTGCTATATTATTCTTTGTGTGCAAAACTCGTCCCGGATGTTTATGGGATGAAATTTTCAGTAGATTAATAGCGGCCGACACATGTTTTTTTTAGTACAGCGACTTGGTTAGATTAGGTCAGAATAAAATATATCAGTTAAATTGGTAAATTTTAATTAAGTTGTGTACCCTAAGACCTAAATGATTTAAATGACATGAAGGATGACAGACAATACTGTCGTATTGTAAAAAAATACATTTTTTTCTTAAAAAGCATAATATTAAAATTAATTTTAAATATTATATTTGCTTTTTTGTTTGTCATACTTACTCTCACTGATTTACAAGTAACATTTCTTATACTCGTGTACACCACGGGTGTAGCATATTAAAAATGCTACAAATACATTATTACAAAATATCTATTAACTAATGCACTACAAAAATCGACTTGATTTGTGTTATTTTGCTCTGAGATCAATTGCATTTCTTCTTGAAAAAATGCACCATTTTTCTCGTGTTCTAACCATTAATATTCTTAATACAAGTCTAGTAAAGAAAATTAATGGTGTGTTTCATTTTAAAAGTAATCTTTGAAATAATTCTCTGGGCGACTTCTTATTTTTGCACATTATTCTCTTCTTACCGACTATATTTTTTTTTTTTTTACTGGAAGCCTAACAAAAGTTAAAACAAAACAGGCATAATGAAATCTCGATAAGTATCAAACTATAAAATATTTTACTATTTTATACTATTTATTAAAATGTTGGAACATGGTGTTGTGATGTAGATACTATTATCGTAATGGGTTAGTTTAGTACTAAAAAGAAAAATCCACTGAAGTCATAATTATTAAAATCAGTATCACAATAACGGTTTATCCGGTTTTGATTTGCGATGAACTGGTAGGTGTTTAAAGTGGGAAGCCGGATAGGTTGAGAGCAAAACATAACCATTTAGAAATTTGGATTCAAATCGATAACGTTCATTTCGTTAAAAGTTTATAATGAGCTGAGTAGGTAGTGGTTGTAATGTGAAAAAAATCCATTGCACATTATATACTATGTAGTATAACATAATTGAATATCCGATAATGTGGGTTCGCGCACTTGCTAATTTTCGTCCATCCATTAATATCATCTTTACTTAATAATTTAAATTTCTTTAATCGACTGCACTGTTTTACATTCTCCTCTTCACTTCACCGACCCGAAATGTAGTTGTCATCAAGTGTTGTACTGTGTTGACACAGCTACATCTCTTTCCTTTTGAGCTTTGACCATAGTGCGAAGCGGCTTTGTATTATTTGGAAAGCTTTTTGATGCCCATAATGGAAAAGTATAGGTAAACCTTCTGATAAACCATCTCAGGTGTTTATAGGCCGAGTGAATATTATATTATGATATGTTACATAATTATGTTGAGAGCCGAATCGTTTTAGTTTGTTGCTTTAAAGCAACCAATTTATAGTTAAATTACTGTATTTTCTATAGGCCGTTAAGGCATTACCTTCCATAACATAAACCTATTCTACTCGGGTAATATATGTTTACCATCTTACTTTGTATAATAAACATAAGTTAGATAAAATTGTACAATAACCATTAATATTATAAAGTCGCCGATCATTGTTCTAAATAATTTTTCGTCCACCTCTAAACACAATGTATATAACCGCGATTGTATATTACCGTAGAAATTTACTTCAATTGTTAACGTTAACGTTTATATTTACCATTTAATTCAGTACTTACATTAAATAAATATTTAACAATTTTTTTTATGCAGAACTGGACTACTTTTTAGTGTGGTATCCGTAATTTTAAGTCATAAAACGTAAGTTAGATTGGCGGTCTAATATACTTGCTTTAATGAATCTTCTAGACGAAGATGTTGTACTTTTTTTTTTTAACAGTGAACTTGTATAATACAATATAATATATATTATTATTTTAATTAAAGAATCAAAAACATTTTTTTCTAGTTGGGTTTTGACCAACTTGGCTACATTCTTACACATTATTATTTATTTTAATTATTAGTTATATTATAATAAAACCATTTTTAAAATTTGACTTTAATGCTTTATAAATATTCAGAAAACTCTTTTTTACAAGCTGTATTATATTAAAGAGTAGGTCACTGCTTAGATGACTTCATTATACATAATATTATGATTTGTAGGCGTACATGAATGGCTTTGATAGGAAAACTTTGGACGTATCTTTTGGCCATGTCACTTCCGGCTGCCACGGACCGCTGGATCGCCGAGGCCGTTGTACTCAAGCGTACCGAGACCACAACAAGTACGTACACGGTACGAAGCTCTATGCTAGAAACGCCGGACTAACCTCTTTGAATTGTTTGTTTGTAGTGCTACCAGCGAATGTTGGAGAATCTAGAATAACGGGACAATCGTCGGCAGTGGCAGCCGATCATCGGTGTGCGGCTCGTGTACAAGAAGCGTTGGCTGCTGTCATGGACTCGGCGGGTAACCGGAGACATACGGGACAAGGACAAGGAGCGGCCGGACCGCCGGTTATGGATCTATCTGGGTATGCGCTACACCAGCGACTCAGGGCTGCGGGAGGTGCCGAGATGTACGTGACGGGACTACGGGCCAAAGTAATGGACGGTGGAGGCCTGTGGGCACGGGTGGATCCATCGGCTGGTTGTCGGTACCGGCCAGACATTGGCATCTTGGAAGCCCGGATGCGGTTCGGAAGGCCGTTACAGGTCACAGGTACCGTACGTATAGTGCATCCGGACGGCAGGCGGATCGGCAACGGTATCGATGGACCAACGGCGGGCTGTGACATGGCGGTGAGGCTGAGACCCGGCGGCCGTCGAATGGGACTCGGGTTCACCGCAGCACCGGTCGGCGGAGGCGGTGGTGTGCAAGGCAACAATCGACTCGGTTCCAGTAGCACAGCAGGTACCATGACTATACGGACGACAGCGGCGTTTGTAGACGATGCTGCCGAAGACGACCCTGGCGACGATCTAGGTACAGCCGCAACAGACGATGGGTCTGGGATGCCTATGTTGAGCGTACACGCGTACAACTGCGTCGGCATGGGACACGGTGGCAGGGAACAGATGCAAGTGGCGGCCACGGATGATGGCGACCGCTATCAGCATATACTAGATGGCAGCGAAGAGTTGTTGTCGTCCAACGAAGATGAAGACCGCTTCGGCATAGACGTTGGATTCAATTCGGCGGAAGATGACCACTATTCAGCTGAGGCGGACAGCGGTCGTGGCAATCGAGGAAAACCGGTAAGTCCACCGAAGCAGCCCCCACAGGCTACGACGCCTCCTCCACAGGTGTCGACCGAGTCGCCGCCAAAGGGCACTGCGGGCTTTGTAACGGTCGGCGCAGGACTGGGCGGCCCAGAACCGCGCCTGCGACACGTACAGATAAACCGACCACGACCTTTGCTGCCGGCTCAACAACACTTTCAACAACAACAACAACAATATCCTCAACACGTCCCACAAATACATCAAATACATCAATTACCACAACCTCAACAGCCCCAGCAACAGCAACTTTACAATCAACCTACACCTATGGCCGACGACCGTCTTATGATGGAAATGGAAGAGGCGTTTGTAAAAGGCGTACGTCGCCTGTTAGCCAGGCACTTGGAACGGGCTGTCCAACCAGCTCTGAGGGACTCGCTTATGAGGCGTATGGGATACGCTGCTTCTTATGGATAGGCTCATAAACAACCAATACCCATGTAGTGGGTGTATAATCAAACATGATTTCGACATGACTTCAAATTGGCAAAGGTCTAAATGAACGAAATAATGTATATTTTATAAGCCAGTCGACAAAATAGTCATTTTGTATTAAACGCCACATTTCAAAAATACATAAATATATTATTTATACTGTACGTAAATTATTTTTAGCTTCGATGCGTAGCTAAAAAAATATTGTTTTTTAATAATGTTAATATTATTATTACTCCTTTTGTCAGTGGTAATTCATATATTTCAGATTACTTGCCTACTAGGAGTTGTAGACACATTTTCATTGTAATGTCTCGTATTATATTGTTGTAATTTCAAAATAATACATTATTAAAATATTTTTTTATAAGTGAAATATTGTTGTGTTAGTTGTAGCTACAAGAACTGAGTACTACCCAAAATAATTGTATAAAACAAAAAAAAATATCGCAGTTTGTAAATATAAATAAACAAGCTTTGACTATAGTTAAGTACTACAAAAAGCAGAAGAGTTTATAAAAAATGAATTATATTTCGAAAAAAGACCACTCTTGTTGAAAAAGACAAGAGTGGGTGTACTACAGATTTAACACCTATAGTGTAACTCAGTAACCACATTTGTTCACTTTGTAAATCCAAAATAACTGCTCATTCTTTATAGAATTTATTAAGTCCCCCAAAACTAACTTAGTTTTTTATTACATATATTGCCTTAAATTATTAATTTATTAATGTATTTATGTAAAATGTATTACATAAATCAGTTTTAAACAACCTCACTCAATTTTTTGCATAGTTGTTTTTTATACATTTTCTTCAGCTTGAACTATTTCAATAGAATGTGCTGTGTATGACTTTGTTACAACCACAATTAAACCTAACCTAACCACAACGTCGGTAACGTCGTTTAAAAATTGCTGGTCGCATTATCTCCAAGGTAACATATAAGCTCGAGAAATCTAAATTAAATAATTTGTTTACACAATTAATTAAACTTGATACTAAAACATATAACACATTATAACAAATTAACACAAAATTACTAAATATTTAAGCAAATAGCTAAATAATGACCGAAATCCAAGAAGAGTTAAATTGCAAACTAAACAAAGCCGAAAACCGTATCAGGGAATTGGAGCATATGATCTGCGACTACGACAAAGTTAAAGCCGATAAACAATTTCTGGAAACTAAAATGAAACAAATAAATGCGTGGGTAGACTGGGTTAGCCGTAAACAGGGGGAACGTATGAATGAACTCGTACAAGTAACACAAGAAGGTGTTTTCTGTGAATTGGAATCGCATAAGCAACTAGTATGCATTAGTCAGAAGGAAAACGTCGGGCTTCAGAATGAACTGACAAACTTCGAAGTTAAGTGCCAGGAACAAGATAACGTTATCGTGGTGTTGAAAAACTCCATTTCAGATATTAAAAAAGAAACGTGTAGGCTTACTGAGAGGATAGCGGATCTAGTCGAGAACAGCCAACAAATGTGTACAAGAACGGAACGGGCAGACAAATCGTTACAGAAAGCCATGGCGGAAAACAAAGCCGAGCGCGTTGAAACCGAAAAGAAAATCGGCCAAGCCGAAGCGCAAAACATGTGTTTGAAGTCTTCGTTAACGGAACTGGGCGAAAAAAAGAAAAACACTATTGGCAAATTACAGGATGAATTGACCGAAATCTGGTGCCAGCTGGACGCGAAAGGCGAAAAAGAAACCGAAGCGATCAAATTGTTGGAAGAACGTCAACGGAAATTTGATGCGCAGGCCGTGGAAATGGACCGCCTGAACAGAATGATGGACGAGCTCCGGGACTCGAGTTCACAGGAGAAAAGCAAGGCCGACGAGGAGATCAAGGAACTTAAAGCCCAAGTCGAGAAATGCAGCGACGAGCTGATGGCGATCAACCGTCAGTATTGTGACGCGCACACCGAAGGGGAAAGGCTCAAGGGACAGGTGGACGCCCAATCCATGGTGATTAAACGGTTGGAATTGACGATGGCTCAACAGCGACAGGCGGCCAAGTGCTTGGTGCAGTCAGCAAAGTTGGCAGCCCAAAAGTACGCGATCGAACGGGAAGACCTCACTGACCAATTGAACCAGCGTGACAAGCAGATAAGGTGGATGATGCAAGAGATGTGCGAGTTGAAACGTGTGGTCCAAGAAGGTTCGCAGCGAGTGAAACGTCTGCAAATGCAACTAGCCGAGTTCAAGTGTTCAGCTATCCAGGACGCGTGCGAACAAGCAGACTCCTTCATGACTGTGCTGATCAAGTATGCGGAGGAGCTGAAGGACGACGAAGAATTGTCTTGTGACACTAGAGACAGTGGATATTGTGCGGCAACAGAAACTGATAGCAATCGAGATTTGGATTATGCGGCTTATACCATGAAAGCGCAAATGGAAGAATTCAACGAGACGTTCGGCGAAATTAACACACTAATGAAAACGAAATTCGATTAACACGTCCTTTGGAACTGTATCGCCTAAACCGTCCGTCACATGTTTGTGATAATCGTCATTGGGTGATCTGTGTCTATCATAGGCCATCTCTGATTCTGTACACTAATTTTTCTTCTTCGATCAATATTACCACATCAAAAGTGTACTAAAATACTTTTAAAATAGATCTTATATTGTTATATTGTTACTGGACACGCGAGTATATTTAAACCGTACCACATATTTTAATAGTAGAATAAAATATTGCAAATATAAAAGTTTGCTGCATTTTTAAGCTTTACTTTATTGAATTCTTAATATTTTGCCTTATTCATTTTTCAAAATTTGTACATTAATATGTATAATTAATTTATTGAGTATCTATTCAAAATCACTTGCAGACATTTAGCATGTTAAAATGTTTGTACAATTTGCTATTCGTAAAACGTATAGCTGTACTGCATTCTAATTTTTTATTTTTATTATTAGAGTATTCGAGAATTACCATAAAAACAATTACTTGTCTAAAGTGAATCTAATAACTTGTCGAAACACAAAACTAAATTTATTTTATTTATTTATTTATTCATAATAATATGGCGATTACAATATTATTTATCTCGATCGACTAAAAAAAGCTTGGTTGAAATACAAGCATACTCGAGTATCTCCATAGAAATTACATTATAATAAAACAGATTTGCGGTTATCTTAGGTTGTATTTTGATCTTTAGAAATATACTGGCCAATTACCTATTGCCATAATAACCGATGTTGGCCAAATAGACCAGTCGTTTGGGGCCGGCTCAGTCGGTAGGAGTAGCCACAAAATAGTGTTAAATGTGCAATGAAACAAATATATAACAGCCGGCAAACCGGTAGATAAATATATACAGTTCTACATAGATTGATTTTGTATAATACATACATGTATACCAAACAGTTATTTTAAAATATAAGTCTGTGTAGTGACAGAATACAATATTATTTGAGTTTTTATTCGTCTCCGGCGTTTGGTATACTACTTGACCCAAAAAATGTCCAATATCATGTACAACAAGACCAACCATGCCAAATACGTCCACGAGTACTACAATAAACTGAGCAAAGAACCGGACAGATTAATCGACAACTACAGCAACGAGTCGACCTTCCTGCACGGAAATGTATACGATGGCCAGATGAACGCAGTGATCGGTCGAGAAAACGTCCAGAGACGCCTGGCCGAGCTCGACTACCGGGGCTGCGAGGTGAACATACACATGCTCGATATGCAGCAGCTCGACGATCAGTGGTGCATGGTCGGCAGGGTGTTCGGCGACATCGTCAAAGCGAACGCGTCCAAGAGCAATTTTTCGCATTCGTTAATGTTCCGGCTGAGCGTGGACAACGAGTTCATCATCATTAATGACTTAATGATCAGCTATTACTTCACGCAGCAGAACGACGCCACCGTCAAGCAGTTGACGGCGGCCACGGACGACCGGTGGACCGTTGAGCGATGGCTGCGCAGTGGCGACGAGGGTCCCTCTGAGGGTGGTGGCGGAGGCGGCAATGGCAGCAAGGCGGGCGTGAAATCGCCATCGGCGTTGCGTATCTTCGGCGACTCGTGTCCGCCAATCAGCCACCAGCTGTACATATCCAACATACCGTCTGGCACCAAGTACAACGAGCTGAAAAAGTTCTTCGAGCAACACGGCCCGCTGTACAGTTTGCGCATCATGAAGATCAACAAGAATTTCGGGTTCATCACTTACGCGGACGAAAGCTCGGCCAAGGAGGTACTCAACAACCGGCCCATATCGTTTTCGGCCGAGGACGGTGTGTGGCTGACGGTCAAAGAAAAAAGATCCCGGTCGGACAACTACAAAAAACTCAAGATCAACCTGCCCGAGAGTCATCAGCTGTTCATCGGCGATATACCGGACAACGTAACCGTCGAAGACCTGCGCGCATTTTTCGGCACATACGGCACGATCGTGTGCGCTCGCATATTACGCTACTCCAAGGCAGACGTGCCGCAGAGCACGCACGGGTTCGTCACATTCCATACCCGGGAATCGGCTAATCGAGTATTGAACATGACGCCGATCTGGTATCCCGACACCGATGGCGTCCTGCTGTCCGTCATGGAAAAGCGCATAGTGCCAAAGGCGGCCGCCGTCACCTGCAACAAGCATCCAAGGAGCCAACCGGGTGGTGATCACGTCGACCACGACGACATTACCGGAGACGTTTAAACGCAAAATGGAGGCAAAATAAGTTCTTAACGTCAAAAATTACTGCTACGCGTTTTAAAAAATAAATGATAAAAAATATGAGGTGTTCTATGCAGAACGTTTTCGTTGCTAACCCGAAATAAACACTTTGTTTGTAACCATGGTAACCACGGTACTCGAGCGAATGGTAGGTGATGATTAAAGGAACAGGCCGATTCTGGGGACGCTATTAAACATTGGAACTGAATCTGGGACTGGGACCCTTGAGTAAGAAGGGGACATAACCAATATAATGTAACGTACATAATATGTAGATCCAAAAAAGCCGAGTTAGACAATGTTTAAGCTTTACAATATCTGGAGAACCGACTTTTTTTTTTCTTTGTAATTATTTTACTCAGCCCTGGCAAACTAAATCCCAGGCAACGCCGGTTCCGGACAGCTTGTATTTTCATAAAAAACAAACAATTTAGGATATAATATTATGTTTAATTAATTGAATAACAAAAAAATATTTCATATTATCTACAAATTATATATACATTACAATTTTAAATCAAATTAATAATAACTCTTTGGCGTCTTCAGTGAAAAAATTCATGAGGTTTTGGGCGTCTTTTTGTTTTTTGGCTTGATTACATATTTTGTGCTATTCTGTGTATTGAGCTGTGGTTCCTAAAAATAATGAAATGTTTTTACTTATTATAGCATTAGTTCTTAGTTATAAATATTTATGAACTATAGATATTTTTATTAATACATTGGTAGGAAATGGGTTTCTAAATAAAACAATTAAATTTATAAAACAAAAAACAGTTAGGGTTTTATGAAATGAGTTACGTATAACAATTATTGGTCCATAAGACGTATTAAACAGGTTTATGAAACTTAATAAAAGCATATTTTATTTTCTAGTATGAATTAAAAAATTGATAAAATTCAAATAAAGTACTTACGTATAATACAAGTAAGTAAGTTTAACATCAATCGAGCTTGTCTCTTCGATGTCATAATATCAGTAGGTACACATTAAAATAATAACGTAAAATATAATAAATAAAAATGAATAAATTATTTCACTACATCAGAAATTTAACAATATATCCGTAGCATTTTGAACCACTTTATCTGTTTATTATATTAAGAGGATTCGCGGTAAAATGTATTGTATAGTACCTATATTGTCATCATTTAAATATAAATTTAATAAAATACAATTTTAATTTTTTCTTTAAATAAATGGAAATAATATGTTTTATATAAAGCAAATAGGCCTCCTTTACAATTTGTACATGAAATGACACGTTTTAAAGCAAAAGCGGAAATAATACGTTTTGGTAAAAAAAAACTAAATTCCCTATACTTAGTTAACAGGAAATGATACCTTTTTTGTTTAAATGAAAATATAACGTAACTCGTTTTTGTAAAAAAATAGCTATAATACGTTTTACATAGAAACACACACACATATATATAATACATACAGCCAAACATACATATTGTATATAATATATAGATATATGTAAATTGTAAATACACATAGTTATTTTTCAAAATTGGCAATATTTGTTATTAACAGTTATTTTATTAATAACAATTATTATTTTACTAAAATTATTTTTATTTTTATTTTTATACTGCTAGTAAAATAAAATAAGAGTTAAGGAAAAAATTGATCCTCCCAAATACGCCACTGTGCACTGTGGTTTTTATCGTTTATAAAGAAAAACAGTATCCTGATAAATATAATTATACAGGCACGCAGAGCGTACCATTATTGCAGCATACTGGTACGACAGAAACACTATTCACCGCGACATGATGCTGCTCACAATACTAGAAGTCAAGAAGTTTGCCCAAAAATACGTGATAAGACTGAAGCTCCACATCAACCCAGCTACACTACTGTTGGATAATTCCTATAGATAGCTGAAGGTGACTCCTTCGCACCTGTGTTCGGTATACTTGTATTGATAAAGATATGTTTTTCTGTCGTTTTAATAAAAAAAAAACATAGGCAATATAATGTATTAAATTAAAAAACCATAATATTTATCATAGTAAACCAACATTACCAAAGTCAACAAAAATGAAGAATATGAGCCTGAAAAAAGATGATATAAATGATGTGTTGTGAGACAGGTCAATAATTAATTTGTTTCATAGTATGATGTTATAAAACAATTATATGGCATGTACAATTATTTTTTTTTAATTATTTTTCCAATAGATATTTTAAAATTTTGTAAAGAATTTGCAAAAATATACTGTATAACTTTGCCACAATCAACCAGCTTCGAATTGAAAGATGTTTCCAACGTCTGCTGCTCGGCATCCCGTTTGTGACTTTTTAGTATAACTTTGCTACAATCAACCACCTTCGAATTGGTAGGTGTTTTCGACGTCTGCTGCTTGGCATCCTGTTTGTGACTTTTTAGTATATCTTTGCTATAATCAACCAGCTTCGAATAGTTGGAAGGTGTTTCCGATGTCTGCTGCTCGGCATCCCGTTTGTGACTTTTTAATTTATCTTTGCTACAATCAACCACCTTCGAATTGGTAGGTGTTTCCGACGTCTGCTGCTTGGCATCCTGTTTGTGACTTTTTAGTATATCTTTGCTACAATCAACCAGCTTCGAATTGGAAGGTGTTTCCGACGTCTGCTGCTCGGCATCCCGTTTGTGACTTTTTTCGTGGTTATCCTCTCGGTCAATCTCTTTACTGTCCTTCTTGTTAACTTTTTTCCGTTTATTCTTAGCGTTCTTGTTAGACTTCCTCCTCAGTGTCATTTTTCTTTCGGATTCCTCTGACGACGGAGATTCAACGCCCGTCTTATATCTTTTGGGCTTTGGTTGTTCTGGCGGAGTCGTTTTATCACTCGGCCGACTCTGAACTTTCGCATCTACATCACTCAAAGGACACTGTGACTTCTTTACTCTGTCGTGTTTAAAGTCCAAAGATTTCAAGCGATATTTCTTTGCACACGCATGTGTGATTTGGAAATAATTAATCGGTCCGCCTTCTATGACTCGGTGAGAAAAATCATAAGCGACATTGTACGTCGGAGTGGCCAGGCCAGCGTAGCCGCCTATAGTTTCCATGAATAATGCGTTCGCTTTATTTACCCACGAGTCCAACGCGTTGTTGATTATCTCGTAAATGGGTGCCCCACTACAGGGTGGTTTAGGTTTTTTAGTTTTCTCGACTACCGTACCGCACTGCTGTTCCATGCCAAACTTGGGGGTAGCTCTAGACTTGAACATGGGCAGATTCCGCACAGACTGACGCAAGGATTTGGGATTGTACAGACTGGGCTTCCTCGGACAAAAAACCGTCGGTGGTTTTTTAAAAGAACTGTAGCGTAGCTGAACCTTTGTCGGATACAAACAGTTTCGGTTCAGGGACATCGCCATCTTGGTTACACTGCAAATACACAAGCAAGTTTATTGTACAACTAATTTAGGGACTAAACGAACGTGCAATCGGTGACTTCGTTCACTAGACATAGCCTAGTATTTAGAACTGGACTTTTAAGGAAATTCCAAAGTCATCGAAAATTGGCAGGCGGCAAAATCACCAACCGGTTCGTTTAGCCTCGACCATAAAACAATCTAACAACGTTTCAAACAAAGAACGCGTGTTTTACCTTTGTTGAATTTTCAACATTGTCAACCGCTCGATGCATTTATCGGTGACTCGAAGTCTCTTAAAATTTTGTGGAAACTTAAATTATCAGCTGAGTGTATTAGGCGTTCATGTAATTTTGTTTTGTAGGTATCTCGTTTCGATGGAAAAATATTAAAATTATTCAGCCAGTATAGCGTTTTAGTTGCTATAACTGTATTATGTACTATAATTTGTTCATAGTAAAATGACCAGTACATTTATTTTTTTGCCAAATTCATTGATTGGCCTCAACTCACACTCTATTGACCCTAAATCCACGCTTTGTAGTGTAATTGAGAGAGTGTGACCAGTTTGTGTTAGATGTATTTTCTTTAATACTTGATAAATATTAAAAAAAATGTAAAAGAAAACGTGATACGAGGATGACCTTAAAATACTTTCTTTAATATTTCTAAAAATATTACAATTTATAATAATGAACAGCTAAAGGTAAATAGATAACTAAATTGTGAACTTTTTTTCACTAAGCACACAGATAAATTTACTTTCTTTAAAGTAGGGGGAGGCTAACCCACCAATTTAGCGTTTAGCTCCTTAATTACTTGACGAGTATATAACACCTAAAACGTATTTCTTATAAACGTAAACTTTAAATTTTGTAAAATGTTATATTGATCTTGTAAAAAACACTATTTTTAGTTTCGATGAGATAGGTATGAGTTTTATTATGATTTTTTGTTTAAAGTAACGATTAGGGGCATAATAAATGTATAGTTAATTAACTAAATAAATAGTTAGGCTAATCAAACGTATGTAGTTGGTTTAACTATAATGAACTTTAATTATGAACAGTTGGCGGTAATCAGTTACTAGCTTTCAAAATGCATTAGCTAAGAAATCGATATATATATATATTAATCTCCGAGGAAACTCATTAGCTACAGTGTTTATTGTGAGTGCCAACAATTTTTATTTTTATAAAATTAATTAATTTATAATTAACCTGTATCAAAATTCGTGAGTAAAATAATATAAAATGACCGGAAAACGGGTACAAGAGATTTTATGGAGTCAGCTGGTGGAGGGCGAAACTAGAATACGGGAGCTGGAGAATAAGTTATGCGATTATGACGACGTAGTGGCCGAGAGGGATTACTTAAAGAAAAAAGAATCTTCCGTTGGCTCCTGGATGAAATCGATCATTGAAAAACAAAAAATGCTTTTCGATGAGTTGATATCGAGTTACGACGAACTGTGTGGTAAATACCAAGCGCAGCAAGAGCAAATTCAAAAAGGTCGGAACGAAAACGACTGTTTGAGATGCGAGTTGGCAGATCTGAGCAACCGATGTCAAATACAAGAACACATTATCATCGAGTTGGAAACCGCCAAGTCGGATCTTGAAGCCGAAACGTGTAAACTGCGTAAAAACGTGACGGAAGCGGTGGAACAGAGCAAACAGCTGCGCGTCAAGTTGAACCAAGAGACGGTTGCACTAGAAGGTAACGCCCGGCAATTGGCCATGGTACAGAGGGAAGTGGCTGATAAGAAAGCCAAACGAGAAGAAATCGAAAACAAAATCGCCGAGGCCCAGGAGAAGAATGCGAGTTTGAGGTCTGCAATGACAGAGTTGAAAATAGCCACAGATAATACCATTGTCAAGTTACAAACGGATCTGACTGGTCTGCAGTGCCAGTTGAACGCAAGAACGGCGGACTTATCCGAAGCAAAAAAGACGCTGGAAGAACGACAACAGAAATTGGACGCTCAGACCGACCGGGTGGCCAAGATGAAGAAAACGATCGAAGAGCTTCGCGAGGAGCACACGCAAGAGAAGTGCAAGATCAATGACGAGGTGTACAGTCTAAAGGTCGAACTCGATGCGACCGGCAAAGAACTGATAATGGTCAACAAACAGCTTTGCGACGCGCAGGACAATGGCGAAAAACTCAAGTGTCAAGTAGACGAGCAAGTGAAAGAGGTAAGGCGGTTGGAATCGACGTTGGCTCAACAACGACAAGACGCTCAGAAGTGCATGCAAACTGTGGAGTTGGCAGCACAGAAGCACGCGGCCGAACGGGAACAGCTTGTTAACGAACTGAATCTCAGGGATAAGACTATAGGATCGATTACACAAGATATCTGCGACCTAAAACGAACGGTCGAGGAACGTTCGAGGCAGATAAGACTTCTGAAATCGCAGTTGGCCGATTTCAAATGTTCTGCTACCCAAAAAGTTAGTGAAATTTTAAACACTATTGTGCCAAACAAGTGTGCAGAAGAACTGACCGAAAAGAAACAAGCTATGTGCAATAGCCAAAACGAGGGCGATTGCGTACAGTTAGAAATCGACGAGTCCCAATTTAAAGCAGTGGCCGATTCTCTAAAAGAACATCTCGACAACTTTGACGAGTCGTTAAACGAAATGAAAAAAATGTTGAATATCAATTGCAACTAAATCAATTCATTCATTATTTTCGCTTTTATTTCACTGTACTCTTCGTACAGGGAATAATGTATGATTATCTTCTTTAAATTTCGTTCTGAAATTTTCGTGAATTACTGAAAATTGTAACTGGTCGACAATAAATTTTGAGTCTTTATTTTTACAGTTTAAAATTTCGGGCGGGACAAAGAAATAGAGTTAAGTGGATTGCGTGCGCTCTGATTTTTTGACGTTTTAGACAAAAAGCCAAACAAACTTTCGATTACTTAGGATGGTCCAATTTCAAATTTGTAATGATATGCGAGTTCTTTGGATACTTATGTAGGAAACAGATTTTTGATTTTTTGCTTTTTTATGTAAAAAAAAACATATTGTATTTTATTTTTAAATAAAAATCTGCTTCCCTAAATAACATACCTAGTAAATTAGCCAAAGAACTGAAAACTCTTTAAAACATTTAAATTGGACCATCCTATGTAGCCGAAATTTTGTCTGGCTTTTTGTCTAAAATAAACCAAAATGACCTTTACTCATAGATAAAATTATTTAAACTAAAAATGATATCTTAAAGCTTATACAAATTATTCGGTAAATTAATTGACATGGTCGAAATATATTAAATCCTCATTTTTCTTAAATGTGGCCTATACAAAATGTTTAAAAACAGACCGCATGCAATCCCTTTAAGAGGGCCCCGCACCGGTGATTTTCAGTGGTAAAAACATGTTTACGCCAACTGAAAATAACTTGCTTAATTTTGGTTTTAGAGTAAAAGCACCCATTATAAAATTAAAAGAGAACAATATTTCGGAGGGCAAGACGGTGCGTTTTTGAAAAAAAATTCATTTTTTTAAAAAGTTACAGTCATTTAAAAATATTAAAATAGTCGTTATTTCTAAACCAAGAATTGAATATACCATAACCTAGTATCTTACTTAACAGAGCCCGATCCTTATCGATCACCTACCATTGGCAGTTTGCTTTAAACTTTAGATCATAATAAACTATGGTAGAGTATTCTGTATAAAGCCTCCAGCATCTTCGAGGTTAATAAGGTATATAAAAATAAAAATTTAATCTGTGTAATAAATAATTATGACAACATTACCGTTATAAATAATGAATAATAAATTATGTTTGACATTTTTTTTGTGTTTATTTAATTTTTATTTCTGCAATATGTTGCAATGTAGAACAATAAGCATAATAGATGTACAATTTACAAATTGCAGATTGATAAAGCAAAGAGGCCCCAGTGGAGGATCTTCAACAGAATAAATTAATATTATTTTCACTTTTTTTATATTAAACTAACAGGTCACGACAACACCACCTTATTTTTTGAGGGTTGCCAGGAATATTTATTGATGATTCAGTAATTTCAGTCACAGAAGAAATGTATAGGTCTTTGTTCATAGAACGATTAAAATATAATATGGGGCTTTACAAATAGTACGTTGGAGACTTTGACAGTTCCCAACAACTATATTCTGTATAATCAGATGTGTCTTAACAGTAATTTTTGAGTAACAGGTTGGTAGATAGTTTTATATGTTTCTATGTTAGTAGTTAATATAAAGGCTAATATAGGGTCAGAATTACTGGCTATTATTGCAGTTTTAAAGATTACAGTTCTTACCCTGTGCCAGACGCTATCGAAGACTTAGCAGAATCGAGAAAGGCAACAGTGCAGTATAGCTTTTCATCTAAAGCAAAATAAATATTTTACCTTTTGGAATGGTTGTTACGAAAACCAAATACAGAGTTGGGCAATATTTTGTGTCATAGACTATTGATAAGTTTAAAACTAGGATGTCAATAAAATGTTGACTACAAATTATAAAAATAAAATAACCATTCTGTTTTGTACAATTTAAAAAAAAAGTAAAACTGATTTAGATAAAAATACATTTATATCTTAAAACAATTGTAGGTAACATTAAAAAAAAGAAATGGCTATGTAAAAGCTTTGGTATAAAAAAATGAGCTTTGTGTGTTCAAATACACTTTGAATTGTAATAATTTGTCAACAAAAACAACATTTTTAAACAAAATAAAAATAACTTATCTAATTTTTTTAGTTAACAGGCCTGGAGGTATTTTGACTGAAATATTTTCGTGTTTCGTGATGATATCAAGCAATATATTTTGTAGCAAGATATTTTGACGTGTAAGTTTTTGATTATCCAAAATGAGTTGCTCAATTTTCTCTTTACGTTTTTGTCTACATCTTTTTGCTGCTGATCTAAAGAAAAAAATATGTAATGTTTATTATTATTAATGTCATTTACATAGTTTTAAATAAATAATATTTTAAATGGTAAAAAACAAACAGAGCTAAAGTACATTTTTTCCAAAAACTAATACTTCATTTTACATAATAAATATAAAAAATGAATATATTTCCTTTTTTCATCCCTCCAAAAAATATATAAATCTCATGGTTTATTATATAATAGTAACACTTAAAGAAGAAACTTTAAAATACATTTTTTTTTATAAAGAGCAAATTTAATTTCTCATTTTTGTACAAATCTAACATACTTTTAAACAAAAGGGACAAGAATAAGCTTTATGTGTTATGCATTAAAAAATAAATAAAATTGTTATTAACAAAAATTTGTAACGACTTAAATTTGAACACATATTCTAAACAAAGGGCTAAATATGAATGGTTTTGATAACATAATATACTAAATGTAGGACAAAAAAACAATGTAATTCATCAAGAGAAAGTCATATTTTAACTTGGAATAGAGGATGGAGGAATTTAAATTAAACAAATTAGTATTGATTTTAATTCTTAAAAATTTAAACAAAAAAGTGGAAAAGATCCGTCATCCCTCACTGAAGCAACACACAAATGGCCTGTCCCGTATGTACAAATATGTTATACTTATATATATTTACAGTCCTGATTTATTACATTAACATTTACTGTCTCAGACAACACTGTAATTTATCATTTCAGGTATGTCATATCATACCTGAAATTACATACCTATTTCTTTCTAGCAACATTTGTTTTTGAGCGTCCATAACAGTTGAAGAGCCAGATTCTATAAAGGTTTTGCTGGATTCCTATTTAGAAAAAAAACACGCATTAATATAAAATTATTAAATTTTTTAACATTTCTATGTTATTAATTAAAAAAAAACATCTAATTTGTTTGTAATGTAAGTAGGTATTTACCGACTTACTTTTAAACTTGTAATTGTATTCCCATGTTTTTTTATGAGATTTTGTTTTAACGCCTTAAACATTATTATTATAGTTATTTTACATTATTAGTTTTATAATACTGGTACATAATTCCAAAATATTTACCTGTTTCACAGCAACTACATTATTTGATGGTATGCTGGCTATATTGGAGGCTAGTTGAGTTTCTGGAACTACCATAGGTAAAATCTATAACAATAAATTGTTTTTGTTATAATAAAAGAATATAATACCACAAATTAGCAAGTAGTCTTAACAATTCTCAACAATTTCAAACAACATTATGGGTTTACAGCAAAGATCTTCAAAATACTAGAGTATTCGACTTATATTAAATTTTTAAACTAAGTTATTATTTTAGATGTTATTATATAAATAAAGCCCAAGAAGTATTATGAAACGCCATTAATCTACTTTTAGGGATTACTAATTTTAAATTTAATGAAGGATTTTACAGTTTCTAACATTTTTTAACAAAACATTTCTATAACTTAATTCTTTTTCGAAAATCGTGTTAGAATCTAACAAACCGATTAAGTATTTGTAATGGAAATATGTACTTATGAATTAAATATTTATAACTTCTTACTTTTGGCAATGTGATGATTGGTACCAATGGTGGAGGAGTATTTCCATGAGCTACTGAAATATTTTCCACAAACCTCGAAGGACTAAATAATTATAGTTAAATACTATTATAAACATAATCCGTTTCGATTGGGCATATTATAAAATTAAGAATACATTGATCCGTAACTGGTACAGTGCGGTTTCAGAAAACGCTCAATGTAAATTTATATGAGGCTTCTTATTACTGTATCAGGAATGGGCTAAGTTAAACAAAATGCAATACTCACTCAATAGGATGTATAACATTAAAATTCGGAACAATGTCAACAGGTTTTTTCTCTAGTAATAGAGACTCATCAGTATGATTCCCCAGGCTAAGATTTTTGAAACTTATCCTTCCTGGAAATAAATATTGGAAAATCATGCCAAAATTAATACAGCTAAATAACTGTAAAGAGTTTTTATTACCTTTCAATGCAGATGTGATAGGCACAATGAAGGGTGTGTTCAGTTCACTACTATTTGAACTTGAAGTTTTAACCCTCTAAAGATAAACATTTATTTATAACAGGACACATTGTTCACTATTTTTTTTAATACTTACATAACCAACTATTTCATCACACTCAACTGCTTTTTTGAATGTTTCATCAAACGGGTTAACTTTTTGCAACTCTTGAAATAAACCAACATCTTCACAGTGTTTGATAAAAGTGTTAGGGGTTGGCATTTGATCTTCTATAAACAAAAAAGTGTTAAATTAAATACATGAATATAATTAACAGTTAATGGAACCCTGCATTTATATAGTCTTTATGTAATTGCAATAATAGGCAAGTACTACTGTCAATTAACAATTATATGTTATTATAAATGAATAAATATATTACACTAGAAAAAACTTAAGCAACTTATGGATATATGTAATAAAATAATATTAAAAACCCTTTACCATAAAAGTTATATATTTCGGCAAATATGACGTATTTCTCAGTCTGTCGTGAGCGCTGAAAATGACAACATTGTTGCCAAAATACGTCATTATATACGCGGAGAGTATATAATTTTTATGGTTGAGGGTTTTTAAGTATATTACAGTTATATTATCTTACCAAAAGCCATTTTAATGAATTAACTGATACCACTCAATTGGAAATACTTTTGTTTGTCATCTATCTGTAACAATATGTATAATGTAACAATCAAATTTTTTAAAACTAAAATATAAGTTAAAATAATATTATGTTTATAATATAATATTTATGTACATAAAAATATTAAGTGTTAACATATATTTAACATAATATATGTTTAAGACAATTATATATTGATGAATGTATCATCCTAACCATATTTTTTTCTTTCAATTTAATGTTGTATATATATTTTTTGTTTTGATATCCAGTCAATGATTTATAGTCAATATAATAAATTATTTATTATCTTCATAAAATGTAAAACATATTATTGAATTAGTTATTAACTTATAAATTTACTTTATATTTTTTGTTTTATTTATTTATTTAGGTACTTATTTTTTTTTAATACTTAATTATTATGTTTTTATACTATTTTTAAATCTGTAAAAAAAACATTGCAACAGACGTTGCTAGTTAGTATACAATATTATATGTGCAAGTAAATTTTACTCATCTTTATGATTGTTTTATTTTATGGCTATCATGTAATTCCAGAAACAACTAATAAGCATTTTAAAAATGATCATATTACTTTAAATATTTGTCATATAACGTTTAATTATTCCTATACAAAAATATTTATTGCCTAACTTTAACTTGCACAAAATGTGCTGCAATTTGTGAATTTCTAGTTTCAGATTAGTGGTCAGCCTAAACAAAATTATTTATTAATAAACAATGGATAAAAAAGAATTCAATATCCAATAAAATATATTATATAATTGAGTTCAGTTACCTAGAACATACTATTCTCTTAAGTTAATATTTATTATTTACTTACATATTTTGTTTTAATACAAATTAACACTTCGAGACATTTTAACGCGAGTAAGCCGAATGGCAAAATACTAGTTAATTACGAAAAAAATGTCTTAAATATGAATTACCAATAATAACTAAACACCATTAAACATAAAGAACTTGCACAAAAAAATAATAAACACGACATGATTGAAAATAAAATAAAATAAAATAATAAAATACCTACACCTTCTAAAATCTTTAATCTAATGTAATAATTTGCCAACTTTCGTATTTTGTTTCGTAAAAATTATTATCACAGATCTCTGAACATCATTTTTGATAACATCAACTCTTACTTTTATGTTTCTTCCAAGAGTCTACAATTTACCATAGACGTTATAAGATTAAGAAATTGCAATTTAAAAACGTTGGTTTCTTCCAAGAATAAAGGTGATTGTATTATTTTTTGGCGGTAAATTTACTGCAATAATATTTGATAACCATACTATCCAACTCTCTAGTGATATCACTCAAGTATCAAATGTGAACTAAACAATCATAACTAATAAGTATTAATTTTAATTCTCATTTAAACAAAATATTACTGTAAAACGCTTTGAACATTACTGTCGAAGGCATTTGTTTTTACTTTTCAGATTTTTATTAACCGATTAAAGTAATTATTTATTGACAATGAATTTTGTTGTTCCTTCAGAATTAGAAAATATTTCGGAGGACCAACTTCACTTTTTGCCATGCAAAATACACACTAAAAGTCGTGCGAACGTCACTAACTACTTCCGACCTTACAATCCGAAAAATAAAAACTCTGGTTTGTTTTATAATATCATATTAATATAATGTAATCACATTACAACTGTTATGATATATTTTGTATTATCTATTCCACAGATAATGTGGACATCACTTATTGCTCGTTTCGTGGAAAGCCATTAATCGGTACCCAATTAGAAATTCCGAATGGCTACAAGGGCGTGTTCTGTGAGATAGCTCAAAGTGATCATGAAGAAAAACAGACTTTGACTGCCAAATGTAGTTTTGAAAAATTAACATACTGGAATTGGGACAAAGAACCAACAAAAGAAGATAATTTTTTATCAGCATTAGATTGGATCGGTATTTCTGAAGCATTACATAACTAATATTTTAATTTTATAACCAGTTACTACTGGCTTTAGGTTTTTTTAATGCTTAGTTCATATTTTTTTTCTTAATCAATGAGGTTATTTCAATAATTTTTAATATGTAACAGATAAAACAAAATATATAAATTTGTATACCTATGTAAATATTTTGTACTTTTCATTATATAATTAGTCACCAAAATGTTGTATAAGCTATTGGTTGTTAATTTTTCTATTTCTATTAATTGTAGTATACATATTTTTAGATAAGCAAACTATAACATTTGCACACACACTATCTAAGTTACCCTGACTAGCCTGACATAGGGCATACTTTAGGTGTTTCAAAATATGTCTGGCCAGCAAACTTCTAATCTTTAGGGATTACACCACAACCATCTAGTACTAACCCACACTTGTATTATAATTAACCAGCGACTCCTAGTTCAACTATTTTTTATCTATATATAATTGTTAAACTTAAAAGATTAAGGACTTCCAGAGATTATCCAATTAAGAAATAATAGAGGCTGTCCTAGTGACTGTATTCAGATGTAGTGTGTAGACTGTAAAACAATTAATACAATTTACAAAACTATATACTTAAACACTTACAAAAATAAACGTAACTTTATAAAACACGCTATACCCAACAGATTATAAGTCTTAAGTAGTAACCCTGATATAATATTTTCGGCGTCCTTTAATAACATGATATTGGTTAAGAAAAATATTAGTTTGAATATCCATTTTTCAAAAATCCAAAGGAACATCATTTTGAATTATTATAAATTTTAATTAATAAATAATTTCTACTATAATAAATAGGTTAATCTTTTTTAATAAAGATATGTGGCCGAGTCAGTAAGGATGCAGTGTGTTTATGCTCACTGTCACCGGCTAGACACTTGGTTACAGGCGCTCCATTTTCTGATCGAGAAATCGACCAGTGAAAATGAGCCGCCATCCTCATCTCTGGCGATGGCCTGACAATCCGTCACAGATAGCGAATTCGTCTAGAAACCGTCTCATGATCGCAGCGTTAGGCCACCAAAGCTTGATAAGCTTACATGATGATGAATCTTATATGATCTGTAAAATTATTTAACAATTGTTACCATTTAGTATTTTATGGTATTGTTAAAAATATTAATTACAAATTCCTGCTATATTAAATTTCCTTAGGGACCTATATTGTGTATATTAAATATTAGCTATCACTAGTTTATTCATTTGAAAATCAACAAAAATTAAAATACCAAAAACATCTTACCTAAAATTTGTATTAATAATAATCCAACTGATACATGCATTAGTTTTAACAAATTCTGTAAGGTTACCTATATGAAAATTAATATGTTGAATTTAAGGAGGCCAAATGTTGAAATTTATTTATTATGTTACTAAGTGTTCTTCACTGATTATTCAAACGATAATAGTAAAATAAGCTCAACTCGAAGTAGTAGGAGATCTGAAACATATTTGTCTAGATGTACCTAAGTATTGTACTTGATACGGACCCTTATAATTATTAATGAGAGAAAATTTAATCAGATTATTATAACTAATTGGTACCGGTATCTAATATAATATATACAATGCTCGAAAGTAAACCCTAAAAAATAATTGGTAACAATCCAACTGGTGACCAATTTACTTGTATAGGTACAGTTATTGGATAATCGTGAAAGTGGAATGTTGAATGGGAACGCTAATGTCCATTAGTGTGTAAAATTATAATACATGTTTGATTATACCGCATTCTATAGAATATAACATAGCCTATTCGTCTTATTTACATGTATTTGTTTTAGTATATCCAATATACTTTTCTTTTTTTTAACTGCAACGCAGAGCAAAGATTTGGATTAAAGTCGTGTGTGTATTCTTAATGATATATCCGTGACACTTTTCTCCTTTGATACAACCTGTTATCATTGGGTTGTTTCAGATCTTTCCATCATAAATTAGTTAACAATTTCAAATTTAAAGAAGAAAATAAACTCAAAAATCATTTTAGTAAACAAGACGTATTGAAACATCAGTGAACAAGTATTTTAAAATAAATTTTTTTAGCCTGAAGTCAATCTTTGAAAATCTACTAGAACCCAAAAATACCTTGTCATCGATTAGCTCAAGGTTCAGCTTTGATCATAGGTGTGAAGAAAATGCTGATTGGGAAAAGAGAAAATTGATAATCTCTAAATAACTGATAAAAACATTTTCATAATTCAATGTTTTAAGCTTTAGCTAAAGAAAAAAGAAATAACGATTTCTCGACCACCTTAAAAATGTTTGATGTTATTAAAAATAAAATATTTTAACATTTTGTAAATAACATTTAAAAAAAGTTTAAACTAACATGAAGATGCTTAATGTTACCTAAAATTGTTTTATTTGATTGTATTACAAATAAATACTAAACAAAAAGTATTTAAATATATTTTGTAGAATGAGGTACCTATTCAAATACTTTACTCAACACTACTGTTTACTGCGCTGTTACAAGTTGAATGTTATTTAAAAAAATACGATCTGACTTTTAGTATCATTTTTTAATTCGTTTTACCTATTATGATCATAAACTTTCAGTAGTATTTAAAATCATTGAGCTGATATTTTACTTTTCAGTACTTACTACTTTTAGTATCTATGCGCCTAACACGTATAATAGGTAGGTTTCCCAGTTGATATTAACTGTTTCATGTTTGTATATTATAATTTCCATGGAAAATATTGTATAAGTACACAGAGCTCTGTTATGAACGCTTTATGTTTACCAAACATCTACAAATTAATCTACACACGAACGCAAAAGTTGTACTCAATGCGCCAAAATAAGACCAAAACAAATCATTCAAACGAGCAACATTTGTCGGATCCGTACCTACCTGCGGCTTATCTAGGAATAGGTATAAACATAATTTTGAAAAAATGATATTAGGGCTCATAGCGTTTGCAATGGAAATGGCCCTCATGATGTTTGAACCTTTGTATCGGACGTACAAAATCATCAAGTTGGGCACGGCGCCACCGCCAGAAGACAGCCGAGCACTGTTCATCCATTGGTCTGTGTACGCGCTATTTCGGGCTGTCGACTGGTTGCTCAGCCCCATGCCTTTGTTCGGTTTGCTCAAGATCGGTGCCATCGTATGGCTTCGGAACGGCGACGGTGCCGAAATGGTGTACAATTCGTTTATTCAACCTATTTTCACGCAAAACCAGCCGGCCATCGACATGTGGTTGGAACGGTGGGACAAAGCCAAAAATACGGTTACCGCCATAGGGTCCAACTAGACCACTAATTAATAAAATAATATTTGATTTAAAAAAAAACATTTAATAAAGTTGTTCCGGTGGTTGTTCATTAATGAACACTTGCCTACGTATTTACTATTCACAGTTCATTTATTTAATAATCATTCTGATTGTGAGCTGTTAGAAACGTAGTTGGTCAATTACAATTTCCTATGGGCAACTATAGTCGAGTTAATTTGTTTAAACAAAAGCAATTTAGTTAAAACCTAAGTTTAGTTCATTGTCTTATTTCAAAATTTATTTTATACTTATTACCAAATTTTTATTTAAATTTCCAATGTTTTTGCTAACAATAACCAAAATTACAAAATAAAAAATCATACTGAAATTCCATTCTTGTTGTATTTCATAAATTTATATTTTACAAGTCTTTAGAATTTCATTCAGAATTTTACCTAACCTGGTTTTTCTATGAAATAATTGTCTTAAATAAAGTTTCAGTAATATTATATACTACTTACTATAATACTATATGTGTACTTCCTATATTTCATAAAAGTTACATAATATTACATAGGTATAGCAAATATGTAAGTTGATATTTTACTTTTTCAAGTTACTCTCTAAAACTACCATTTGAATAAATATTCCTTACACAAACAATATAAATTAATTTTCAATAAAAATGTATTATAAATTATACTAAAGAGTTTGGAAAAATAATTTTAGTTAAAACAAATATTTTATAGAAAAAAAAATACTGTATCATAAAATTCTGTAGATTTATGTGGCTGTACGTATTTAATTTTATGCTTAGTTTCTTTGGCACTAAACGTTTTCGAGGGTAAGAATCATGTTGAGAAAAATTAAATTAAAATCTTATGGTTTGAGTGAATATAAAAACTAAGATAAGACAATTTTCTACATTTTTATTTTTAAAATCAGTATTATACCGCTGTTATTAATTGTTTATTATTTACCCTTACCTATCTTACGTGTAAAAAGTAGTATTTCTATTAAATACCAACTTAAAAATAAAATAATTAAATAGGTAATTTCGAAAACCGTGTATACCGATCCCGCTGTCAGCAAGGGGGCAAATTCCCATCCTGCCCTCCTCCCCCCGCCAAATGACGCCACTAGTCTAGACTATTTGAAAAATTCCTACTTCAAGACCAGCCACTGGGCCACAGGCTTCTGATCTATTATAGTGTTATACATAATATTTTCAAAAAACAGCCTACTGCCTAACCCGTGCCTGTTAACGTTGGTTTTAGGAACGGACGTACGCCACTAACAATTGATATTCGCTTCGTTAAAACATTGCTATTTTGTAATAATCGGGCAGCTGGCTTTTTGGTAATTTTTAAAAGAGGACGAACCGCTGCGGTTCACACCCAGGAAATATCGAGTGGACACTTTATGATGGCTTCAAATATACGTAGTAGGCCGTAGCAGTCGATGAATTACGTTGCTGTAATTTTTGGATCATTCATAAGTGTAATATGCAGAATAGGTATACTACCTGTTAGACGGCCACAAGCAGAGCAAGTATACCGCCTCCTCTTGTATTATGTGTGTACAGGTATTCGCTTCCCGTGTACCTACCTCGCCCGCGAGTGTACCCATATAGGTAGTGTCGAGAGGCGGTGGCGGAACCGCTTTTTAGGTTTTACACATGGCATGACGTCTACCTATATAGTGATACACCTGTACTGTATAATGGTACTTAATACCGACGACAGAGAGCAGGTGCATTTGGGCTGGTTCTCACGGGTAAACGCGCGCCGCGCAACACAATCTCTTCGGATACCAACCTGAATACTATCTTGGCTGGCGAAGGCAGGCCGAACGCTAGACAGTAACCTTAGTAATGCAGTATCACGCGAGCTGTGAATACGCATCATTGCCGCGGTGAGGTCTTCCGATTAAACGTTGGTTTTGTCTTAAACATTAATAATAATTATTCGCGTAAAACGTTCAACTAAACCGACTGTTTTACCGCAACGACAAAAAAATACTATGCGCTGTTGCGAAATTGTCGGCTCCATAGTGAATTTTACGTTTTAATCAAGTGCCTCTTTTTGCGCAATAACCTATGCAGACCCTCGTGTAAGACCGCCGGAAGTATCTAATTAGAAAACAATACAAGCATAAAAACCATTATGGCTCACACCGCCGTGCTAAGATCTCAAAACCGAGCAATCTCGAAGGTATGGCATTTAACGTTTTTATTTGATTTTCATTTAAAAAAAATTTACATTATACTATACTTTTGTATGTACATACTTGACCGGAGGAGTAGAGCCGATAGTATAGGCCGGTTAGGTTTTTCATTGTTTATGTTGGTAGGAAGTGGCTGCGGCTGTGGCGGCGACGGCGGCGGCCACGGCACATAATTATCATCGTGAAGACGGAATAAAAAAATTATATATATATATGTATAGGTATAGTACCTATAATATACTTGAATAGGTGCCTGAAGTAGGTAGGTACGGACCGTTACAGTTACTTACTTATTTTTTTCATCCTCCACTCCGAATAATAATAATAATATATTTTAAATAGCCGCGACATTATAACACCAATATTTGTTGTTACTCATATTACTATTACCTATTGATATACATCCGCAATGTATACGAATGATAAAAAAATATTTATCATATATATTATATTGTATATATTACATTATATACAGCGTTAAATCGCCCAAAATGCTTTCACGTCAGCATCCGTTTAATTGGACGGCGTCGTTAAACAATGTGCATCGATGACCCAAATCGGTCGACAACTCTGGTGTTTGCACGCTTGACCGCCAAATAATAATAACAATGCACTTAAAATACTATCAAAACGCGTATAAATTGATCATAAAAATGTTTTTAATGTAGTTTTGGTTGTCTGTACAAGTCCCAAAGTTTTCGTTAGGCTTGGTTGACGCTAGCTAATAGATATCTATACTTACTAATCGGCTAGGTAGGTATCTGCGGTATGTAATCATAATTAACATGTGTTACGAAAGACAATAATGATATTACTTTTATTACATACAGGATATACCTAAATTACAATGTATTATTATTATTAGGTATTATAATAATATGCGATACGGATTATTAATCGTGGGGTGCGAGCCCAAGCGTTTCGACACAGCGTTACAAAATCTTGTCTAAAGCTAATTTTAAAAATATACATTTAAGTACGGCCAACGTAATCGTTTTTATAAAAACCAAGCGAATATTACCTATTACATAGGTACCTATTTATAATATTATTGATGCGCCAGCTGATGCCGATGCTGTACACATAAGCAGGTCAAGCAATATCGAATTATTACCAGCCCGTCCGCGGTTATCTAGCAATTTAGGCGGTGTTTGATTTCCCGTGACTAACACATAGATATGCACTGTAGTAATATTATTTTAATTTTACACTTGTACTCCCAAATTTATATAGGTTAACTGTTAAGCGGTCTCTCTGGCAAGGAGCGGCGATTAAGAAATTTTATTTTCAAATTAAATCGTTTAGTTAGTTATATGTAATAAAAGTGAAAACCGCCCGACCCTAGGAGAATCCCAAAATTACAACTTATGTTATGTTGCAGCAGCTATTGCGTTTCATTTCAGAAAAACTAAAAGTCGAAAGACTCGAAATTGTGTTGATACTTCCATAATTTATAGTAGCGTAAGTAGGAAAAAACCCGATAGGAGCTGGGGTGTTTAAGTCTCTGACTGTGTGTACATTTGTGGCTTGGTTCACAAAAGGCTAATACCACTTTTTGTCGAAAATAAGTTGAACAACTAAAAATATAAATTTAATTACCCTTTACAGTGTATACAAAAATAACACTCCTTGGACAAAAAATAAAACGAGTTGTACTAATTTTTTTTTTACGACATTAACACAGAACCTAACAAAATATAAAAACTTTAAATCACATTTGCCAAAAGGACAGAGATTGGCTTACTTTCAACCAAATTGTAGAAATATATTATTTATTATATATTTTAATCTTTTTTGAAGTTCGCACTCATGTTTTAACATTTCTTGTATTTAAAGATTGACCTCATACGAGGTCATGGCCTTGCCTACTGGGAAAGTGATGGCGATTTTTAATCATTAAAAAAAGTTAAAACTTTTCATCTTATAATTAATAAATGATATAATATCGTATTATTAATAATAAATTCATTTTGTATACGTAGTACAATGATTTTTATTCAAAATTTTTTGAAACAAAATTGTCCAACCAAATTAACTTTAAAACAGACTTCCCTTGTTCAATGCATTTTAAACAGACAAAAATAATCAAAAACTATTAAAACTTGTCTATAAATATAGTTTGTTTTTACTCTTTATTCTAATTCATTATTATGCAAACGCAATTTTAATGTTTCTCTAAATTTAATATTTTATCATTTAAAGAAAGTAAAATCAGTATTAAATACCTAATAAAATATTTCTTAGGAGGCTTATACAAATTGTAGGGAGGCTAAACTCTCCGAATGCTTCTTCTAATTTTGTCTATCGATTCCAAACTAAGTATGTGAAATGTAATTTCAGTTTTCGACAACTAAATTAAAAAAACTCGTTTTAGTGTGTTTACTTACATATGAAATAAAAACACGTTTAAAAACATTCTCATTATGCTGTTGTAGATTTTTAATATGTTAATTAAGCGACCAAAGACAAACACGTTTATTATTTTGCTAATATTAATTTAAGAAACCAAAATGTAGTAAACTTAACTCGAGGTTTTAAAAAAACCAATTTCTCAGTTACCAGTGTAGGTCTACAAAATAATACGTATTCCCCCTGTCGTCACACTTATATTCTATAGATGTGTTGACATAGTTAAAGCAGTTTGTACATACCTATATATCAGAGCCGTTTGGTGGCCGCGGAGAGTGAAATGTCCAGCGAATGGCAAGTGTATTCATGTGAAATTTTATTGACCAGACCATGCAACGAATACAAAATGGTCCATTAATATTACGGTCTTTGTAGGTTAAGAAATGATTTTAGGCAATTACAAATAGCCGGCGATCCTGTATTGTGTACCTAGGCTCGATCTATTATGTGTACCTACTCTTCTAGAAAATCGAGCGCGTCAAAGTGGCTATTATTGAACAGATTCAGCCAGTAGGGCGGCCGTTTAGGTAAATGATTCTACTGTAACATCTCTATGCATTCTAAATTTTTGTATGGTGTATAAGCTTAGACCTCAAAAATATTGTCTAAACAAAAATATCTATGTGTATTTTGGTTATAATTAAATTATAATGCTCTTCGATCGTAATACTCGTTTAATACTTAATTAATACAAGTATCGTTATTCGTGAAGCACGTTTCAGTCAACAACACCTTATAATAATATAATAATAATAATATATTCACATAATATACGTACAAGATGATAATTATTATTATACTGTGCTACGATTTAGACTATTTGTTTGATTTTAATTGTTTACTCCCGTGTAAAGTAGTCAATCGTGTTTGCTTACAAAAACACGTTAATATGTAAAGTAATTCTACCGCAGATATTGATTACGGGCTAATTTTGCATTGGACACTCAAATTTCCAAAACAATTTTACTGAGAAGGTATCGGTTTTAATTATTATGCGTTTTAATATGTTTGTTATGACTCGATCACGATAATATTTTCTAACTGCTGGACCATTATGCTGAATTAATCTGAATAATAACCCTAGTTTCCTTTATTTTTACTTTGTCCTTGGAAAAAAAAAATGTAGTTTATAGTGTAGTTTTTTATGAAAGATTATATGGGTATTACTAATTTGGTTAGCTTAATCTGTTTTTGATTAAAATTAAGCTCAACATTTGGACGAGAGGAAGGATAGAGTGTAGTATTATGTGTATCTGCTTTCCTTATCAATCGCGCTCCAAGATGAAGTTACCTTTAGGCTATGTTATTGAAAAATATAGGACGTAGGCGTAAAGGCTACGTGAAATAGGACTTTGGTGTGAGGTTGTGCACAATGGAGCTACAAGTCTGAGAACATGGGCACTTCTTGAGCCCACCCACTAACAAATAAAACTAAAACTATTCAAAAATATATCAAATTTGATAAATGGCTAACTAATAACTATTAAAGTACGAAAAAAGAACAATTTAAAAAATCTTAAATCTTTTAAAATAGGGTGTGTGTCATGTTTGGCCAATCACCCTGTACGACTAACAACTTGAAGGTAGGAGAAGGATCTTTATTATTACAGTGTTAATTGTTTGTACAGTGTACCGCAGGTATATAATTTTATTAAAATTCTGAGGTTTTAAAATATTTATTGAGAAATAAGCAAAAAAAAAAGCTAGCAACGCAATTATTATTAATTTTATACTGCGTATTTAATTTTTGATACTTTAATTTTTACCACTTACAGATTCATTTGGAAGCGTTTTCTTGAGTGTGATTTTATCACTTTCAAAAAAAATAATTGCTACATACATATGACCGTCCCGACCTCATCTAACTGTAATACACTCTTCCTTGTGCTGGATTTTTTTCTATTAGACGGTGTAAAAAAAATACATATATATAAAATGCAATGTTGTACGTGCTTTATTAATTACGTATTATTATCTCATGCGTTGCGTTGTAAAGTCAATCGACTCCATAATTACCCAATGTCTATTGCAGGAGTTTCCAAACTGTGCACCACAATGACCTAGGGACATGACTAGTATAATCCATACGAAAATAAAAAATATATAATACAACTTATTGTAATTATTTTTTGTTGAATTTAATTTGAATTTTATAATAATAATATTCCTGGCGGTATTCATGAATACAACTATTATAGATTATATTAATTAGTCAGTCAATAGTCTGAATAGGGAACAAAGGCACTGAAGCTGGTTTTGGCCCGAAAAAACGACACCACCGGCTAAAAAGTTTAGGAATCCTTGGTTTATACCAGCTATGACGTGCCGACATTCGATTATTTCATTTTTATCCTTTATGTGTACATAAAATATGATATGGCTATCATTATTGTAGGTATTAATTATGTTTTTTTAATAAACTGGTTTGCAATATTGCTCGATGCGCAGACGCTATTGCCTATTATAAATATGAGTTTTTTTTTCTATTTGCTAATAATTACCTAGATAATACTACGAAAATAATATAAACAGCATTTTTACAGCAAAATAAATCATTACTGCTGTCGGTGTTACTATAACCATAGATTATAAATATATGATACAAATAAGCTATAACACTATCGGTACACTATTTTTTCGAAAGAATGTTTGTTCAAAATTTGTATTATGATATTTATAAAAAGGAGCAAAAAGCATAATACCGTCTAGAATATAGCTCTAGATTACATACATTTTTATTATATAAATTTCAATCCATAAATGGTTGTATTCTCAACAAGGTCGTCCTACTTTGCGAGGCTCATATACTTACGGGCGAGTGTTAAGTAATAGTATTTTTGAGAGCTCATAGGTCATAATTTGAACATTAAAATTTTGCGCTATGAAAAATAATTTTTGGCAATGTTGGAAAATTATAGATTTAAAAATAATGTTTTTTTTAAACCATTATGTCACATTTACATTTAATAATTTCAACGTAACATTTTTAGCTAGTAAAAAATCGTTTTCAACAAAATATTTAAAAAAAATTAGTCATCTAAATACATTTCATTATGCCTTAAGTGTTTAAATATTACACTGATAGAAATTCTTAAAATAAATCCTGAATATAAAGTCTTGAGGCCTGAGCTCTGATTTTTGTTTTCAAATGATAGTAAGACATATTGCATTTGTAAGTAACATCTATCAAGAATAGAAATTCGAGCTAGGATAAAGAAATCCAAATTCGATATAGTTTTGGTCGTAAGTAGTATAGTTCTACAGATTTCTTTTGCCCAATAAGAATTCGTGCTTATTAAATTGATAAAGTACTTAATAAGGATTGTTACGTAATTATGGGAAAAAGTGAGAGAAATTGTTTTTAAGAGATGAGTGTCGAAAAATATTTTAATTAATTTTAATAATTAGTTTTATCGACTGTCTTAATTTAATACATTCCTGCATCCTAATAAAAGTATCTACTGCTGTAATGGCTATCCTTATAATTTTTTTTTTTTTTGAGCATAAGTTTTTTTTGAGGACAAGAAAATTACATTAGTATGTTTTTATTAAACTAATGATCGATCAATAACTAGTCTTCTTGGGCAATTAGCTTTTATGATTCATAAAATGATAAAAACGGATATAAGTTAATAAATAGAATATTCTACTGAAAATCAAGAAATATACCTAAATTTCTCAAGCATTTTCTCCTAACAATATAATAATCTGTGTCGGTATACTTTGACAGTAATTTATTATTTTTGGTGCATCTACGGACTACCAAAATCTTCCACTAACTGTAATTTACTTAATACCCATAATCTAAGTTTTCAGCTAAGAAGTCGTTAAAAAATCATTATTAAACCAACAAGCCGTTCAATATTGGATAATAACTTTGTTGCTGTTATAATATCATTTAAAGTTTGATTGTATAATACTCATCAATCGTAATGCATTTTCCAGGGAACAGATCCAAAAGTTGCCACTTGTCGAGGAAAATTACAAAACAAACGTTCAGTATTGAACCAGGAAATTAACAAAGAACTTAAACTTCGAGCTGGAGCTGAAAATCTATTAAGGTTAATTACTTATATTTTTTATCTATAATATTTCATAGTATTTTAAATATAATTTAATTATTTATTTTTATTGAAAATTCAACGTTCATTAATTATTAATTAGGCATCGATGGATGACTAATTTACATGAAAAATTATAAAACTTACCTATAGATCGTTTATAATTACAGAGCTACAAAAAATCGAAAGTTAAAAGAAACTGTAGCTTTAGAGTTAAGTTTTATGAACTCCAATTTGCAGCTCCTCAAAGACGAGATGGCACAGTTGAACAGTTCGGTGGAAATTTACCAAGACGACAGGTGAGTCGATTGTCAATTAAGTAACCATTTCGATTAATTAGTCAAACAAAGTAGTATAGTAGTAAATGATAACGGAAATAATTATTAGTTGATATTTGGTGGGCATTTTTTTCGTTGTTGCAAGCTGTTAACCTATAATAAACCTATTTGGTACAATCTATATAAAAATACTACCGCGCATATGGTAGAGGTTTAATCGACCAAGTGTATGCGGATCATCCAACAAGTTAATATAATATTGTGGAGCAATGACTTCTAGTACGATTCATAATTAGTAATTATAACGTAAAGACATTTAAATTGAAATTCCTAAGTCCAATAACTTTATTTTTTAATTTATTTATTAATTTGTATTCAACTTTGTAATTACTCTGTATTATTTTTAATTATTCGGGTAGGTATAAACCAAGCTATACAGTAAAAATTATACTTGTAAGTTTTTTCGCATAAGTAGTTTTGAAAATATCGACTGTCGTTATCTATTCAAGACAAAAATTAAATTATATAAAAGTAAAACAATAGAATATTATAAAATTCTTAATGAGTTGTAATTATAACAATTAATACGTTTCCTTGAAAAAGCGTAATGCGGAACTAATTTGATTTTCGTTTGCCTTCGAGTCGGTTGTTGAACTTAACATAGTATGTAAATGTAAATACGGTTGACCACCGATAAAAAACAGCCAAAATACTTATCTAGTGCAATTATCTAATACGGACAACGAACTGATGAAGACCTAGAAGTGCGATTCCTTCAAATAAAAGTTATCTGAGGTCGTAAAATATGTTTAACTTGTATTGGTAAATGGTATACAAAGGAGAGAGGCATTTGACACGACACTACGAATCATACTTAAATCATAAAGTCTTAAACACTTTTTATGTTATGACTTATTTCAATTAATTACAAATCGAGATACACATTCATTAAATTATGTTATTAAACACTAACCAGAATTTTTTTTTTTACTGCAAAATAATATAGGATTTAAGATTTAGCTGGCTGATTTTATTTTTCAATCTTTGTTAAAATTCAAATTCAATTTAAAAAAACTAAAATTTCAATACCTAGCTATGAATATGTTTTATTGTAATCTAATCATTGAAGAAAAAGTAATGAATCCAGAAACAGTTTTATGTTAATAATTTTCGGATCTATTAATTTTGTTATTTTGTCAGCAAACGTTTCAGAAGTAGTTAAGGTAAATAATCTCTTCATTTATTAACATTTCAAAGACCTCTAATACCATATCGTGAATCGGTTGAAGGAAGAATAGTAATAAATTATAAAACCTAGATGACAAACTCGAAACTCAGAAAATAAAGAGTTAGGTTAGGTATAAATAACTATATATTTTTTACCAAGTATCAAAAAAACGACAGACGTTATGAATCTCATTCAACAGGAGTTGAAAGAATGGAAGCCTCTTATATAATAAGTATCTTATTTTTAATACCAGTTTATGTATTTTATTCCAGTTAGAAATGGTGGTAGAACCAAATACATACCGTATGTAAAAGATATTTGTAGGTATACCGTTATAAAATGTTAAGTGAACTAAACTAGTAATTTAAAACTATATATAAATAAATATTAATATAGATAGATAGTAAAAATAAAGGGCGAATATCTCTCAGATTCCGGCTTTATAGTTTTACATTTTTTATTACACTTCTAATACTTGAATACTTAACACGTTATAAAGTCGTAATTCCAAATAGTCAGGTACCTGCGCTGTTTTACTTGTTCATCGTTATTATGTATATCGAAAAGCTGGATAACGGCTCTCTATTAGGTACATATTTCGTTGAGCGAGTTTATTAGCATTTATCACCGTTGTCAGACAGTACACCGAAAGTCAGAATGTCCATAAATAAACAAACTTGTAACTATAAAATGTAGGCGAGTTAAGTTACAGTTAAGATCAAAAGTACCCTCGTACTATTTTCTGCTCGTAATTAATAATAAAGTAGACCCGAAATTAGTTAGGTTATGATTAGTGATTAGGGAGTTTGAGATATTGCTCTTTCTAGTCTCTAATAAAATTCACAACTCCAAACATGTGTTGATAATAATTGGTAACTATCAATGTGTTGCCAGTTGCCACTTTATGTTTCTTATTTCCTAAGACTGCATTTTAGTTCTAATATTCTAATCAACTTCTATGTTATACTTATTGATAGTTCTTATTTTGTAGTTTTCACCTATTTAAGTCTAATCTGATGTGTGTAATTATTTAAATTGTTTTTTTTTAAACTAATTACAGTAAATATTTATACACAGCGTATCATATATTACTCACTAGTTTTGTTATTTTATTACTGTTCCCTTTGCAAAGTCGTCCTACCTATAGCTCTTAAAAAAATGTTTTATATTTTATTAGCAGATAGTTGGAATAAAATACCTAAGAAACTTGACAAATTTTTAAAAAATGGCAATTTTTTCTTTCGTTTTACTACACCCACGATATTTTCTAAGCCACTGACCAGATTTCTTCGTGTAGCAACTCTATAGATAAAAAATCGTACATTTAAGGTACTTAATTGGTCCAAAAATTAAAAAAAATTCTCCCCTTCTCTTTTAAAATCGATAAAACACTAAAAAAATGTATACACTTTTCAACTTAAAATTACGATGCTCGATAAATAATCGAATTAGTCCCAAATTTGTAGGAAATATTCTTTAAACTAGTACTACTGATAAACATTGACAAAGCAAAAATATATCATAAGCCCTTTCCCCTAGAAGGGATTAACATTTTTTCTTTATTTCACTTTTTCAAGTAATGTTTTAGGGATTTAGGTCTGAAAATCACTAATAAAAGACTGGGTTTTTAAACTTCTATCTTGACAACTAATTCGTTTTTGAATTTTTACGTATCAAGTTTTGGCTTTTGTATAAAAAAAACTATACCTAGGATTCATCTACAGCGGCGTTTCCCCTCCCATTGATTTAGAAAAATTAATACATTTATAATAGCTATTTTGGCAAAAAGTAGACAAGATGAATAACCGGTATATTTTATTAGAGTTCATATTTAAGTAGTTTTAAGTATCAAAATCTAGTGAACTACCCTGCGATCGGTAGCGTTGTTTTCTTTTTTTTTTGTATTGAATACATTATTGTTATATAGAAATTAATTGTAATTAAATTGGCGTACAGAACCGTATTCGCAATGGCCAGAACGTTTTCCTCTGCTATACATAGTTACTGGCCGAGCAGCAGAAAGTTGGATGACCGGGATAATATGCTCTGCGATAAAATAGCCGTGCGCATAACTAGAACATTATTGTTGTAAATGTTTACATTTTATAGCTTCGTGACTTTCACTCAAGCGCAAACCCAGATGATCACCGTGTGGCGTGCTGTATTCTAGCAACCTGTATGCAATATTATGCTCCTCGTCTTCGTTTTATGGAGCCGTTGTTCTTGCCATGCGGTCATGCACTCCGGTCGAAACATTTTCTCGTCGATCTCCAAACGGTTTTTTATGATCAATTAACAAAACCGCGAACGAACATTTTTCGTGCATCGACTCCGGTGTGATTTTCAAAAATCCACCGCAGTGAGACTATCTTGTATACACTACAATATATACATAGGGATCGGCGGTCGGTGTCATAATTATTAGGTATACAATAGTATTATACTATGCTGATTTCAACCGAGACCATTAAACCGACTAATTAGCATGTAAAACCGCCGTGGATTAAAAACACAACCGATTGTACTGGGTCGTTTTACTGCCGTTGAAAACGACATTGTTGCGATTTAAGTACAAAAGGAATCACTAATTACCTACAAAAACCACTTACACAGTTTAAATAATATTGAATTGTTTTACCTTGAATTGTGCACTGCTTACTTTGCGCTGATCGGTCTTGAGTCAAATTAATAGACACATTTGAAACAAGATGAAATTTGTTTAATTTAAAACAAAACAATTACTTTTGACCGTTTAGCAAATAACAGCATTATTAATAAGAATCACAGTTATATAATATGTAAAAATATTTTGAGACTTTCGAGTAATTTTAATTTACCAATAAAATAGGAAATCTTAAATTCATTAATACTTAATTTAATTTTTTTTTAATATTATGCTGACTTTAAAAAGTATGTAGGTAGTTGAAATCTAAAACATGTATTTTATAGAATTAGAAAAAAATCCATTTTATAGGAGATCTTATGGGAGACCCCATCAGACACTATAGGCTACGTGTAGGTAGTATTATGATTATAATCAGATATATTCTGGACCTGATATGTGTTATGTTGAACGGAAAAAAGGTAAAACGAATATTAATTATACAGGTTACTTGAAGTCGTTCATTTAAGCGATAATATTTTAACAATATATACCAGACACTAGTGATAATTATTGGGTAGGTATATACTTACCTAATAAAGAATTGTAATTTGCTATAAACAAGTTAACGTTATGTAGAACCTGAAGGTATTAATTGTAGAACATCAGCTATATTAAACATTTTATATTATTATGTTTTAATGTGAATTTATTATGATTTATGATAGAACGATAACCCTTATATTACTATAATGTGTACTTTTTTTTTTCTAGTGCCGAACACATCATGCCTATGATTCCGTTGGGCCTAAAGGAAACCAAAGACATCGATTTTAAGGACGCTTTTCAAGTAAGCCGTTAGAATTGTGTACACTAAATCAACAACAACAATAATTATAACTGTACTCGAGATTAGTTTCAAATCTGGTTTGTGATCAATAATGTAACATTTAATAGTACACAAACTCTAATGTATTATACTATACCTACTGTTGACGTCTCAATACTCGTTTTGAATCGGTACGAGGTCAGGATGTTTTAAATAATTCAGCTCTTTAGCGGATTTATAAATAAAATATTCGTTTAACGGTTCAATAATGGACTACAGATTTTTTTTTTTACCTGGTTAGCCTTTCGCAGTTATTTTACAATATATACTAGACCATTCGGCTTATGAATAAAAAAAATCTAAAGATAACAACTTTATAAATATCAATAGTAATATAAACATGTTAAAAAAACAACTCTCGAGCTATATAATAACATAATGGGTATAAACCTACTGACTACTCGAACATCCGTACCGGATTTAGTTAAATACCTTTATTGGTCGGAATAGTATAATACTGTCATTAATTTACATACATTCGTACTCTTGGCCCAAGACAGTGCGTCGTCGGAACAGGTTCTTTTTTATGTCACATACAGTTTTCTCCGGCTAGAAACCGTACATACATTATATATATATATATATATATGTGACTGTATACTTCAGAAGTGTGTCCCGGTGTTTTCCAAGTACACATTTTTGATTTGACAATCGCAAAGTCCCAGTTAACCGTATGGAAGTCTTTTACAGTTCAATAAACACAGGCTCGTGCGTTTTCGTATGCCTACTATATTAAAGTGTCTTTAAGCCAATATAAAAATTGTCTACACTTTAGTTTTAACCTTGAAGCGTTTTTAAACTCGGTGGTTTCGCTAACTATGACTCAAATAGTGCTCTTTTAATATTTGCTTTTTGGAAGAATTTCGGTGCTAAAACATTTTCCGGTATTTTCGTATTGAATACCCCTTCTTTTTAACTGATTATTTTGTCACCTACTTTTGATTTATATTTGTCAATCTACATGTTATAATCAAATTATAATTATATATAATCATGTGACAGTCAAACAGTCTTATTAGTACAAGTATTTTCTAATAAAAACAGTGACCAAATTAGATTGTTAGAGAATTCCAGTTAGTTTAGGCTATGTCAATTTTTTTTTAGGTAATTATTTTATTGATATCATTTAATATGCAAGGTATTTTTCTACTGTCAATTAAGGGTTCCTGTTATTGAATGTAGTCCTTTTAGTAGATAATTAATCATATACTTTTTCAAATATGAACAGCAAATAAACAAACAAATAAAACTACTATATTTTTTTGTTGCCAAACGAACAGTTTGATTCGGTTAAAAAATTATTCGAAATAATATTATTTATAATAAAACTCGGAGTGAGTGAGTATACATTTATTTAATGCATATTTATTTAAATTTAGTTTACCAATATAATTGCGTCATGTTTATTACATACAACCCTACAGAAAGTGATTCGGCTTACTTAACCCTGGTAGACTTAGATGAGAGTTTAATAGGTACTTGTTGAATAAAAGTTTATTTAGATACGTGAGAAAGATGTGCCTGGTAAAAAGCAATATTACTGTGTTTTTTTTTGCAAAACTATAAATTCGATTATTCGTGTTTTCCATTCCATTGGTCCTGAACAGACCTCGATGTTTGTTATATAGTCATACTTCCTCCGTCATTGTATACCAAGTAGTATAAATCTGTGCGATACTTTTAGGTCTCGCACATCAAAGCGTTAACAAAGTTTCCACACTAAAAGCGTTAAATCGTGCCGATTCAAGGCGCAATTTCATGGTTAAAGAAATCGGAACAAATCATGATAATTGTATTTTATACGCGGCTTGTCGGGTTTAATGAATTTCCTTAATTACAATAACGTTAATTGATAACGATGACTGTTTGTTGTTGCGCGTTATAAATTCGAATCCAACCATTTTATAAAAGGTGAAAGAACCATTCCGGCTGACGGACACATCCAGAGTTTATCCGCGGTCATTTCAAATTTATTCAAATTCTTTGTTATATTAAACGAACAGCTAGTGCATAAAAAAGAAAGAGTATGCTGTGTAGGTACGTTTATGATATTAATCTATGAACAAATTTAACCTTTTCACAAATTAAAAATATGAATATCGTGTGGAACAAATGTATAATAATATATTTTTTAGTTACGTAGCCAGGATTTTGTCACAGAGATAGGACTTAAGTATACACAAATACTCCTGCGATATATTAAGCACCAATAATTAAGTTTGGTATTAAAGGATAAAAAATTTAAAAAAAGTTTAAACTTAATTTACGAAACACTAGTTTAAAAAAAAATTATCGTTTAAATAGTCCAATTTTTCAGATGTCATTTACGTTTAATTTTATAAAATACATAAATTGATAAAGAAAACAATTGTACTCAATCATTTATTAAAAATTAAAAACAATGGCTTCCGATTACGAAGGAATCATCACTTACTTAGTCAAAATTTAGGTTGCAATCTCATTTCTAGTTAAATTATGTATTATTAAATTATTTTTATATCTATTAAAAAAAAAAAAAATACGAAGAAAAATCCTTCTTAATTTATTTTTGATGTATGGACATCCTATACGGCTATAAAATTAATATTTCAAAAATATGGTGAAAATATTTTTTGGTCATAAATAGCTTAAATATTTTTAAGACAATTTTAAACTATATTTAAAAATTATAAATATTTATAGCTTCCTAGTTTTGTGCTGTTGTTAACTATATATATACATAATATACTGGTTTACCGGTATACCTGTAACTAGGCCTAGTTCAGAATGTTAATAAAACAAATTATATTGATATTATTTATTTATTTGCTATTTGCTATTCATTATAAAGACAAGTTTTATAGTAAACATAAATTTAAATTATTTAAATTGATTACTTAATGGTATTTCATTATCTGGTGTCATTATAAAAACAGGATATTCAATTACATAATTTACACCTACGATTTATTAGATATATTAAATTAATTAATTATTTGTATTAGTATTCCTTCTTAATTAGTGTCATTATTATTACTATTGAGTGTTGGTTTTATGATTAATTAGTTAATTGGTTGCACCTTATACAAATTTCTAATTTAATAATCATTCCAATTCTGCTAGGCTCAACCTAAGTTTTGGTGGTTTTATAGGTGTGTGTGTGTTTATTTTATTTACGACCATAATTAACAATACACATGTGTTTTTAAGAATGTATATTTGTTTAGTACATACAACTTTGGTAAGCAAATACGCGCTTAAAAAGTCTCTATTCTTAAAAGCTGACAACGTTAATACACAGCTGTACTTGGAACAAAGGTCTTGACAGTTTCCTGCTCAATAATCGATTAAACCAAAGACTTAAAAGTTGTATCGGCCGATAAATGTTGAATATTTATAAATTAAATATATTGTAACTTCCTATATTGACATAATTTAGCCTAATATAAGCCTAATTATACTGACTTGCAATCCTTGACGACTTAATTATTCTGCGCAGTTATATTCTGAAATAAAATAATTTAATAAATAACACTATTCACTATATACTAAGTAACGCGATTTGACCTTGCATTTGATTAAAACTATTAGTTTAAATTTGGCCTTATGCTTTGTCGCGAAGCTAAATACGTAGTTATTTTACTATATTACATAATTACTATTAATGTATTAATAATACCTATACAATATGTATTGACGTGTCCAATAAAGAAAGACGTAACTAGGTTTTTAAAAAAAAAAAATTATTTTCTTAAACTAATAACACTTGTTTTCTGTACTACCAACTAAAAAGGTAGTACCCAACTCAATTCTGTTATTCAGAATTTCTTTGGTCGCGTGTTCTGTTAAAACATTTTTTTTTTTTTTTTAAATCTAGTTACGTCCTTTTTTGTAGTTTGTTGAACACGTCGATATATATTATGTATTATCTATTATATAAAAGAGTAAAAATGATTTTAGTCTGTATTGATTTTTTATTTATTGCTATATTTTACAGGATTTTATTTCCGAACACTACAGCGAAGACTGTAGACTTTACGAAGAAGCCATTTCCGATTTCACCAAACTCAGACAGGTACTTAACTTTTAACTAAACGATTACTAGTGCAGCCAATAACATGTAATGAATTTTATATTATTTAACAGGACATTCAGTTTCCCAGAAGGGATAGTTCGGGAATATCACTTTTGATTCATTATTTCAATCAACTCTACTATGTGGAAAGAAGGTTTTTTCCGCCCGATCGGAGCATGGGAATTTACTTCGAATGGTACATACTCTTTATATACTTTGGCACATTTCCACATTTGAATAGTTAATAAAAAATATTGTTTTTATTAATTGGTTTATGTCTAATATATGTTAAAAGGAAACGTGTTATTTTCTACTTTGAAAAACTCGTTCGATGATATTTTGCCGGCTCTGTTTATAATACTTCACAAGTTTTATATTTAAATTTAGAATAATAATGTTATACTTTTAAATAAAGCTTAAAAATATTACGCGATAAGTATTCCTATATTATTATACTTGTGCGTTATATATATTGGCATAACTATGAGGAACTGTATACAAATATTGATAGAACGGGTCCTCATATCTACCACGAACATTAACGTTAACTAACAACATATTATTTTTAAATACCCAATTGATTCGGCCAATGAACTCGGTCTTTACCTCGGTATACCAATGTGCGGTTACTGAAAGTTAAGTTTATGATCTATCGGACATGCAAAAAATATTCCTATCTACAGCATGACAATAATACATATTATTCTATTGTAACTTATCTAAGGTATGACTCTCTGACCGGAGTGCCGAGCTGCCAAAAGACCGTGGCTTTTGAAAAAGCCTGTGTCCTGTTCAATGTGGCTGCCATACACACACAGATAGGCGCCAAGCAAAACCGATTGTCCGAAAAAGGGTTGGACCAAGCCATAGGATGCTTCCTGCGGGCCGCCGGCACTTATACTTACATCCAGGAAACGTTCGTTAACGCTCCTAGCATGGACTTGTCGTCGAACATGATGACATTGCTGGCCAAGATCATGATGGTCAGTATATGCCTCTAACTAAATCACTGTCGGTTAGATATAATGCATCTATGAGCATTGTCAGTGGCATGGTGAAATAATCTTCAAGTGGTTGATAGATTCTTCCCCCATAGATTTTTTTTAGTGGGCGTTAATCTCTCTCTTAAATCATTGTAGGAAATAGTGGAATTTGTTTATAGTGGTAATTGACTTAGCTAAATATTTTTACTAAAAATGTTTGAGAGAATCGTAGGAGAGTTTACCACACCACTGATAATTTTAAAGAGCCTTAGCTATAAATGGTAATCAGGTGACTGATTGCTTGATGAGTATAATGCCTCCCATACACGGTTTTGAATGACAATCAACGTGATTTACATTCATGACTGACCGTGTATGTGTATGACTGATAATGACTGACAATCAAATTTTTTGACTGATGAAATTTAAACATGTTTGAATTTTTATCATCAGTCAAGATTGATCACATTGATTGACATTCAAGACTGACCGTGTATGGGGGCTTAACTTCAAATGTATGCTTTCTAACGGCTAAAGTGACAATTGTTTTTCTTTGTGTATATGGTTCAGGCTCAAGCGCAAGAATGTCTGTTTGAGAAACTAGAACTGCAAGTGCACAACAAGACGGACTATGACTTATCTATGGATCTCGGTCAAGAAGCCGCTCAAGTGAGTGCAGTAAAATAAAATAATTGAATTTTCCTTGGAAGTAAATGCATGATTTTGAACGGCAACCGCCCACCGTTTTGTCTGTTGCCGCAGGTGTCCGAAATCTATGCAAACATCTACTCGCTAACGTCTCTGGAAGGGATAGCCGGCTACATACCGGACACGTGGGTGTCGTTGATCCAAGTTAAAAAGGAACATTACGCGGCATTATCGTACCATTACACCGGCATAGGCGTTTGGGAAGTTCCGACTAGCAATGACAAGCACAACAACAGCTGTAGCACCAGCAATAGCAGTAATCGACGACGATCAATGCACTCTGCCGGTTCTTCTTCGCCGGCCACCATTACCGACGAAAACCGTAAACAATTGGGTAAGCGAATGATCGTGAGCCACTTAAGAGCTCGCCATATCGATTCCATTTTGAAATTATAATTCCCTGGATTCAACTTCAATTGTTTTATACAATACAAGTAGAATTAACCAACCCTAATACCCTCACACCGCATTTATCTATCTACTCCGTGTACTTTCATAATATTCTGTCTTTATGACATCCACTCACTTACCCGTAGTCCTACCTCTACCCTCGAAATCTCTCTGATCTACCTCTTATTCACTTGATAGGCTTTATTTTATTAACATCCTCTTTCACAACGTGTCCAAACTGTTACAACATCTGTACTATGGTCATACTATCATGTCATTGAGGCAAATCTCAAACTACCACTTACGTACTCATTTCCTGTCGTGTGTATTACCTAGTCACTTATACTTTTTTTTACTTCTATTTTCCTATCATTCGTCTTCTTCTTCTCTAGCTCAAAACTCGCCTTAACATATCAATCCTCACAGTAAATAATATGTACCCCCCGATCACAAAATGCATTAAATCATACATCAAATATGTACCTACCATTGCTTTTTCCTTGAAGAACTGATTCATCTGCATTACAACTAACAGCTGTTTTAAACTGGCATTAATCGTTGTTATCCGTTTGGAAATCCAAAAATGTTCAAAAAGTTAACCCAATTATGAATAGATATTTCTACATTTTTATCGGTTAGGTTCGAGTCTGTTGTCGAACCCTCTTAAAACCCCTGAGAAACCCCAATCGGCTTTAATCCTTTTTCCCCAAGTCTTCTTTTATGTGTTTAATTTTTATTATTTTTGTCTGACCCACAGGCAAAGCTCTTTTGAAACTATCGATATTGTTTCACGAAGAAGCGTTGAGGATACAGAGACTGTGCAGAGAACTTCGTTCGAAAAACTCTCTGGCCGAAGTACTAAAATCGGCCATGAACATCACTATAGACGTGCTGAACGACGAGGGAGGTCTAGAAGAGATTGGCGACGATGACTTCTATTGTGATACTATAGAACCGCCCGTCATCGAACGTGAGTTTATTGATATTAATTATTTAACATACATAATAAATAATAATATATAAATTTAAATAACTGCCAAGCAGCAACCTTCGCCATTTTTTAGACTCAAGTCCAAAGCTGGACAGTTTTTTAGTTAGTTACAATATTATTATGCTACGCGAAAAAATTTTAAAATCACCAGCTTATCTTGAAATATAATTAAACAATACTCAAATTGTGGGCTAAACGAATTTTTTACTGTGTTTTGTTTTGTGGTAGTTTTGGATTTGACGTTAAATTCTTAAATTTGGACTTATCTAAATTCTGATTTATAAATTGAGATTTACTCGCATTATTACAGCTTGCAGTAAATTTCAATTGTCGTTGACTCCGCCCGACTTTGGCAGTCTGCCAGCCGAAGATCTGTTCGCCAAATTGGGACCCGTGGCCGTGTTTTCCGCGAAACACCACTGGACGGCACCCAAGACACTGAAACTGAAAAAGACTGGTCAACGCGGTAGTTCACACAACGGAGGTGTTGGAAGTGGAGGAGGAGGTACTGGCAATGGCGGCAGCTTTGGGTTCAGCGTCCGCGGCGACGCTCCTGTCACCATCAGGGACGTGGAATCCGGATCAATAGCTCAGGTAAGAAGAAGGCGTTTTCTTATCTCAAAATAGGCGTTTGTATATTCTAGGTAATGCTTGTAGTACCTTATGGCATGAGCCCTAAGCCATTGGGCTTAGGGCTCATGCCGGATATAACCTATAGGCTATGTACCAAACGATAATCAAAGTTTCGATCGCGTTTAGCAATGCCCAACATAGACCTTATATGACGTATCTAAGGTAGGTACAACAGAAGTGTAAGTTCCATATAAGGTCAAAGTATAAAAGGTCTAGACCGCGTACTAATATAGTGTCATAAAAACATAACTTGTGATTTAGTGAAATTAACAAACCTCATCAAATACCTAGCCTTTAAAAAAAAATACATTTTAATTACCATGCTTTCGCATTGCCTTATATTCTATCACGAAAAATGACTGCCTTATAAATATTAACTAGCGAATAATTACAATAAAAATAATAAATACGATATAATAAATTGTAATAATATTTACGAGATTGCAGAAGATATTATTTATAGATACATTTTTTAATTAGTAACAATAGCGCACAGTATCTGTGGCCTAACTCCTTATTATGTCGGTTAAAAAGCCATTTAGAATTAGTATTTTTATAACTATAAACTAATAACAGGTTATAGGTATAAGAATTTAGAATGTATAGCCCAATTAGTTAATTATACAATCATACAATAACGTAGGTAAATGTATAACTCAAAATTTGTTAAAGTGAAAAAACTGTAAGAGGGCAACGAAGCTCCCAACTGTTTAGGTTTATGTGAAAAAAAGTAGCCTCCCCCCCTAACGTTTTCAATGGATTTCCGTCTATGCTTGAATAAAAATCCAAATAATGCCCAATACTAATGCGAACAAAAATCAGATGACCTATTTATATGAACTCGAATTGTTACTTACAGTATGCCGGCATGAAAGAAGGCGACGTCATCGTCGGAATTGGCGACGAAGATGTGAAGTGGGCCAATTCGGATCATGTGGCGAAGCTCATAAAACATTTCCAAGACTCTTTGGTAATGAAAGTTGTGACACCAATCAACCGCGACAGTAATAGGGTAAGTCGTTGAGGTTCATTAGTTCTAAATAAATAAGAAAATATAACAAATGACATAATATTATACAGCTACCGTTTTACACATTACAAAATAAAAACCGTCTACTAAAACAGTTACCGTGACGCGGTTTTATCTACCAGGAACGGTCTCTTTATGGTATTTTTTTTTCAATCGAATACGGTTTTTGTATTATACTATGTTCTTAAGATGTTTTTTTTTTCCAAAACACGAAGTCGATTAGTTGGAAGGTATATATATTTTTTAACCGTTTGTTGACGTTAGCCAAACAGTATATACACTTGGTTCGATTTTATGTTTGATATAATGTTCTCATTTAAATTGATACATCAGAGATGTTGTAGGTACAACTTGTGAGACTGGGATGACTTACTTATTGATGTTTTTTTCTCGTATGTTTATCAAAAAACAAAAACAAAAATAGTAATGAAAATCTTAACAAAGAAAAATAATGATACATTATTATAAATATAAAAAAAGAAAATTTACAATTCGAAACTTAGCTATCACAAATACAAAAATGTCTTAATACAAAATTAACATTTATATTTTTTTTACAGTATTTGCACAACCGACAACATATAGTAGATTCGAAAAACATGATGAATAATAAACTAAGTACGCCACACGATAAGTTAAGCCCGAGGAGTTCGATACTGAGGAAGAAAATATGGAATCCGTTCAGAAAATAACAGCTGTTCAATTATTTTTACTCATCAGCATAAGTATTATATTTTTGCTCATAAAAAATATTACAATTTTTTTTTTTTCAATTATATATACGTTGTTTAATGCATCTATTTTAATAAATTGCTGCTGTTAACACTAATAGGCTCTACCTAGCTTTATATTATATTCATTGTAAATAATATAATAGCGTTTTAATTCTATGTACAGACTATATACTTTATACATGATATGAAAAGTTCAGGTTAGTAACGGTAAATTTGCTTATGTTATTGTCTTTTTTTTTTTTTTTGTCACCGATCTTTAAGAGTTACTATTTTTCTGTTAATTTATTATTGTTGTACAATAAAATAATTTTTTACATTTCTATTGTGATGTATTATTTACTTTATTTTTTTAAGTATAAATCTATTACATTTATTAAAAATATTATATAAAATAAAAACATTAAATAAATAAACATTATTAAACAATTTCACAATAAATGTCATCTACACATCGCTATCTGTATCGTGAGCACGAGTTGGCGGTTTTTCGTAGTTGTCGGAATAACCATCTGACATTTCCGACACAGACATGATGTTCAACAGCTCTGGTTCTGTGAAAATATCTGAACCACCGCTCTGCCCGTGATGTCCGATTGCGTTAAAGGGTAATCCGTTATACCTGTTAAGTGTAATATTTGAGTTTAGAATAGTGTAATGAGAAAAATATAAGTTTATTAAATTAATTTGACTGCAAGTACTTTTTGCAATTATGAGCGTTGTGCGGGTACTGTGAATAATAAGCAATGCCATCGTTGTCTTGGAAAAAACAGCCTTCAGAATCGAAATTCCTGCTAGAAGCTCTAGAAGATAAACTAGTATGATCGTCTTCATCATCGCCTCTGTATCCGCTACGATGATGTCTATTGCAATCAACTACGCCTTCAAACATCGAATTTACATCGCTTAAAGCACCTAAAAAATATATATAGTCAATTTTAGTAATGCAAACAATGCAAAAAATTTAAATAAATAAATAAAACACAAATCACCTTCTGCATCCGTCAGACCAGTGTCGTTCATAATAGAAATATTTTCCAAAGCTGGATCGTCCGTCGTATACCCCGTACTATCCTTATCTAAAAGCGGTTCAGACACTTCCTCTTCATCACTCCATTCAGACTCTGAAATTCCTAGTTGACAAGCACTTTCTTCTAATATCCGCCTTACTTCCGCTTCCTACGACACAAAACGTTTTGCATATAATAAATTATTACATACTAATAAATATATAATGATAATTTCCAAAATAATCGACAGTATATAGGCAAGAATAGTTAATGTTGAGTTGTATATAACACACAATTTACAGTAATAATAATACTGTTAAATGATCACCTGTCGTTTGACTTCTTCCATCATTTCCCTTTCTTTCTTTTCAAACATTTTAGATTTCATAGCCTCTTCATTGAGATCACTATCAATTTGTTCATTTTCATTAGAAACGTCATTGTTGACTTGATTATCATTTCCTTGTTGCTCTCTGGGAAAAAAATAAGATAATATATCATAAGTTATAAAGCAACATATTGATAAAAATATGTATAAAAACATACTCTGTAATTGTCGTATCTAAATCACTGGCGTTAGAATTATTGTTATTATTAATGGGTTGACATGGCTGGTCTGCTAATATTTGTTGTATTTTATTGGTGAAATCAGACTGAGGGGTTTCATTGTCAACAGAAATGGAATTCAAATTGCCATCTTGACGGTTGTGATTTTTCCTTATCTGTTTAATACAAACGGAATTTGAATCCATAATAGGATGATCCGTATTAGTGGTTTCATCCTTTTTAGACAATGGCGCTTTTCTGCTGTGTTTACGACTACTGCTGTCATGGAATGATTGGCTTCTACATGTTTTTTTATTGGTATTGCTTAAGCTGCCAGATTCGATATTTTCTATTCCGTGTAAGCTGTTGTTGCAATCTTGTTCTGGTTCTGATAAATCTAAATTAATATCTGAAGAAAAAAGCCATTTGCTCGGTGTAGGAACTGATGTGGGTGGTGGTGAAGGTGACGGAGACGCGTCAGTGGTTGTACGACTATAGCTTTCATCAGAAGACGAACTAGAAGTCAGAGATCGGTTTAGAGAGCTTAATGAAGACCATGGTACACCACCGTGTGATGTTCCATGTGGAGCTGCTTGATTATATCCTTTAATTTTTTTCTTAGAGGCAAATAAAGGATTAGTACCATGGCTGTTGATATTATTACTTGGTGGTGGCTTTGGTAATGGTTTCATGTAGGGCTTTATGTTTTGCTGCCAATGATTATCACTGCTTTGGTTTAACAAAAAAAAAAAAAAAACATATTTAATTAAAACAACTTAAACTTTATAATAATGTTTAAATATAATATATACTACAAATTATACTATTATTATTGTCTAACGATAAAAAAATGATATTATGCTAATTTCTCTTGTTGTGGCTAAATGCAAACACACTTTGAGTTACTACTTTTGTGAGCTAATAGTCAATTTTACAACAATTTTTCATTTAACGACAATAATAAAGCTGATACAAATCCAGGGGAAATATTTGTATACAATTTTGTTTTAAACTGTTAAAAATATATTATGCTTTAGTTTTTATTAAAATTATTATTAATTTTTTTAATTTGTTTAAAATTGGTTTAAGCGAGGTCAAATTACATATAATGAAATTTAGTACAAAAAAAAATGTTTTATGGTTAAATCAATAAATCCTTCAACAGAGGATAAAATCACTGTACAATTAAAACTGAAAATTAAATATATATACATAGTATATATTGTTGACACCTATTTCTTTTTTTTGCGAGAGTATTAAGTAAAATACTTAAATTTCATACGCTATCTAGTAAGAATAAAAAAATGCGTCAGGTGACAAGTACGTAAGTAAACCAACGTAAAGGAAAAAGTTTAAAACGCTCTCCTGTAAAACTATTTTGTATTTTTGCAACATTTTTTTTACTAAAATCAATTAATATGTATTATCTATATCTGTGCAGTTAACTTATTACCACTCCAATAAACAATTAATATATATTTATTATTTTCATGTTAAACATATTAATATATTTAAAAAAAAAAAGTATTTACCCTTCATCTATATGAGGGATTGCTTTAATACAATTATTTACTAAAAAGTTAATTATTATTTCTTTGTCTTAAATAACATAAACCACCTATGTTATTTGATAGAGAATTTACTGTCAACTAAAAAGAGTAACAATCATATTGTGTTATATTTTTACGAATAATCGACCCAGTTTTTATTTGGTTTATTCCAAAGCTAAGTTAACCCTAGTTCATACAAACCAAACAAATGTATTGACATACAGTACAAACAATTAGAAAGAAATGTACAACATTTTACCCATTAGGTGGTGGTGGTTTCCACGTAGAGTATTGTGCAGATGATGGAGGAAAAACTTTAGTTAATCCTTTATGTGGAGGTAGTTTAGGAGCTGCCATTACTGGTGTTACATGATGATAACTGTACGAGTTGTTGCTTTTTTTAGTGATACTGCTATTGTTGCTACCTAAATTAAAAAAATATATATATATTTAATTCAATTGTCAACTTTATACCATATACATTTCAAACATTTTTTTATTTAACTTAATTATATATAATATACAACAATATTCTTCATATTATGTTACGTAATATGTATTGCCTACTAATTGAGGCTCAGACGACGGTTTATAAATTTGGTAGTTTAGGGGTTTACAGCTAGCTGTCGACCTAATGCTTAACAAACAAGTTTACCACCTAAGAGTTAGGGGTGGCTATTTCCCTACCAGACAGTCACACGCCCAAACGAACAAACCAGTGGCTGAGATTTGAACCAGCAACTGTGCGTTTTACACTGTCTTCTTATCTCACTCAGCCACGAGTCTGCCCTATATAACAATATTTCAAAAAACACATTCGATTTTGTTGACAAATAATTTTTATATAGCAATGTCTTAGAAGAAATATCAACAAGATTGAACAGATGGTACAAATTATATAATTGTATGAAATAAAGTTACCCGAAGGAAGCAATAAATGACATTCTGTGGGTGAAGTTTCGATGTCATTTGTTAATGAACGCAGTCGATTCACTGTTGGTCTGAGCATTCTGTAAGGCCTAGGTGGAACACCTAAGCAAGATAACGGAGTTGGTACGCCACCATACACGTTTTCTAAAAAGGAATACATGTTATATTAAAAAAAAAAAATAATTAGGTAAGTAATAAATCATAACGAAAATTAAAAGCTTACCAGTCGTTTCTTTTCTACTACTAGAAGACTGAATGGAGTTTAAGCCAGAAACTTTTTTTCGATCTGTCAAAAAATAAGTAGTCATATCGCCTTTTCCTTTGACTTTGACATTTCCCCGACATTGAAAAACATACGGTTCGTTTTTCAGCAATTGGTATACCTCTTCAGTAACCTAAATCAAACAGATCATATTTTTTTAATCACTAAGCTAAATAGTAATAACAACAGACACATTCATAGTGCAACGTTCATATCTCACTTGAGTATAATTTGGAAGACCCGTCGAATCCATACGACTGGCTACATTTACTGTGTTTCCCCAAATATCATACTGAGGCTTACGTGCACCAATTACTCCGGCAACAACTGGTCCAATGTTAATACCTAAAAATTACAATTACCAATTGGTAAAATAAAACTTAATGAATGCAATATGTAATAATTGTTTTAATTAATCATTTTCTTAATGAACGTACCAACTCTAAGCATGAAGTTGTTATAGGAATTATCGTTAATATATACAAGTTTTTCCCTCATCGCAAATACAAATTCTATTAAAACAGTCATGTAATGGATAGCCGACATAGGGTCATTGTCTGAAATACTGTGTTCCGGCATCAATCCGACAGCTGCCATGTATGTTGACCCAACAGTTTTGATCTTATCAATCGGTAAGAAGTTACTGTCCTCCAAAAGCTACAACAATTTATACACAAGAATGAATATAGTTACCTAATTAAAACACATAACATTTTAAGTTGTGCCAATATCAGCTATACTCTAACCTCGTCAAAATCAGCAATAATTTCGTTTAATAATCTTAAGCATTCCACTCCTTGATTGTTACCGTCTAGTTCGATATAGAACTCATGATAATTTGTAATTGATGCAAACATAACGCCAACTTTATTGTAACTATGGTGGTAGAGGTCGTGTATTCCATGCTGTTAAAGTAAAAATAATCAAAACTAGAATTTTGTAGATTTTTACCAATGTTTATAATTTCAAACTTACAATATTGTTTTTAAACTGGTTCTCTAAAAAGTGTGCAGCAACGTGTCCAGGCAACAAGTTGAACAATATTCGTCTATTACTGTTTTGTAATACTTCCATTTCTTTCTTTTCTTCTTTAGCCTGTTACATAAATTTTAATTTATCACAGTTAGTTATTGTTTAACCTAAAATATTCCAAAATACTTACCTGGACTTTCCATAAAAAGTCTAAACGTGTAGTCCACTCTACTTGTCTACCGTGAATGATAATAGCCAACATAAACATTATGACAAATACTATGCTTGTTATATGCAATGGGACTGCATTCCTAAAATAAAAATATATATACATTTATTTTGACGTGTCAAGACGTGTTAAGAAGAAATGTTAAGTGTTTAATTTACTTGATCGTGATGTCGTAACACAAAAATAAATGTCGATGGGTAAACTGAATGAAAATAATGTACATGAGTGCCATTACAGAAACGAGGAAGCATTTGATCAGTATTGGCAGGCGTAAAAACACGGCCACTGACAAAAATCCTAAGCAGCATGATAAAACCACATATTGCGGTAATGGACAGGCACGGTGATCAGACGTATTAAGTAACATGGCTTCTGTTGACGAGACATTTACTGCACCATTGCAAGAAGTATCCAGACGGCATGTAAACTAAATTTGATTTTAATATTGTTATTTTACAACATTTTACCAAACAACATTATTAAGTAGCTCTCACACAAGATTTGTTTCCAGTGTCTAGTTTTAAGTGTTGGTATGAGTGAAAAATAACATTGTGGTTTCATAAATATTTCGTTTGTTAGTTTAAAACGAATCATTAGGTAATTTTATGTTATAATAAATTAATATAAAAAAAACATTATTTGTGATAGTTATAATGAATACTTTCGGATAGTAAACTGGTTACGAAAAAAATCTTCTTTGTTTAACTGTATACATTAACACTTGTTATGTGTTAATTCTTCACAATAATTAATGACGTAAGTCGTACGTGATAGATTGTAAATACATACCACGTTAACTTGTGCAACTATATACACGAGTAACACTGTGAAGACATTAATGGCTAGTCGCAATAAAAAGCATTGTGATATATCCCATATAATCCATCTTAATCGAACAGCTAAGACAACCATCAAAACAACCTAAATTAAAGAAATTTTTGTTTAAATTTTGTTGAAAAAATGAATTCATTATTTATATTATTTATTACTAAGTTTATATCGTAAACTAATAAACTTACGGCATTCCAAACAAAAGCGGTTAGGAATAGAAGTAACAATATTACTGTTCTCGGCAGTATAGTCGCGTGCAGACAAGCAATAATGATGACAATCAATAAATTAATTACCAACGAACTAGTAAATCCAATGTCAGATCCATCTAATTGAAACTAAAAAACCAAATAGTAAAATTAATAATTACATTTATAATAATAAAACAAAATCAATTTACCGTAGTTTCCTTGTGACTATCCTTAAAACATAGCGTTACTAAACTAACTTGAGCTTCTTTTTCTCTATCAATACTACGGGCTTCAATAGCTTGATTTAAGTATTTATTGATTCGGTTTGTCGGTTGATGATATACACTAGAATGACGTTTCTTAAATGGCCTTTTGAGTTTGTCAGTCACCTTGTGCTAAAATTGATGTTTAATAAGTACAATATAAGTAATAAGTAATAAGTAAATAATAATACTCAGGAGAAAACTTAGTATAATGGGTCGGGTCATAGAGGGGAAAGAGAATATTGGGATGATGAAGGTCTAGGAATAATTATTATAACTGAAAGTGAAAAAAACATTTTCAAGTAAACGCTTCGCTGCAAATTTGTATATGGTAGAAATGCAAATATCGATAAAAGTATTGTAATGACAATGATGTGCTTAAAATTGTATTTTTAGTAAAGGGTGGAATACAATTGGGGTTAGTAACAACATAATGAAACTATTTTACAGATACATGTTGACTGATGATTGATTTTTACAGTGACCTAGAAATGTACCACGGCTTAAGTGTAAATTCTCCCATTTTTGGTTTTTCCTTAATAAAAAAAAAAATTGACTACAGATTTTTGAGAAAATTGTACATGTACATCCCTACTTTAAATATATTCAATCTAATTTACACTATTAGCCTTTAAACTACACCTTTAGATAAAAATAAAGAAAAAGTCTCCACCCCATCTGGGGGAAAAGGTTTTTGATATTTTTTTTTTTATCAAGGAAGGAGGAGTGAACTTTTTAAGTTTTAGCATAATAATAATATACCTTTAAAGCGAGATTTCTTATCTATAGAGTTGCTACACAAAGAAATCATGCAAAAAAATATAATAATATAACACATCATTGTTAAAACATCATCTTAGATCCGCTATAAGCTATAAGTTTTTTTTTTAAATAATAGGTACTATGTTAAAATAAAGCTAATACTTTTGCTGACGCCACTATATTTGTTTCAGATGACATGGGAGTTGTCATGTTGCTAAAAGGTGCTTCAACGGAATATTTGATCGAATGAAGTAGTTGAATAACAACATTTGAGACATTTTTAAATGTTATTTTCTTCCCTTCTCTAGCAGAGAAATTGCATTGCGGGTTCATCAAAAGTGGCTAGAAAGACATTATTAATAAGTCACAAAATAACAATGATAACCCTTTAGTTGAATTTTGTATTAAGTTTTCTTAATAAATACCTTTCTTCTACGAGCAGGAGGAACTATGAAATATGTTGTCACGTTATTATCCCTTAAATACTTATTACGGGTACTGCCATGGCCAGGTTCAACTTCATATTCTCCTCCAAGACAATCTAAAGTAGTTTGTGTAATATGAACACGCCTAAAAAGAAATATTGTATTTCTTTTTTTTAGAATGCTCAAGATAACAGTGATTTCTACTTAATAAGTACATTAATGACTTAATATACTATTCAAAATCATTAAAATACAAATTGTCTTACCCTGGCTCTCCGCCAGCTTCCATATTATTTGCTAATGTTACGTCATTCGACCAAACATCATACTGCCATTTTTTAAGACCGAGTACTCCACATAATACTCGTCCAGAATGAATTCCAACTCTCATGTTTAAAACTACATCGGTAGCTTCTACAACTCGACTAGAATGGAAATTTAAAACCACAGATATTATGTAATAATTATGTACAAACAAACAATATCAAAATGGTATAAATATTGTCTTATAATTACAATACTTACGATATAGCATCAATCATATCAAGTCCCATGTTAACAGCGCACTTTGCATGGTCTGATCGCGATTCTGGCAAACCAGACACACAATAATAACAGTCTCCAAGAATTCGTATACGAAGACAATGATTATGACTAGCCAACTGATCAAATCTACCAAACAGTTCGTTGAGAAGCCGAACCAACTGTTGGGCACAGCATTGTGAAGCGAGCACTGTAAATCCGACTATATCTGCAAAAAGTATGCTAACATTGTCATGGCGTTGAATGTAAATTTTATGGAATTGCCCCTCGACAGGACACATTATATCATTCTTCATCTCTAAAGCTACATGTTGAGGAAGTACTGACAGTAAAAGTCTCTCCTAAAAAAAAAATATTAAAAAAACATTAGTAACCAAAAAAAATTGTGCAATACGATTAGAATTAAATAAAAAAATATTTCTCAGGTTTAAAATAAGAAGAAATCGACATTTTAATTTACCAATTTTTCATTTTCATCTTCCATATCTAGTCTCGCAGCTATACAGTTCCTTGTATCTAGAAATACACGTCGTTGGGCTTGTTCCATAAGTATATGTAATACTAGACCTATTATATTTATACAAGCCAAAACTATGATGTTTGAAATTGTCTGAAAAAAAAACAAAATTATTTTGAAACAAAAATTAAAGTATATAAGTAAAAAAGTTAAAATAATATCAAAAGTTGTATAATAATAATTTAATGTATTACAGCCATTTTTATGTAATTTTCAAAGTTTTAGAAAGAATTACTGTCAGAATAAGATTTTTACATTTTATGCTATGTTAATACTACAATTTAATAAAAATAAAAATAAATATCATGTCAATAGTTATTTTTAAAAATAAATATGCAATATGACAGTGGCGTAAAAAGGATTTTATTTTGGTTAGGGCTACCCTTTAATATACCAAAATTAAATATATGACATAGGCACTACATTTTAATTAATAATTTATATTTCCTGAAATTTCAGGGAGGGCTGTAGCTCCTCAGCCCCTTCCCAAAAACGCCATTTTAATATGTTTATGAAATAATAACAAAATAAATTTGATATTACATAAACAATGATTATTAACAAAATTTGATTACCAAGTTGAATAAAATACCGCAATAAATAAGCTTGTGTTAATATGTATATCGTACCCATAAAACTAACTAGGACATAAACATGTGAGGAATTGAACTCAATGTTGTGCATAATTAACATTGAAATAATTATTCAAGTAACTTAAAAATATAATAATTACCTGTTGTATTGTGTATCTTTGAAAAGTGTGAGCAAATATTACTGATATGGTAAGATGTATGATGGGCAACGCCAATCCAAATGAGAAAACAATAGTCGTCTTTAACGGAATCATTGTATATGTGAGGAACGTTACAAAGGAAATTTGCCAAACACCTTCGGCGATTACTTGATGAGATTCAAATTTAATAAACGGTAAGATCTTATAAAAAGGATTTCCAATAGGAAATGAGACTAGACAAAACATTATGAAAAACCATAATAGAATGCAGCAGATCCAATACAAATAAGATTCGTGCATGTACTTGGTGTTTAGAAAGATCATTAATAAAATAAATACAAAAGTGTGGAAAAAATAGTAAACATTGTTAATGGTCAGAGTTTGATTATATATTGCACTGATGATGGCGAGGACGAGGGTGAGGATGGCCATGAGTGCGATTACATTGGTAACGCACGACTGATGGAGTTTGGACACATATTGTTGATAGAGCGCCTCAAGCTCAGGATTTTCAAAACGACAGTCCCTCGGCGTCCACCACGGCAGCCTATGACGCTGTCTGCTCATTGCTTTGACCCTGTGATCCATGGCTTCAACAATACAACGTATTTTTCACGTACCTGCGACAAAACGATTGGATAAAGTTTGTCAGAGGCCAATCATCTAATACGACCAACGCACAACACCAACTACAATAATACACTCACTTGACATTTCAGAACTGATAATAATAAATTTCGGATAATACTGATTCCGTACTGGCACCGGACATATCTGGCACCGACACTAGATGAGGCACGCGACAACGGACACCACGAGCTGTTTGACCGTTTTGTTTTCAGTCGACGACAAACTGGACATTGTTCGCTCGACAAATATTGAAAACAACAACAAAACTGAACGGGGATCGTGAACGACGTCCGGACTTTATCAAACATAAATATTTATATGATATATATCGCACTCACGCTCCGCCTGCCTTCTGGAAGTAAACGGGTGGACGACGTTTGTCCCGCATTACAATTCGGTCCAATCGACGGACAACGCGCGATGCCGTTCCTTTGTTCCTGCGACGACGTGTTAGATAATATAGATTTTTTTTTAAATAAATTGTTATATAATTATATTTTATATTAAAATTGTAAATGTACGAATATACATAAAACAACTTTTAAAAATGGAGTTTGTTTTCAACAATGACAGTTATTTTCATAGCCGATTTGAATAATATTAAAACGTCGATAATAAAGGATGATTAGATAAAATCAATGTGATTACTGCGAGTTAGGTAGGTACCGTTATCGTGCCCGATAACTCCAAGAAAGAAGCCTTCCGAAACGAAAATGATTTTGTAACTTAACCACAGCTGTCCATACTCCATAGTGAATAGTCTAAAAGGTCAGATTGAAGTCCAACGAATCGAAAATCAGCTCGATTACGTCATCATCGGCAGGGCCAGATTACTTATACCCATTAGGCAAAATAGGCACGTGCCTATGACCCCCAAATAGCAGCCTTGCGTTGCGTTTTATAATATGTAGGGATGCAAGTTGTAAGTATCCCATCCTAACACCATATTATTTAAAATTTCAAGTTGCAATTTTCCTTATTCTTTTATTTTACTACACTTGAATTAATTTAGTATTTATTATTGAATTATTATTTAGTTAATTGAAATATTTTACAACACTGCCCATTGCTCAACACTTATAAAACATTATAAATTTCAAGGGGCCTTGGTCAAGCATCTATTAAGGAGTTATATGATAATTAAATAATAATAATTTAGGCAATTTCTTAATCACATGCGGATGAGCTGTGTAAACAAGTACATTCCTTTCATAAATTTTTAGAATTCATGTCTATATAATTGAACTCAACGCATTGTGGAGTTCTATTGGAATTAAAATGAGTCGTTTTTTTACCAAATAAAACTTTAGTAGGTACCATATTTTTGGCCCATTAATTAAAAAAATAAGCAAGTAGGGTCGGGCATAATGATAACAGAACATATAATATAAATATATAATATAATAATTTATATATAATATACATAAATGATTCGATGTACCTACTCTGTTGATAGTAGAAGTATTAAAAATCGAGAAAAAACATAAAATCAAATATTTGCTTAAAATTGTATTTTTATTGTCTTTCTATAATAATTTTTTATCGTTGTTACTCATATACATCATATTCAACAATATAATGAAAATATTTTCCCAATACATGCTGATTAATTCACAAATAGCAATCTGTAAAAATATGCCGCCAGTGTGATTGTTTTTGGCTTAATAAAAAAAAAAATTGACAACTTAATTTTGAAAAAATATTATGTTATAGCCCTACTCTAGGTCTACCTGCAATCCACATTACCGATTTAAAGTCCTAAAACTACGTCCAACAAAGTAAAGTAAAGAAAAAGGTGTGAGTTGACTTCGTCCGAAGCGACAGCCTAGCTAATGTCCGTTGCATATTTTTCTTTGGAGGGGGGTTCAACCCAATTTGAAAAGTGTAGTGTCAGCTCAGGCACCGTAGTCACGTCTATGACCTCTTCTAGGGGAAAAGGCTCTTGATAAAATGGAAAAAGTAAGTAATTAGTATTACTCATTATTAAGCAGTTTAAGCGGAGGAAAATAGTATGTTTTCTGTTCTAAATTATTTATTATAATAATACGTCAATAGTCAATATTATTGTACAATATGATTTTATAATATTTCAAGCAACTTACCTCTGAAAACTTTGCTGATGAAATATATTATCCGGAATAGCACATAAATTCGAATAAAAATGGCATATCCGTTATTCTATTTATAAAAGCAGATACAAGAGCAGTGACTTAAGTTTCTTGATAATACAGAATAAGCAAAAATGTGTGAGCAATGTCAGATAAAAATTATGTTGGACTTTGGTTTTTGATGACTAACAAACATCGTAAATATTTAGATTTTAAACAAGGAGTAAACATTTCAATTGGACCAATGCCTTCCTCAGCTAGGTATTTTTTTTTAACAAAATTATCTTATACAGTCTATCAATAGTATTCACTAATAGTCCATTATTCATTACTATTTACTAAGCTAGTGTCGATACAAGCTGCAACTATACTGCAGACGTAGCAGCCGATATACGGTTACCTATAAAAATAACAAATATATATACAGTAAAAATATTTGAATATTTAATGCAGGCAATGGAATACAAAAAAAAAATACAGATACCGAATTATTTAATGTTATTTTTATTTATTTTTTTTTTTATTGATCAAAAGCCTCGGTTACAAAGACCATTGACTATAAATTACAGTCATCTTACATGCTATATTTACAAGTTATCTTAAATATTATTATTTAATGTTATTAAAAATTATGAATAACCCATAAATATACTACTTTACGTAATATAACCAAACCTATCCCCGGCCAACAGCCCCTTTCTCCTAGTCAAGGCCCACGCCCGACCTCGCTCACGGCTTCGGTCTACTCTTGGCACTATTTGGCCGGCCAATCGGGAAAATTTCCAATCTGCCAGTCCACCAGTCTACATCTGATTTCTAGTAGGAGTAATACAGTAGTAAATGGGGGGGGGAGAGAAATTATATATCGCATTAGACTGTGTGCCAACATATGCTAACTCATTAATACGATAGTTATTAAAATAATTAATATGAGTATGATAAGTATGATTTATAATCAAAATGAATTTGTTCACTACTATTTAATAACAAATAATGAACACCTAATCGTCAATATTGATAGAACCGTAATTTGTTAATCAATACAAACTTAATGTAGTCGGTACTGATAAAACAATTTTTTATTTTTGTGTTTTATTTTAAAATTAAAAAAATAATAAAACTGTTGCACACATTTTTCATATTGACAAGGAGTTACTTTAAAGTAAAAAGGAGGAGCTAACTGTTTACAGCTATAAAAAAAAATGTTTACTGTGTATAAGACGAAATTAAAATTAATAGAACTCATAAAACGGTATGTTAAGTTTAAATGTTTTTTTCAGAGTTCAGAAATTCAACCTTTTCCTCACGTATACGCTTAAGTGCATTTTTCTCTTAATGGTCATTGCCATTCATTATTTGTGTATTCTGATAACACATAATATAACGACAAATAGGTACAGTGACGCCATTGTCAAGTTCAGAGCTGACTGTTAAAATATGTTAGTATTATTATGTACAAAATAATACACACATCATCATTTTCGCGAGAGAGCATACTTGCGCAGAAACCAACAGCTCTTATGCGCCTGCTCGTATTTTCTCTTGGGGTACAGCTCATACAATATATGTACATAATATTGTCGTTTATTGAGCGCAGCTCAAGTGGTGCCTAAAATCGAAGGAACCAAAATAATATTGGTTATTTTTTAATTGACAATCCAAACAATCGACCACAAAACATCTAAAACACCATCAAATTCATCGAAATGTGTATTGTATTTTTTTTACAGTAGTTATCTACTACACAACAGAGTTAGTAAGCAAACATAATTTATACGAATCGTATTCCTTTAAGTTTTTTAGATTTACATGAATTATGGTCCGAATACGACACAATGACCTGAGTACAGAGTAGATTACCATAAATTATACCAAACTAAACTTGGGGAGGGTGATCACTAACTACACATACACATGAAATATTTTAGTAATATAATGGAAGGGTTATTTAAGAGGCTTATTGCGTCTTTAGGCCTAAACGATCCCAGAGTGTTTTAAAACCCAAGAGTGATACATGAGTTATTTCTTTTTTCCTTGGATTTTCCTTGGCCTAACTCCAAACCGCTATTTTAAGACTATATTTGCTTTACTATATTATAAGCTTCGGAGTTCGGTGCAAATCCGATCGAGCATTATAGAAAAAAAAAATACAATAGTATTAGAATACGATATGGTTAAAGTATATGACTTCTGTCTTCTATATTATAATAGGCGTCTATAGTTGATATGATGATCGAGGAGAATGTAGGTGTAACTTATTCCTGGAGGTCCTTAAGTATTTTGTGCATTCCATGGTCAAGCCAAGCTAAGGCTTACTTGTCCTACCGATGGTAATTTTTAAAAGGCTTCCCGTTAATGTAAAAATAGGGGTATCCCTACTAATATTTTTTATTTCTAAACAATTATTTCCAAAATGATTAATGGCCGAATTTTATGAACGCACTTATGATGATTATGATATTAATAGTGAATAATATAACGCAGATAAAAATGCATAGTAAGTGTGTTTTAATTTTCAACTCTTTGTAGTTAACTACATAAAAACCTTCAGCAATAATTTATTACTGTGAGCCTTTGTAATATTTTTTACGACGTTGAACGTGTTTGTAAAATTAAAAATTTTCAAGACATATTTTCAAAAAAAATTATTACCTCGCTGTTAAAATATTCTTTAGACCAGAGTATTCGAAGAACCAGATGTCCAAAGCTGACCTCAATATCAATAATAGCAACAAAACAACAACAAAATATAATGATATCTGTCTATCTGTATAAATATAATATAATATATTGTTTACATTTTTTTTTTATGCTTGAGTGAGTGAGTTGCGGGTAGTAATGGGTGCACATGTTGGCTCGTTGGATTCATTATAGTCTAATAATACCCGATTTTTACTATAATATACTATTGACTCGTACGGTAAATCGTGTAAGTTTACACAGTGTAAACTGTAAACCAAGTACGTACCCTCGCCATGTGTTCTGAACGTTTCTATTTTTCAGTACTAGAAACATGAAAAAAAATTAAAAAGAAAATCCAATCCTTAATAGATCCACGCCCGTTTATGTACTTTGGTATTATTTCTATCAAGCATTGTACTAATATTTATAGTATGTTGTGTTTACGGTCTAAGAGGATAAGAAACAACGTCTGGTGGACGGAAATATCGATCGACTGTATATGAGCTTGTCGTCCGTAAATATTATTATAAAAACACGAAATACCTACGCTTAAAAAGTTTGCATGGGCGTGACCCCAAATAAGAATATTTTTTTTTGTGTGAAAGGTAACACGCTAAATGTTTGGCTCGTTGAAAGACAAAACTCGGAGAACACAATTTTATGTCAACATACTTACAAATAACTATTCGAATATAAAAAAAAATTACGGTTTTTTATTTTTATCATTAAAATAGTATACGCATACAGGGTGATTCATTAAGGATACTACTACAACACTACTTTTTTCTTAAAAGAATTGCAATTTTTTTCTTTTTTTAAACATTTTTGCTTATGTTATTTTCAAAACTATAAAATTACTAAATATTTCCTTTTTTTTTTAGTATTTTCCACAGCTCTATCTATACTTTTAAAACTTAAATTAGGTACTTACATTTAATTAACTTTTTAAATCAAGAATAATTTGTTGTTTGCTGGACTTTTCGACTGCTCAAAACCCAGTTTTTGGATAATTACTTTTAAAGTTATTAAAGTTTAAAGTAATTATCCAAAACTGGTTATCGACCAGTCGACTTGTAAAGCAAAATATTCTTAATTCAAAAAGTTACATAAACATATATGTTCATTTTACGATAAATATGTACGTTCCACACATACGAAAATCTACAATATTAAATCCATTTGAGAGAAAAATAAGTGTTTTATCCTGAATAAATCACCCGTATAGAATAATTCGTTTATTATTTTTGTAGAAAAGTATAGTCTTGCATTAAATAGATCATTCTGTATGACTTTGTTTGTGGGCAACACTTACAATTTTGCAACGAGGGTATAAAAACGTAAAAGTAAACAAATAAATTACTTTGTAACTTAGCTATATGAGTTTTTTTAAAGTATCTAACAATAAAACGTAAATAGTTAGAAAAAAAACAATCGTACGATTTTAACGTTTTTAGTTATAGTTTTTTGTTCTTGCTCCGACTAACTTATTTGAACGGCTATAAGTCTCACATTAAATATCGTTTAGTTGCCTATTAATAAGAAATCCAGGCGCTTACGGCGAAGTTTATAGTAAAAACCAAAAATACTATTTATTTTAACCACCCATTTTATTTTGTTTTTTTTTATATATTTGTTGGTAAAAATAAATATAAAATAATTGTTTTTAAATTAATTAATAATGGTAAATTTAAAATTATATTAATTCATTTGCTATTAAATTATATAATTACATAGTTTTTTCTTTCTGCCAAGAAGTTTTATCTTGATAGAGCGCATATATTAAACATCCTAAAAAAGTAAGTCCCGGTTTCTTTTTTTGAAAAATGGACGTATAACAATATTAGGTCCTTTCTGAAATAAATGATACTATTTCTGTTTCATAAAACTTTTATTTTATGATAAAAGTAAAAGAGGTAATTAGTAGTACTGATTTGGTGACAACTTTTAAATAATATACATTTTTAAATATAATAATATTAACGAACATAGAGCGTCTATACGTTTTACACATTAACAGCTATACTTTTAGGATAGTAAATTCTTAAGTCCATAGAAGCAAAAAGCCCACATTTTGGGGAGACTGAAGCTCTCTATAATATTGATTAAAAACGTAAGGTGATCAAAGTACTCCCTCGGTGAGGATTTTATTTTGAGTAGGACTTAGTTGAATTTTAAGGCAGTCTAAGTCCCCCAAACCATCTCTATTTTCACCAATGTTTAACTCTATATCTAGATTAGAATATTACAATATTAAGAATGATTATATTTTATTTTATTTAGGTAGTTAAAAAATATTACTGAATCTCTTTGAATCCTATAAAAAGAGATGTTTACATAATTATTAATGATAAGGATGTAGTAAAAAAAATGATTACATATTATACATTTAACATTATACTTAGTACTAAACAAATGCCCAAACCGATTAATAATAATCTAATATTTTACTTTGTCAAATCTTGGTATATGAATCATTGAAAAAACTATTTCGTATAATGAGCAGCTATATTTTACCAAAACGACAGATAAGCTATCAATAATAATAATAATTGGTTATTAGTCACATTACTTTTATCTTAGTTATTCTTTAATGTAAAAGAGAAATAATAATTAATACTAACAAACAACATTATTATAATAACACACGAGTTTGATAAACCTTAAATCAAAATTAGAAGTCAATATTCATACTCTAGTGAACGTCCTAGGCTTTTTATCATTCTTATTTCTAATTTTATATACTGCGTTCACCGTTGTTGATGTATAAACATGATAATATAAATAAAACATTTTCGAGGACTTTTTCTAATTTTCACTCATAGGTATGTTAACGCAATATTTATTAATTAGAATGCATTTTTGTATTAATTAATGGCTATTGTGGATAAAAAAAAATTATTTTTCTCATTAGATATTGTTAAAATGAACTTCATTAGGTTTTATTAACTGTAAAAACTTACCTATTGTCAGATCTATTGTGTAAACAATAATGCTGTATAAAACGTGAAGGCTTATATGGAAATCTTTTTTTTTTATAGCCTTTATTCTATAATATGTTATATCGAAATCTTATAATTTCATTAACCACATTATGTATATTGTAGAACATCCATAAAAATAAATCTAAGCTAGTGTAATGGCCTGGGGCAAACAATTGATTTCAACATATTTCGACCTCATACTAATGCTGTTGGGGGGGTACATAATAATGTCAAAGCTATTAATTCACTACCAAGGTTAAAAAGAAACTTGAAATCTACCGAATCTGGTGGGGTATGTGTATTGTATAATAATTAGATATATAATACTATGACTATGGAAAAGTTTTCACAGTTTATAAAAAACTAAGAATTCAAAACAAATTACAATTTCAATACATTAACGAGGCCTGGCTTATCTAAAACTATAAAATGTAAACATTGTTTACAGTATAAATCAAATAAGAGTTAAGACTTTTAAATAGACAAATTAAAAACACTGTTTATGCATTGTTACATTATTTAAAAATTGTAAGCCATATAAGTCAAGTTGTTTCATTTGTTGGTTTTTATAACATTGCGATTTTTTAAAAAAAATACTGTAATATTATTACATATTAGATAAATACTTAGGTAATTGTAATCATAAAAACTAATAGGAATCTAAATTATTTTTTTACAAAAACAATTTACAACGTGTTAAAAACCGTACACCCATTAACCGAATTATCAAGTCTGAAGTCTCTGGTTAACACACATAAAATAATATACGGAACGGTAGTTTCGCTAACATTTATATTGTTATACACTTATATATAGTGTTATACACTCAATTCTCAAATAATATATAAACCAATTATTATACTGTTACAATGTCCATTAAATAGGATTTCCAAGTACCGTTAAAACTTAAATCATTGTTTTTTTTTTTTTAATAATAATTCTGTTTTCCCAAGAAATAATGGTATTACATTTTACTTACGGTACTTTTTTTTTGTGCATACAAAATTTAAAACGTTGGCAGCGCTGCGCGCAGTCTCAGTTGGGGATACGGTGCGGTGGTCCATAGAGCGTGTGGGCAATAACTGATAACGCAACACATTGTTATTATTGTTATTTTGATTACATCTCCGAGTGATACTGTTAACTGTAACAACTATCTAGGTACAATAATGTAATGAACGTCGTGAATCATCATAGATGCTCGCCAGTATAAAAATCGTTTTGCACGAAACTGAATTGTTTGATTTTATTTTTCGGCAATCCTTAAGTAATGTGAACGGTGTGGATAAAATTTAAGCACAGCTGTTGCACAAGAAAATATTTTTTGCCAAACCTATCATTAGAAAAATTCGAGTTCGGTTATTGCGTTAAGAAAAACAAAACCCGTCTTCGAAATCTTCACGTTTATTCACCTAGCTAGGCGTGTATGTAATTATTTGTCATCGGTTTGGTTCGTATTATCATGAAGGTAAGATATATCAATGTCTTATATCGACATTGGAACAGTTAAATATCATAAGCAATTTCAATCAAATCATTTGGTTCAAATAACTGTTTATGGACTATTGTAAGACTACTCTATTCTATCTACTCTAGTATTTACACAGATGTTATTCAACTACAATTTTTTAGTTTACCATATTGTGGTGTTTTTTCCATAATACATTTTGCTGTTCTTGTCTTTTAATGATTTTGACATTTGGTTTTGTGTGATAGGTATGGAAACATTTAGTTTGATTTTTTGAAAAATCAGTGTTAACAGCAATACACATTTGTTTTTATCAAAAGTTGTATACAATAGAAAAAGTTATTCTAAAATGAATGTGAGTTTCATATGATTCATAAATATTACTCTTTATACTTAAATAGTTATGAAATTGGTAATAATCATTAGATTTTGAGGTGTGTATTCAAATGAGTACAAAAACTTAAAAATAATTTCTTGTATAAAAACTAATTATACCAGAAATTATAACGGCATAGGTTTAAAATATTGAATCATTATTGTTTGTAATGAGCAGAATGTATAAAATGTCATAATGATAATAACAGTGTGTTAAAGCTTATATGGATTGAAATATTAATTATTTGATAATCTTCGAATGTAATCATATCTTTGATTTGTTGTTGACGTTTCGAACTCATTTCCAAGTCCATTTTCAAAGCGATAGTAATCGATCCTCTGCTGTGACTATACTAACTTCTAAGCTTGTTTTCTACAGCTATTTGTGTGTCCTAGCGTGTTTTCTTGACTAAGTGATGTCGTACAGGATCTAGGGTGTCATAACATGTTGTAATGTTTTTTCTGTGTTTTCCCTGTTTGTTGTATCTTGGAAACTTAGATAAAGATGTTAATGAAGTATTATATATTGTAAAATACCTATAAAACTTTAATAGAGGAGAAGGTTAGAAAATTAGCGATACATAAAACCAATTATTCATCAGGATAAAAAAAAAACAAATCAAACCTAACTGATTAATGCTAAATAATAGCAACATCCGGTGTCGATATAACTAAAATTTGTAGATACAAAGAGGTAAGAGCAAAATGCAATGAATGCAAAAAAAGTATAATGATAAATCTGAAATGTCAGCACCAAATCAAATATTTGGATACATCCTAAGATTATCAAGTTATGATAACAAATAAATTTTTATACTTTCTTACTTTTAAATAATCAACTAAATTAGTACAAATATATTTTTAAAATCCCATTATAAGAAAAAATGCTTTTAGTTTTTTTTTTTTTGATAATGCATACAATTTTGATAGCTAATAGCGATAAAATATAAAATGTAATATCTAGGTATTGTGTAGTATTTTAATAATATTTAATGTATTATTGTTTTAAAATGTAATAATTAACATCCATACTTATTTCACATGTGAATACTATTTTTTTTTTTTAGGTTCTTGTTTTGTATGATTTTATTGGAGAACCAGGGTCATCAGAGTTATCAGTTGTCGCTGGTGAAACGTTGACAGTAACCAGAAACGATGTTGGCGAAGGATGGTGGGAAGGAACGAATAGTAAAGGTCAAACTGGTTTATTCCCAGCTGCCTATGTTGAGGTGAATTTTGTAAAATAATTTTACATATTTTAAATTAAAATAATTTATGTAATATATTCTATAACTTTTTTGTCATTTTAGGAAGTAAAAGCTAGTAAACCACCTGGTATACCACCCCCGCCTTTACCAACAAATTGGGATGAGCAGCAAGCGGGGGAATACTATGCACAAGTACCTCAGGTTAGTTTCTCTAATAAAATAATTTTATTACACTCCTAGTAAACGTTTTTAGACCCGATTATAATATATAATACAGCTAATGAAATTAGTTAGTTAATCAAATATATTAAACGTATTGAAAACAATTTAAATGTAATTTGAATGTTTATATTATTTTGGAGTAATCACTTTAATTAGTCATAAACATTTTTTTTTTTTTTTGCAGACTGAAAATGTTGACTTTTATGATGATGAATGGGAAGACGATTCTGAAAGTGGAACTGTATCAAACTCTTATTCTTCTATGGGAGTCAACCAAATCAATAATTCTGCACAATCTAGATCAGAAAGTGAGTTTAATCTACTATTGGGTGTAATGCAGTTATAATTGTTTTTTACAAAAGTGGTTGATTTGTAGTTATTGAGGCTATAAGTATTATTAATTAAAATTACGTTATAATTACGTTATATGAACATATATTACCTTGTTTTAGTGAAAACTGCTGTTGCTTCAGGCATGAAAAAAAATGTTAATCGATTTTCAACCTTTTCTAAATCTGGAGGAGAAAGCTACATTATGGGTACAGTAACGATCCCTGTACCAGATGTTGAACGTGTGACGATTATAAAAAGTGAAATTGGCGTTGAATGGAATGCACCTAATGAATATTACCAGTGTATTGTAGCGTCGCCAAAAAAAGAAACTAAACTAAAAGGCTTAAAAAGTTTTATTGCTTACCAAATTACTCCTACAGTAAGTAATTCTTTTATCAACATATCAATTTTTTCATAATTTTTTAAAGGTCTCTTCGTGTGACAAAGTTAAAACATTTTTTTAGTTTTAATTATCTTTTTTCAACTATAGACAAATTATAAACTAAAGTCTTGTTTAAACTTTTGTATGCAATTATCTTTAAAGTTTGTTTTTATGATTAATTAAATTAAAAACAATTGTTCAGTTTTCATTAGCATTTTTATTGTTTCAGTTCAACAATATTCAAGTTTCAAGAAGATATAAACATTTTGACTGGCTTCATGAACGGTTAGAAGAAAAATTCAGTCTCATTCCAATTCCGCCTCTGCCAGACAAACAAATTTCAGGCATGTATCATTAGGAATTGACAGTACTATAAATGTAGTAGTATTGGCATTGTGTAAACGAAATAGTACAATATTATGTGGTACGCCATAGTAGACTATTGCGATCGTGAAACAAAATTTTAGTGTATTAACAGTGTATTAGTCAGAACATTAGTGTATTAACTCAAAAAACCATGTTTGTAGATAATCGTGTTAAATGATTATATGTACCATATAGTTAAAATGATAAAATAATTTTCTTATAATGCTTAATTCGTTCATTTTTAATAGTATGACTTTCTAACTGACTAGTTTATCATAAAACATGTTTTTTTACCATAAGAATTTATGTGCAACTCAAAATCGACAAATTTTTAGAAGCTATACTAATGATCTGATATTGCGTTATGTGATATTACACTTAATAACCCAAATAAACTTGCACTCTAATTATTCCCATTTATCTGTCATGTTCAATTTTCATAATGTGGTTTTCATTAAATGCTAGGAAAAAATATGCAGTGTTATGTTATAGTATTTTGTTTTAATAAGTTGTTAAACTTGTTCATTGTCCTTTTTTAGGAAGGTATGAGGAAAATTTCATAGAACATCGGAAAAATCAGTTGCAAGCATTTGTTGATGCAGTTTGTCGACATCCTGTATTGTCACAATGTTCTGTCTGGCAACATTTTATTACTTGTACCGATGAAAAAAGATGGAAACTTGGTAAACGAAAAGCTGAAAAATCTGAATTAACAGGGGCCAATTATTTTTTTGCAATTCAAGCGCCTGAAGAACCTTTAAGTCAAATGTTACTGTAAGTAAATTATTATAAAATTGTATTAGATCATTTAAGAAGTAGCCTTAGTTTATATTTCTAAAAAAATTAATTTTTTTAAAATTACATAACTGAAATTCTAAAAAAAAAAATTTTTACAGAGAACATGACACGGAAAGCTTTTCCAAATTTATAAGTGGCCTTGACAGTGCTGTGAAAAACATGTCATTAGTGGTTAATGATCAATCAAAGAAAATGCAGACATTTTACAAACGTGAATATCAAAAAATAGGACAGTCTTTTTATGCTCTTGGTCATGCCTATGGAAAAGAAGAACACATTGGTATGCTTTAAGCTATTAAATATTATTTCATCGATATAGCATCTGCGATGCATTTCAGACATCAGTGTCAGCCCAGTCTTATTTTTCTCATAAATTTTAATATTTAAAAATAAAAACAACAGTAGTATATTTGTATAATTTTAGGTTTTTCAAGAGCTAATTTGACCAATGCTTTAAAGAAAACAGGAGATGTTTACAACGAAATTGGCAAACTGATGGAGGAACAGCCCAAATTAGATTGGGAGCCTTTTGGTGATATGTTGCATATTTATAAAGGAATAATAACGTCGTTTCCTGACATATTAACAGTGCACAAAGTAATTAATTTTGATAATATTTAAAAAAAAAACTAGTAATATAAACAGGTTATATTGGTTTTAAAAATTATTATAATTATGTGAACTAACATTAATTATGGGTGTGCTGTTTACAGGGTGCCTTACAAAAGTATAAAGATTGCGAGAAACTTCAAGATAATAAGATGACGCATCAAGATGTGCAAAGTGTAAAACAGAGGACCGACGTTGTTTCGTATGCGCTGTTAGCAGAAATCAATCATTTTCACTTGGAGCAAAATATTCAACTTAACCACAATATAAAATTATTTCTCAAACATCAAATTGATTTTTACCATAAGGTAAATAAATCATTAATTGCTTAAAACCATATTAATTTAACACGTTAACTGTCATGGGTAGTGCGGGCTTGGAGCTCAGTTATTTATCTTGGCAGTTAAAGTGTTAATATCGTTGAAATACCCAATATCGAATAAGATACAAAATAAAAGTATCCATCATTAGTTATCATAAATAACTAAAAAAAAAACCTAATACTTTCAACTAAAAATGGGTAATAAAAGTAGTGTTGTCACAGTTAATGTGGGATAATTAAAGACATAGACTATGACAGAACAACTTATACTTCAGACATAAAAAAATTAACCAAAACTTCAAGAAGAGAGCATGTTTGAAATTAAGTTATTTATAAATTTAAATTCAACCTGTATTAATTAAAGACGTCAAAATGTTGTATTTAAATAATTTACTAGTGACTATTACACCATAAGAATACAAAATTAGTTAATAATCATTTTATGAGTTTTAACAGATTTATTTAGAACAATTTTTTGTAGTTATACTTCTTTAAATTACCTATATTATCTAAAAAATTAAAAACCGGTGTTAAATATTTACTGATTCAGCCCTAATGTAAAATTATTATTTCTGAAATAAGTTATCTGTTAACTAAATTGTAATGATTTGACAATGTATTTTTTTCAGATTGCTGCCAACTTAGAAAATGTCTTACAACTGTACGAATAAGCAAAATGTGTTGTACAGACTATTATATTTTAACATTTATATCTGTGATAAGCAGAAATATTATAATGCGATTATACTGGCTTGGAAACATTCGAATTTATTTATTATTGTACTAATCTTAAAACTTGATTAATTTCTATTAAAATACTTTGTTATCCATTTTATTTTTTTTTTTAACTAAACATTTTTATTTATATTTATTTATTTTGTTAGTTGATTTTAGTAATTTGTATGTGTCGATGATGAAATAATTTCAATGCTCACTAAAAACACGTCATTTAATGTTTTCAAATGTATCATTATTGCATAATAAATATAAATGACAAAATAATATTATTTTGTTTCAATGTTTTTACTTACAGTTAATTGTGTAATTGTAATATTATCGAATTACTATTTATTTATTTAGCCATTATAATCTAATTGACTCGTGTATTTTTCTATCATTATTTATATTTTATAAAAGTATGCTTATTTAAATACATATCTGTACCTCAGAGCAAAAGTGTATTAAGTAAAAAATTTCTATTTCTCGTTTTTTTGGTTCACTTAAATTTCAATTTCTCTTTACTTTGTACAAAGTTTGGAGACTCTTAAATAAATCCATCTAAGTTCTTCCATTTTAATTAACTAAATCAATTCAATAAATTAAGTAATTGAAAGATTTATTAAATTTAATTAAATCAAGTAATCTAATAAATAAATAATTTTAATTTCCTCTCCTGTAAAATGTACATTTGATGACAATACATTTTTGCTCGGGGTTACGGATATATATCTATATAAATGTATTATGTATGTGTAAATGTTTATTTTATTAAAAAAAATTAAGTTCAATATTAAATTAGTTATTATTGCGTTAAAATACCATAAAATTGACCACAAAAACTATGTTTCCATATAATTTAAAACTTATATTTTATTGTTAAAAATATGTTCTTAATTAATTCAAAATGAAATTTTGATGTTGCAAATATCTTAAATAGCTAAAGGGGACGGATAGCGTCAATTTTATTTTACAAATAAAGACTTGAAGGCTCTGTCACTTTCTAAAGTGCCTAACGAACCGATTTCAACACTTTTTTTTTTGTTATTTTATTTATGGTGGATTAAAGAACGATTTTTTATTTTTGTTTTCAAACAATTTTTTTAGCATTTATTTTTTTACGTTGACATAATTTTTCTTCTAATTATATATAAGCTAACTATATTTCTAATTGCTAAATCAAAAATTGGCCTTTTAGTCCCCATAGAAAAAAATAGTCTTACATAAAAAAATTGAAATCCGTCCAGTAGATACGCCAGAAAATGACTTCTACGAAGTTATATCTGGGAGAAAATTAGCTTTAAAAGTATTATAACTAGAAAATCTATATAATAATTGTTTGCATTAGAATTAATCGGCATTTTAAACATGAATATCTTTATGAACATAGAAAAATATTTTATTACGAATATATGTATTATACAGTATAATTTATACTATACTTGTCCATTAATAAATAGCGACTTCAGTTCCCCTTATGAATCATTTTACATATTAGTAGCTTAATTAAAATTCATATGCATTCCAAAAATATATTATATGATTCGTATATGGCCTCTACTATTAATAAGTACTAAAGTTAAACGTTTAAATTAAAATTCGGTGAAATATTGTCTATGGTTTACAGAACTCTTCAATAGATTAGTTGTGTGGCAAATAAGTGGTTGAGTATTTGTTAAGTAGTCAATTTATTATTCTATAATACTATTTTGTTATTAATGACGTAAAGTACTATATGACATTTATCAACTTTTTCTTTGGTTTACTTTTTACCTTTTGTTAAATTTCTCTCATCCGTTTCACCGTCTCTTTTATGTTTATAGGTTTAAACATTAATTTCTTTAAAATAGACTTTTATAGTAAATAGAAACAATCTTATTTGCCCATACATTTATTTTATTAAATTGACAGCGTTCTAACATTAGTAAAATAGATTCTCATGAATTTCATTTTTTACAATATTATAATATTATGCTAACATATTTGAATAACAAACGATTATTTAACAAAAAAAAAAATCAAATTAAAAACACATAATTATATACAAATAAAATATTTTATACTCCCGGTCAAAATATTAGAATTTGATCAATGTAAAACATGTATTATTAAATAAATTCTACAATTAAAAATATATTTATATAAAGTCCAAATAAACTAAAATATACAAATACAATTGTTAGTAGGTAGTTTATACATATCAGAATAAATATACATAAAATAAATTTATTGTATTTTTTTGCACAGAAGATGTTGTCTCAAAAAATGTGTATTTGTTTTATGAAGTAAAGCACATGCAATATATCTAAACGCCTAAAATATATTGTTAAAATAAATTAGAAACAATGAATAGTTAAATTAAAAACTTCATCATACCAAAAGAAATAATTAAAACTATTCGTGACTGCAAAACATGATGCAGAAATATTGCTAAAGGTGAAGTTGTGCAGTTGGAAATCTATTGGCATAGAACTTAAATTTACTATGTGTATTGGGCCATTATAAGAGCTGAAAAGAAAATATAAACACAACAATTTAGAAATTTAATCAATACAATTTATACAACATAAGATCTGAAAAAAGTGAAATAGAATCGGTCAATATGTTCATGATAATTATTAATGCAAAAAACCAAATTGAGAACTCAAAAAAGGTATGACTAATTACGTTACTCAACCAAATTGAGAACTCCTCATTATAGCGTGAACCCAGTTTTAAGTTTTTTTAGATATATTTTAATGCGTTATTCTACCACTTTTGGTTATCTGCTCTCGTGATTTTGATCAGCCGTAAATTAACTAGAAACAACAAGACGAAACCTAGTGAATTGTTAGACTGCATACCTGTGACCATCATCTCAGTGTGCAGGCGATGAGTTAGGTAACGTTTTTGTGCTTCGATACTGAATGCTCGGTGGATACTCCCAAACAGACTTTTTCAGCTTGTTTCTTTTTCTTGTGATCCAGCGGCCGTAGTATAAATGATATGCAAAAAAATATTGAACTCGAACAGGAAGGTATTTATTTATTTAAAAAAAAAAAAAATTATGTAAAGATACTTCTACATAAGTTAATCGTTCCGCAATACTCAACCAGTCAGATGTAGTTGTCACACCGTATGGCGTATTGATTTCCACCCAGTTACCCTAATACGATTTAATATAATATGGACAGGTCAGTATCGAGTAGCCCGAATGATGAACCGCGATCACACAATGTAGATTAAATTCGAATAGAGCTTTTCTAATATTCCTGTACTGTAATCTATCTGACAAACAATTCTAACGTCGCATTAGTCACGGAGAACATACCTGTGGCCGATTTGTATTGTTCTCGATTTCGGGGTACATAAAGATTGTCAGATAGGTTTTTCAATATCATCAGCAACTTTGTACTCGATTTCAGGGGCGCCATGTGTTCAAACTCGGATGCAAAATTTTCAAATTGTTTATGCAAAAAAAATTATCAAGAAAAAACAAGTGATAAAAAATATTTTTTTTTTCAAATAAAAAGGTATGACTAATTACGTTACTCAACCAAATTGAGAACTCCTCATTATAGCGTGAACCCAGTTTTAAGTTTTTTTAGATATATTTTAATGCGTTATTCTACCACTTTTGGTTATCTGCTCTCGTGATTTTGATCAGCCGTAAATTAACTAGAAACAACAAGACGAAACCTAGTGAATTGTTAGACTGCATACCTGTGACCATCATCTCAGTGTGCAGGCGATGAGTTAGGTAACGTTTTTGTGCTTCGATACTGAATGCTCGGTGGATACTCCCAAACAGACTTTTTCAGCTTGTTTCTTTTTCTTGTGATCCAGCGGCCGTAGTATAAATGATATGCAAAAAAATATTGAACTCGAACAGGAAGGTATTTATTTATTTAAAAAAAAAAAAAATTATGTAAAGATACTTCTACATAAGTTAATCGTTCCGCAATACTCAACCAGTCAGATGTAGTTGTCACACCGTATGGCGTATTGATTTCCACCCAGTTACCCTAATACGATTTAATATAATATGGACAGGTCAGTATCGAGTAGCCCGAATGATGAACCGCGATCACACAATGTAGATTAAATTCGAATAGAGCTTTTCTAATATTCCTGTACTGTAATCTATCTGACAAACAATTCTAACGTCGCATTAGTCACGGAGAACATACCTGTGGCCGATTTGTATTGTTCTCGATTTCGGGGTACATAAAGATTGTCAGATAGGTTTTTCAATATCATCAGCAACTTTGTACTCGATTTCAGGGGCGCCATGTGTTCAAACTCGGATGCAAAATTTTCAAATTGTTTATGCAAAAAAAATTATCAAGAAAAAACAAGTGATATAAAATATTTTTTTTTTCAAATAAAAAGGTATGACTAATTACGTTACTCAACCAAATTGAGAACTCCTCATTATAGCGTGAACCCAGTTTTAAGTTTTTTTAGATATATTTTAATGCGTTATTCTACCACTTTTGGTTATCTGCTCTCGTGATTTTGATCAGCCGTAAATTAACTAGAAACAACAAGACGAAACCTAGTGAATTGTTAGACTGCATACCTGTGACCATCATCTCAGTGTGCAGGCGATGAGTTAGGTAACGTTTTTGTGCTTCGATACTGAATGCTCGGTGGATACTCCCAAACAGACTTTTTCAGCTTGTTTCTTTTTCTTGTGATCCAGCGGCCGTAGTATAAATGATATGCAAAAAAATATTGAACTCGAACAGGAAGGTATTTATTTATTTAAAAAAAAAAAAAATTATGTAAAGATACTTCTACATAAGTTAATCGTTCCGCAATACTCAACCAGTCAGATGTAGTTGTCACACCGTATGGCGTATTGATTTCCACCCAGTTACCCTAATACGATTTAATATAATATGGACAGGTCAGTATCGAGTAGCCCGAATGATGAACCGCGATCACACAATGTAGATTAAATTCGAATAGAGCTTTTCTAATATTCCTGTACTGTAATCTATCTGACAAACAATTCTAACGTCGCATTAGTCACGGAGAACATACCTGTGGCCGATTTGTATTGTTCTCGATTTCGGGGTACATAAAGATTGTCAGATAGGTTTTTCAATATCATCAGCAACTTTGTACTCGATTTCAGGGGCGCCATGTGTTCAAACTCGGATGCAAAATTTTCAAATTGTTTATGCAAAAAAAATTATCAAGAAAAAACAAGTGATAAAAAATATTTTTTTTTTCAAATAAAAAGGTATGACTAATTACGTTACTCAACCAAATTGAGAACTCCTCATTATAGCGTGAACCCAGTTTTAAGTTTTTTTAGATATATTTTAATGCGTTATTCTACCACTTTTGGTTATCTGCTCTCGTGATTTTGATCAGCCGTAAATTAACTAGAAACAACAAGACGAAACCTAGTGAATTGTTAGACTGCATACCTGTGACCATCATCTCAGTGTGCAGGCGATGAGTTAGGTAACGTTTTTGTGCTTCGATACTGAATGCTCGGTGGATACTCCCAAACAGACTTTTTCAGCTTGTTTCTTTTTCTTGTGATCCAGCGGCCGTAGTATAAATGATATGCAAAAAAATATTGAACTCGAACAGGAAGGTATTTATTTATTTAAAAAAAAAAAAAATTATGTAAAGATACTTCTACATAAGTTAATCGTTCCGCAATACTCAACCAGTCAGATGTAGTTGTCACACCGTATGGCGTATTGATTTCCACCCAGTTACCCTAATACGATTTAATATAATATGGACAGGTCAGTATCGAGTAGCCCGAATGATGAACCGCGATCACACAATGTAGATTAAATTCGAATAGAGCTTTTCTAATATTCCTGTACTGTAATCTATCTGACAAACAATTCTAACGTCGCATTAGTCACGGAGAACATACCTGTGGCCGATTTGTATTGTTCTCGATTTCGGGGTACATAAAGATTGTCAGATAGGTTTTTCAATATCATCAGCAACTTTGTACTCGATTTCAGGGGCGCCATGTGTTCAAACTCGGATGCAAAATTTTCAAATTGTTTATGCAAAAAAAATTATCAAGAAAAAACAAGTGATAAAAAATATTTTTTTTTTCAAATAAAAAGGTATGACTAATTACGTTACTCAACCAAATTGAGAACTCCTCATTATAGCGTGAACCCAGTTTTAAGTTTTTTTAGATATATTTTAATGCGTTATTCTACCACTTTTGGTTATCTGCTCTCGTGATTTTGATCAGCCGTAAATTAACTAGAAACAACAAGACGAAACCTAGTGAATTGTTAGACTGCATACCTGTGACCATCATCTCAGTGTGCAGGCGATGAGTTAGGTAACGTTTTTGTGCTTCGATACTGAATGCTCGGTGGATACTCCCAAACAGACTTTTTCAGCTTGTTTCTTTTTCTTGTGATCCAGCGGCCGTAGTATAAATGATATGCAAAAAAATATTGAACTCGAACAGGAAGGTATTTATTTATTTAAAAAAAAAAAAAATTATGTAAAGATACTTCTACATAAGTTAATCGTTCCGCAATACTCAACCAGTCAGATGTAGTTGTCACACCGTATGGCGTATTGATTTCCACCCAGTTACCCTAATACGATTTAATATAATATGGACAGGTCAGTATCGAGTAGCCCGAATGATGAACCGCGATCACACAATGTAGATTAAATTCGAATAGAGCTTTTCTAATATTCCTGTACTGTAATCTATCTGACAAACAATTCTAACGTCGCATTAGTCACGGAGAACATACCTGTGGCCGATTTGTATTGTTCTCGATTTCGGGGTACATAAAGATTGTCAGATAGGTTTTTCAATATCATCAGCAACTTTGTACTCGATTTCAGGGGCGCCATGTGTTCAAACTCGGATGCAAAATTTTCAAATTGTTTATGCAAAAAAAATTATCAAGAAAAAACAAGTGATATAAAATATTTTTTTTTTCAAATAAAAAGGTATGACTAATTACGTTACTCAACCAAATTGAGAACTCCTCATTATAGCGTGAACCCAGTTTTAAGTTTTTTTAGATATATTTTAATGCGTTATTCTACCACTTTTGGTTATCTGCTCTCGTGATTTTGATCAGCCGTAAATTAACTAGAAACAACAAGACGAAACCTAGTGAATTGTTAGACTGCATACCTGTGACCATCATCTCAGTGTGCAGGCGATGAGTTAGGTAACGTTTTTGTGCTTCGATACTGAATGCTCGGTGGATACTCCCAAACAGACTTTTTCAGCTTGTTTCTTTTTCTTGTGATCCAGCGGCCGTAGTATAAATGATATGCAAAAAAATATTGAACTCGAACAGGAAGGTATTTATTTATTTAAAAAAAAAAAAAATTATGTAAAGATACTTCTACATAAGTTAATCGTTCCGCAATACTCAACCAGTCAGATGTAGTTGTCACACCGTATGGCGTATTGATTTCCACCCAGTTACCCTAATACGATTTAATATAATATGGACAGGTCAGTATCGAGTAGCCCGAATGATGAACCGCGATCACACAATGTAGATTAAATTCGAATAGAGCTTTTCTAATATTCCTGTACTGTAATCTATCTGACAAACAATTCTAACGTCGCATTAGTCACGGAGAACATACCTGTGGCCGATTTGTATTGTTCTCGATTTCGGGGTACATAAAGATTGTCAGATAGGTTTTTCAATATCATCAGCAACTTTGTACTCGATTTCAGGGGCGCCATGTGTTCAAACTCGGATGCAAAATTTTCAAATTGTTTATGCAAAAAAAATTATCAAGAAAAAACAAGTGATATAAAATATTTTTTTTTTCAAATAAAAAGGTATGACTAATTACGTTACTCAACCAAATTGAGAACTCCTCATTATAGCGTGAACCCAGTTTTAAGTTTTTTTAGATATATTTTAATGCGTTATTCTACCACTTTTGGTTATCTGCTCTCGTGATTTTGATCAGCCGTAAATTAACTAGAAACAACAAGACGAAACCTAGTGAATTGTTAGACTGCATACCTGTGACCATCATCTCAGTGTGCAGGCGATGAGTTAGGTAACGTTTTTGTGCTTCGATACTGAATGCTCGGTGGATACTCCCAAACAGACTTTTTCAGCTTGTTTCTTTTTCTTGTGATCCAGCGGCCGTAGTATAAATGATATGCAAAAAAATATTGAACTCGAACAGGAAGGTATTTATTTATTTAAAAAAAAAAAAATTATGTAAAGATACTTCTACATAAGTTAATCGTTCCGCAATACTCAACCAGTCAGATGTAGTTGTCACACCGTATGGCGTATTGATTTCCACCCAGTTACCCTAATACGATTTAATATAATATGGACAGGTCAGTATCGAGTAGCCCGAATGATGAACCGCGATCACACAATGTAGATTAAATTCGAATAGAGCTTTTCTAATATTCCTGTACTGTAATCTATCTGACAAACAATTCTAACGTCGCATTAGTCACGGAGAACATACCTGTGGCCGATTTGTATTGTTCTCGATTTCGGGGTACATAAAGATTGTCAGATAGGTTTTTCAATATCATCAGCAACTTTGTACTCGATTTCAGGGGCGCCATGTGTTCAAACTCGGATGCAAAATTTTCAAATTGTTTATGCAAAAAAAATTATCAAGAAAAAACAAGTGATATAAAATATTTTTTTTTTCAAATAAAAAGGTATGACTAATTACGTTACTCAACCAAATTGAGAACTCCTCATTATAGCGTGAACCCAGTTTTAAGTTTTTTTAGATATATTTTAATGCGTTATTCTACCACTTTTGGTTATCTGCTCTCGTGATTTTGATCAGCCGTAAATTAACTAGAAACAACAAGACGAAACCTAGTGAATTGTTAGACTGCATACCTGTGACCATCATCTCAGTGTGCAGGCGATGAGTTAGGTAACGTTTTTGTGCTTCGATACTGAATGCTCGGTGGATACTCCCAAACAGACTTTTTCAGCTTGTTTCTTTTTCTTGTGATCCAGCGGCCGTAGTATAAATGATATGCAAAAAAATATTGAACTCGAACAGGAAGGTATTTATTTATTTAAAAAAAAAAAAAATTATGTAAAGATACTTCTACATAAGTTAATCGTTCCGCAATACTCAACCAGTCAGATGTAGTTGTCACACCGTATGGCGTATTGATTTCCACCCAGTTACCCTAATACGATTTAATATAATATGGACAGGTCAGTATCGAGTAGCCCGAATGATGAACCGCGATCACACAATGTAGATTAAATTCGAATAGAGCTTTTCTAATATTCCTGTACTGTAATCTATCTGACAAACAATTCTAACGTCGCATTAGTCACGGAGAACATACCTGTGGCCGATTTGTATTGTTCTCGATTTCGGGGTACATAAAGATTGTCAGATAGGTTTTTCAATATCATCAGCAACTTTGTACTCGATTTCAGGGGCGCCATGTGTTCAAACTCGGATGCAAAATTTTCAAATTGTTTATGCAAAAAAAATTATCAAGAAAAAACAAGTGATAAAAAATATTTTTTTTTTCAAATAAAAAGGTATGACTAATTACGTTACTCAACCAAATTGAGAACTCCTCATTATAGCGTGAACCCAGTTTTAAGTTTTTTTAGATATATTTTAATGCGTTATTCTACCACTTTTGGTTATCTGCTCTCGTGATTTTGATCAGCCGTAAATTAACTAGAAACAACAAGACGAAACCTAGTGAATTGTTAGACTGCATACCTGTGACCATCATCTCAGTGTGCAGGCGATGAGTTAGGTAACGTTTTTGTGCTTCGATACTGAATGCTCGGTGGATACTCCCAAACAGACTTTTTCAGCTTGTTTCTTTTTCTTGTGATCCAGCGGCCGTAGTATAAATGATATGCAAAAAAATATTGAACTCGAACAGGAAGGTATTTATTTATTTAAAAAAAAAAAAAATTATGTAAAGATACTTCTACATAAGTTAATCGTTCCGCAATACTCAACCAGTCAGATGTAGTTGTCACACCGTATGGCGTATTGATTTCCACCCAGTTACCCTAATACGATTTAATATAATATGGACAGGTCAGTATCGAGTAGCCCGAATGATGAACCGCGATCACACAATGTAGATTAAATTCGAATAGAGCTTTTCTAATATTCCTGTACTGTAATCTATCTGACAAACAATTCTAACGTCGCATTAGTCACGGAGAACATACCTGTGGCCGATTTGTATTGTTCTCGATTTCGGGGTACATAAAGATTGTCAGATAGGTTTTTCAATATCATCAGCAACTTTGTACTCGATTTCAGGGGCGCCATGTGTTCAAACTCGGATGCAAAATTTTCAAATTGTTTATGCAAAAAAAATTATCAAGAAAAAACAAGTGATATAAAATATTTTTTTTTTCAAATAAAAAGGTATGACTAATTACGTTACTCAACCAAATTGAGAACTCCTCATTATAGCGTGAACCCAGTTTTAAGTTTTTTTAGATATATTTTAATGCGTTATTCTACCACTTTTGGTTATCTGCTCTCGTGATTTTGATCAGCCGTAAATTAACTAGAAACAACAAGACGAAACCTAGTGAATTGTTAGACTGCATACCTGTGACCATCATCTCAGTGTGCAGGCGATGAGTTAGGTAACGTTTTTGTGCTTCGATACTGAATGCTCGGTGGATACTCCCAAACAGACTTTTTCAGCTTGTTTCTTTTTCTTGTGATCCAGCGGCCGTAGTATAAATGATATGCAAAAAAATATTGAACTCGAACAGGAAGGTATTTATTTATTTAAAAAAAAAAAAAATTATGTAAAGATACTTCTACATAAGTTAATCGTTCCGCAATACTCAACCAGTCAGATGTAGTTGTCACACCGTATGGCGTATTGATTTCCACCCAGTTACCCTAATACGATTTAATATAATATGGACAGGTCAGTATCGAGTAGCCCGAATGATGAACCGCGATCACACAATGTAGATTAAATTCGAATAGAGCTTTTCTAATATTCCTGTACTGTAATCTATCTGACAAACAATTCTAACGTCGCATTAGTCACGGAGAACATACCTGTGGCCGATTTGTATTGTTCTCGATTTCGGGGTACATAAAGATTGTCAGATAGGTTTTTCAATATCATCAGCAACTTTGTACTCGATTTCAGGGGCGCCATGTGTTCAAACTCGGATGCAAAATTTTCAAATTGTTTATGCAAAAAAAATTATCAAGAAAAAACAAGTGATAAAAAATATTTTTTTTTTCAAATAAAAAGGTATGACTAATTACGTTACTCAACCAAATTGAGAACTCCTCATTATAGCGTGAACCCAGTTTTAAGTTTTTTTAGATATATTTTAATGCGTTATTCTACCACTTTTGGTTATCTGCTCTCGTGATTTTGATCAGCCGTAAATTAACTAGAAACAACAAGACGAAACCTAGTGAATTGTTAGACTGCATACCTGTGACCATCATCTCAGTGTGCAGGCGATGAGTTAGGTAACGTTTTTGTGCTTCGATACTGAATGCTCGGTGGATACTCCCAAACAGACTTTTTCAGCTTGTTTCTTTTTCTTGTGATCCAGCGGCCGTAGTATAAATGATATGCAAAAAAATATTGAACTCGAACAGGAAGGTATTTATTTATTTAAAAAAAAAAAAAATTATGTAAAGATACTTCTACATAAGTTAATCGTTCCGCAATACTCAACCAGTCAGATGTAGTTGTCACACCGTATGGCGTATTGATTTCCACCCAGTTACCCTAATACGATTTAATATAATATGGACAGGTCAGTATCGAGTAGCCCGAATGATGAACCGCGATCACACAATGTAGATTAAATTCGAATAGAGCTTTTCTAATATTCCTGTACTGTAATCTATCTGACAAACAATTCTAACGTCGCATTAGTCACGGAGAACATACCTGTGGCCGATTTGTATTGTTCTCGATTTCGGGGTACATAAAGATTGTCAGATAGGTTTTTCAATATCATCAGCAACTTTGTACTCGATTTCAGGGGCGCCATGTGTTCAAACTCGGATGCAAAATTTTCAAATTGTTTATGCAAAAAAAATTATCAAGAAAAAACAAGTGATAAAAAATATTTTTTTTTTCAAATAAAAAGGTATGACTAATTACGTTACTCAACCAAATTGAGAACTCCTCATTATAGCGTGAACCCAGTTTTAAGTTTTTTTAGATATATTTTAATGCGTTATTCTACCACTTTTGGTTATCTGCTCTCGTGATTTTGATCAGCCGTAAATTAACTAGAAACAACAAGACGAAACCTAGTGAATTGTTAGACTGCATACCTGTGACCATCATCTCAGTGTGCAGGCGATGAGTTAGGTAACGTTTTTGTGCTTCGATACTGAATGCTCGGTGGATACTCCCAAACAGACTTTTTCAGCTTGTTTCTTTTTCTTGTGATCCAGCGGCCGTAGTATAAATGATATGCAAAAAAATATTGAACTCGAACAGGAAGGTATTTATTTATTTAAAAAAAAAAAAAATTATGTAAAGATACTTCTACATAAGTTAATCGTTCCGCAATACTCAACCAGTCAGATGTAGTTGTCACACCGTATGGCGTATTGATTTCCACCCAGTTACCCTAATACGATTTAATATAATATGGACAGGTCAGTATCGAGTAGCCCGAATGATGAACCGCGATCACACAATGTAGATTAAATTCGAATAGAGCTTTTCTAATATTCCTGTACTGTAATCTATCTGACAAACAATTCTAACGTCGCATTAGTCACGGAGAACATACCTGTGGCCGATTTGTATTGTTCTCGATTTCGGGGTACATAAAGATTGTCAGATAGGTTTTTCAATATCATCAGCAACTTTGTACTCGATTTCAGGGGCGCCATGTGTTCAAACTCGGATGCAAAATTTTCAAATTGTTTATGCAAAAAAAATTATCAAGAAAAAACAAGTGATATAAAATATTTTTTTTTTCAAATAAAAAGGTATGACTAATTACGTTACTCAACCAAATTGAGAACTCCTCATTATAGCGTGAACCCAGTTTTAAGTTTTTTTAGATATATTTTAATGCGTTATTCTACCACTTTTGGTTATCTGCTCTCGTGATTTTGATCAGCCGTAAATTAACTAGAAACAACAAGACGAAACCTAGTGAATTGTTAGACTGCATACCTGTGACCATCATCTCAGTGTGCAGGCGATGAGTTAGGTAACGTTTTTGTGCTTCGATACTGAATGCTCGGTGGATACTCCCAAACAGACTTTTTCAGCTTGTTTCTTTTTCTTGTGATCCAGCGGCCGTAGTATAAATGATATGCAAAAAAATATTGAACTCGAACAGGAAGGTATTTATTTATTTAAAAAAAAAAAAAATTATGTAAAGATACTTCTACATAAGTTAATCGTTCCGCAATACTCAACCAGTCAGATGTAGTTGTCACACCGTATGGCGTATTGATTTCCACCCAGTTACCCTAATACGATTTAATATAATATGGACAGGTCAGTATCGAGTAGCCCGAATGATGAACCGCGATCACACAATGTAGATTAAATTCGAATAGAGCTTTTCTAATATTCCTGTACTGTAATCTATCTGACAAACAATTCTAACGTCGCATTAGTCACGGAGAACATACCTGTGGCCGATTTGTATTGTTCTCGATTTCGGGGTACATAAAGATTGTCAGATAGGTTTTTCAATATCATCAGCAACTTTGTACTCGATTTCAGGGGCGCCATGTGTTCAAACTCGGATGCAAAATTTTCAAATTGTTTATGCAAAAAAAATTATCAAGAAAAAACAAGTGATAAAAAATATTTTTTTTTTCAAATAAAAAGGTATGACTAATTACGTTACTCAACCAAATTGAGAACTCCTCATTATAGCGTGAACCCAGTTTTAAGTTTTTTTAGATATATTTTAATGCGTTATTCTACCACTTTTGGTTATCTGCTCTCGTGATTTTGATCAGCCGTAAATTAACTAGAAACAACAAGACGAAACCTAGTGAATTGTTAGACTGCATACCTGTGACCATCATCTCAGTGTGCAGGCGATGAGTTAGGTAACGTTTTTGTGCTTCGATACTGAATGCTCGGTGGATACTCCCAAACAGACTTTTTCAGCTTGTTTCTTTTTCTTGTGATCCAGCGGCCGTAGTATAAATGATATGCAAAAAAATATTGAACTCGAACAGGAAGGTATTTATTTATTTAAAAAAAAAAAAAATTATGTAAAGATACTTCTACATAAGTTAATCGTTCCGCAATACTCAACCAGTCAGATGTAGTTGTCACACCGTATGGCGTATTGATTTCCACCCAGTTACCCTAATACGATTTAATATAATATGGACAGGTCAGTATCGAGTAGCCCGAATGATGAACCGCGATCACACAATGTAGATTAAATTCGAATAGAGCTTTTCTAATATTCCTGTACTGTAATCTATCTGACAAACAATTCTAACGTCGCATTAGTCACGGAGAACATACCTGTGGCCGATTTGTATTGTTCTCGATTTCGGGGTACATAAAGATTGTCAGATAGGTTTTTCAATATCATCAGCAACTTTGTACTCGATTTCAGGGGCGCCATGTGTTCAAACTCGGATGCAAAATTTTCAAATTGTTTATGCAAAAAAAATTATCAAGAAAAAACAAGTGATATAAAATATTTTTTTTTTCAAATAAAAAGGTATGACTAATTACGTTACTCAACCAAATTGAGAACTCCTCATTATAGCGTGAACCCAGTTTTAAGTTTTTTTAGATATATTTTAATGCGTTATTCTACCACTTTTGGTTATCTGCTCTCGTGATTTTGATCAGCCGTAAATTAACTAGAAACAACAAGACGAAACCTAGTGAATTGTTAGACTGCATACCTGTGACCATCATCTCAGTGTGCAGGCGATGAGTTAGGTAACGTTTTTGTGCTTCGATACTGAATGCTCGGTGGATACTCCCAAACAGACTTTTTCAGCTTGTTTCTTTTTCTTGTGATCCAGCGGCCGTAGTATAAATGATATGCAAAAAAATATTGAACTCGAACAGGAAGGTATTTATTTATTTAAAAAAAAAAAAAATTATGTAAAGATACTTCTACATAAGTTAATCGTTCCGCAATACTCAACCAGTCAGATGTAGTTGTCACACCGTATGGCGTATTGATTTCCACCCAGTTACCCTAATACGATTTAATATAATATGGACAGGTCAGTATCGAGTAGCCCGAATGATGAACCGCGATCACACAATGTAGATTAAATTCGAATAGAGCTTTTCTAATATTCCTGTACTGTAATCTATCTGACAAACAATTCTAACGTCGCATTAGTCACGGAGAACATACCTGTGGCCGATTTGTATTGTTCTCGATTTCGGGGTACATAAAGATTGTCAGATAGGTTTTTCAATATCATCAGCAACTTTGTACTCGATTTCAGGGGCGCCATGTGTTCAAACTCGGATGCAAAATTTTCAAATTGTTTATGCAAAAAAAATTATCAAGAAAAAACAAGTGATAAAAAATATTTTTTTTTTCAAATAAAAAGGTATGACTAATTACGTTACTCAACCAAATTGAGAACTCCTCATTATAGCGTGAACCCAGTTTTAAGTTTTTTTAGATATATTTTAATGCGTTATTCTACCACTTTTGGTTATCTGCTCTCGTGATTTTGATCAGCCGTAAATTAACTAGAAACAACAAGACGAAACCTAGTGAATTGTTAGACTGCATACCTGTGACCATCATCTCAGTGTGCAGGCGATGAGTTAGGTAACGTTTTTGTGCTTCGATACTGAATGCTCGGTGGATACTCCCAAACAGACTTTTTCAGCTTGTTTCTTTTTCTTGTGATCCAGCGGCCGTAGTATAAATGATATGCAAAAAAATATTGAACTCGAACAGGAAGGTATTTATTTATTTAAAAAAAAAAAAAATTATGTAAAGATACTTCTACATAAGTTAATCGTTCCGCAATACTCAACCAGTCAGATGTAGTTGTCACACCGTATGGCGTATTGATTTCCACCCAGTTACCCTAATACGATTTAATATAATATGGACAGGTCAGTATCGAGTAGCCCGAATGATGAACCGCGATCACACAATGTAGATTAAATTCGAATAGAGCTTTTCTAATATTCCTGTACTGTAATCTATCTGACAAACAATTCTAACGTCGCATTAGTCACGGAGAACATACCTGTGGCCGATTTGTATTGTTCTCGATTTCGGGGTACATAAAGATTGTCAGATAGGTTTTTCAATATCATCAGCAACTTTGTACTCGATTTCAGGGGCGCCATGTGTTCAAACTCGGATGCAAAATTTTCAAATTGTTTATGCAAAAAAAATTATCAAGAAAAAACAAGTGATATAAAATATTTTTTTTTTCAAATAAAAAGGTATGACTAATTACGTTACTCAACCAAATTGAGAACTCCTCATTATAGCGTGAACCCAGTTTTAAGTTTTTTTAGATATATTTTAATGCGTTATTCTACCACTTTTGGTTATCTGCTCTCGTGATTTTGATCAGCCGTAAATTAACTAGAAACAACAAGACGAAACCTAGTGAATTGTTAGACTGCATACCTGTGACCATCATCTCAGTGTGCAGGCGATGAGTTAGGTAACGTTTTTGTGCTTCGATACTGAATGCTCGGTGGATACTCCCAAACAGACTTTTTCAGCTTGTTTCTTTTTCTTGTGATCCAGCGGCCGTAGTATAAATGATATGCAAAAAAATATTGAACTCGAACAGGAAGGTATTTATTTATTTAAAAAAAAAAAAAATTATGTAAAGATACTTCTACATAAGTTAATCGTTCCGCAATACTCAACCAGTCAGATGTAGTTGTCACACCGTATGGCGTATTGATTTCCACCCAGTTACCCTAATACGATTTAATATAATATGGACAGGTCAGTATCGAGTAGCCCGAATGATGAACCGCGATCACACAATGTAGATTAAATTCGAATAGAGCTTTTCTAATATTCCTGTACTGTAATCTATCTGACAAACAATTCTAACGTCGCATTAGTCACGGAGAACATACCTGTGGCCGATTTGTATTGTTCTCGATTTCGGGGTACATAAAGATTGTCAGATAGGTTTTTCAATATCATCAGCAACTTTGTACTCGATTTCAGGGGCGCCATGTGTTCAAACTCGGATGCAAAATTTTCAAATTGTTTATGCAAAAAAAATTATCAAGAAAAAACAAGTGATATAAAATATTTTTTTTTTCAAATAAAAAGGTATGACTAATTACGTTACTCAACCAAATTGAGAACTCCTCATTATAGCGTGAACCCAGTTTTAAGTTTTTTTAGATATATTTTAATGCGTTATTCTACCACTTTTGGTTATCTGCTCTCGTGATTTTGATCAGCCGTAAATTAACTAGAAACAACAAGACGAAACCTAGTGAATTGTTAGACTGCATACCTGTGACCATCATCTCAGTGTGCAGGCGATGAGTTAGGTAACGTTTTTGTGCTTCGATACTGAATGCTCGGTGGATACTCCCAAACAGACTTTTTCAGCTTGTTTCTTTTTCTTGTGATCCAGCGGCCGTAGTATAAATGATATGCAAAAAAATATTGAACTCGAACAGGAAGGTATTTATTTATTTAAAAAAAAAAAAAATTATGTAAAGATACTTCTACATAAGTTAATCGTTCCGCAATACTCAACCAGTCAGATGTAGTTGTCACACCGTATGGCGTATTGATTTCCACCCAGTTACCCTAATACGATTTAATATAATATGGACAGGTCAGTATCGAGTAGCCCGAATGATGAACCGCGATCACACAATGTAGATTAAATTCGAATAGAGCTTTTCTAATATTCCTGTACTGTAATCTATCTGACAAACAATTCTAACGTCGCATTAGTCACGGAGAACATACCTGTGGCCGATTTGTATTGTTCTCGATTTCGGGGTACATAAAGATTGTCAGATAGGTTTTTCAATATCATCAGCAACTTTGTACTCGATTTCAGGGGCGCCATGTGTTCAAACTCGGATGCAAAATTTTCAAATTGTTTATGCAAAAAAAATTATCAAGAAAAAACAAGTGATATAAAATATTTTTTTTTTCAAATAAAAAGGTATGACTAATTACGTTACTCAACCAAATTGAGAACTCCTCATTATAGCGTGAACCCAGTTTTAAGTTTTTTTAGATATATTTTAATGCGTTATTCTACCACTTTTGGTTATCTGCTCTCGTGATTTTGATCAGCCGTAAATTAACTAGAAACAACAAGACGAAACCTAGTGAATTGTTAGACTGCATACCTGTGACCATCATCTCAGTGTGCAGGCGATGAGTTAGGTAACGTTTTTGTGCTTCGATACTGAATGCTCGGTGGATACTCCCAAACAGACTTTTTCAGCTTGTTTCTTTTTCTTGTGATCCAGCGGCCGTAGTATAAATGATATGCAAAAAAATATTGAACTCGAACAGGAAGGTATTTATTTATTTAAAAAAAAAAAAAATTATGTAAAGATACTTCTACATAAGTTAATCGTTCCGCAATACTCAACCAGTCAGATGTAGTTGTCACACCGTATGGCGTATTGATTTCCACCCAGTTACCCTAATACGATTTAATATAATATGGACAGGTCAGTATCGAGTAGCCCGAATGATGAACCGCGATCACACAATGTAGATTAAATTCGAATAGAGCTTTTCTAATATTCCTGTACTGTAATCTATCTGACAAACAATTCTAACGTCGCATTAGTCACGGAGAACATACCTGTGGCCGATTTGTATTGTTCTCGATTTCGGGGTACATAAAGATTGTCAGATAGGTTTTTCAATATCATCAGCAACTTTGTACTCGATTTCAGGGGCGCCATGTGTTCAAACTCGGATGCAAAATTTTCAAATTGTTTATGCAAAAAAAATTATCAAGAAAAAACAAGTGATATAAAATATTTTTTTTTTCAAATAAAAAGGTATGACTAATTACGTTACTCAACCAAATTGAGAACTCCTCATTATAGCGTGAACCCAGTTTTAAGTTTTTTTAGATATATTTTAATGCGTTATTCTACCACTTTTGGTTATCTGCTCTCGTGATTTTGATCAGCCGTAAATTAACTAGAAACAACAAGACGAAACCTAGTGAATTGTTAGACTGCATACCTGTGACCATCATCTCAGTGTGCAGGCGATGAGTTAGGTAACGTTTTTGTGCTTCGATACTGAATGCTCGGTGGATACTCCCAAACAGACTTTTTCAGCTTGTTTCTTTTTCTTGTGATCCAGCGGCCGTAGTATAAATGATATGCAAAAAAATATTGAACTCGAACAGGAAGGTATTTATTTATTTAAAAAAAAAAAAAATTATGTAAAGATACTTCTACATAAGTTAATCGTTCCGCAATACTCAACCAGTCAGATGTAGTTGTCACACCGTATGGCGTATTGATTTCCACCCAGTTACCCTAATACGATTTAATATAATATGGACAGGTCAGTATCGAGTAGCCCGAATGATGAACCGCGATCACACAATGTAGATTAAATTCGAATAGAGCTTTTCTAATATTCCTGTACTGTAATCTATCTGACAAACAATTCTAACGTCGCATTAGTCACGGAGAACATACCTGTGGCCGATTTGTATTGTTCTCGATTTCGGGGTACATAAAGATTGTCAGATAGGTTTTTCAATATCATCAGCAACTTTGTACTCGATTTCAGGGGCGCCATGTGTTCAAACTCGGATGCAAAATTTTCAAATTGTTTATGCAAAAAAAATTATCAAGAAAAAACAAGTGATAAAAAATATTTTTTTTTTCAAATAAAAAGGTATGACTAATTACGTTACTCAACCAAATTGAGAACTCCTCATTATAGCGTGAACCCAGTTTTAAGTTTTTTTAGATATATTTTAATGCGTTATTCTACCACTTTTGGTTATCTGCTCTCGTGATTTTGATCAGCCGTAAATTAACTAGAAACAACAAGACGAAACCTAGTGAATTGTTAGACTGCATACCTGTGACCATCATCTCAGTGTGCAGGCGATGAGTTAGGTAACGTTTTTGTGCTTCGATACTGAATGCTCGGTGGATACTCCCAAACAGACTTTTTCAGCTTGTTTCTTTTTCTTGTGATCCAGCGGCCGTAGTATAAATGATATGCAAAAAAATATTGAACTCGAACAGGAAGGTATTTATTTATTTAAAAAAAAAAAAAATTATGTAAAGATACTTCTACATAAGTTAATCGTTCCGCAATACTCAACCAGTCAGATGTAGTTGTCACACCGTATGGCGTATTGATTTCCACCCAGTTACCCTAATACGATTTAATATAATATGGACAGGTCAGTATCGAGTAGCCCGAATGATGAACCGCGATCACACAATGTAGATTAAATTCGAATAGAGCTTTTCTAATATTCCTGTACTGTAATCTATCTGACAAACAATTCTAACGTCGCATTAGTCACGGAGAACATACCTGTGGCCGATTTGTATTGTTCTCGATTTCGGGGTACATAAAGATTGTCAGATAGGTTTTTCAATATCATCAGCAACTTTGTACTCGATTTCAGGGGCGCCATGTGTTCAAACTCGGATGCAAAATTTTCAAATTGTTTATGCAAAAAAAATTATCAAGAAAAAACAAGTGATAAAAAATATTTTTTTTTTCAAATAAAAAGGTATGACTAATTACGTTACTCAACCAAATTGAGAACTCCTCATTATAGCGTGAACCCAGTTTTAAGTTTTTTTAGATATATTTTAATGCGTTATTCTACCACTTTTGGTTATCTGCTCTCGTGATTTTGATCAGCCGTAAATTAACTAGAAACAACAAGACGAAACCTAGTGAATTGTTAGACTGCATACCTGTGACCATCATCTCAGTGTGCAGGCGATGAGTTAGGTAACGTTTTTGTGCTTCGATACTGAATGCTCGGTGGATACTCCCAAACAGACTTTTTCAGCTTGTTTCTTTTTCTTGTGATCCAGCGGCCGTAGTATAAATGATATGCAAAAAAATATTGAACTCGAACAGGAAGGTATTTATTTATTTAAAAAAAAAAAAAATTATGTAAAGATACTTCTACATAAGTTAATCGTTCCGCAATACTCAACCAGTCAGATGTAGTTGTCACACCGTATGGCGTATTGATTTCCACCCAGTTACCCTAATACGATTTAATATAATATGGACAGGTCAGTATCGAGTAGCCCGAATGATGAACCGCGATCACACAATGTAGATTAAATTCGAATAGAGCTTTTCTAATATTCCTGTACTGTAATCTATCTGACAAACAATTCTAACGTCGCATTAGTCACGGAGAACATACCTGTGGCCGATTTGTATTGTTCTCGATTTCGGGGTACATAAAGATTGTCAGATAGGTTTTTCAATATCATCAGCAACTTTGTACTCGATTTCAGGGGCGCCATGTGTTCAAACTCGGATGCAAAATTTTCAAATTGTTTATGCAAAAAAAATTATCAAGAAAAAACAAGTGATATAAAATATTTTTTTTTTCAAATAAAAAGGTATGACTAATTACGTTACTCAACCAAATTGAGAACTCCTCATTATAGCGTGAACCCAGTTTTAAGTTTTTTTAGATATATTTTAATGCGTTATTCTACCACTTTTGGTTATCTGCTCTCGTGATTTTGATCAGCCGTAAATTAACTAGAAACAACAAGACGAAACCTAGTGAATTGTTAGACTGCATACCTGTGACCATCATCTCAGTGTGCAGGCGATGAGTTAGGTAACGTTTTTGTGCTTCGATACTGAATGCTCGGTGGATACTCCCAAACAGACTTTTTCAGCTTGTTTCTTTTTCTTGTGATCCAGCGGCCGTAGTATAAATGATATGCAAAAAAATATTGAACTCGAACAGGAAGGTATTTATTTATTTAAAAAAAAAAAAAATTATGTAAAGATACTTCTACATAAGTTAATCGTTCCGCAATACTCAACCAGTCAGATGTAGTTGTCACACCGTATGGCGTATTGATTTCCACCCAGTTACCCTAATACGATTTAATATAATATGGACAGGTCAGTATCGAGTAGCCCGAATGATGAACCGCGATCACACAATGTAGATTAAATTCGAATAGAGCTTTTCTAATATTCCTGTACTGTAATCTATCTGACAAACAATTCTAACGTCGCATTAGTCACGGAGAACATACCTGTGGCCGATTTGTATTGTTCTCGATTTCGGGGTACATAAAGATTGTCAGATAGGTTTTTCAATATCATCAGCAACTTTGTACTCGATTTCAGGGGCGCCATGTGTTCAAACTCGGATGCAAAATTTTCAAATTGTTTATGCAAAAAAAATTATCAAGAAAAAACAAGTGATATAAAATATTTTTTTTTTCAAATAAAAAGGTATGACTAATTACGTTACTCAACCAAATTGAGAACTCCTCATTATAGCGTGAACCCAGTTTTAAGTTTTTTTAGATATATTTTAATGCGTTATTCTACCACTTTTGGTTATCTGCTCTCGTGATTTTGATCAGCCGTAAATTAACTAGAAACAACAAGACGAAACCTAGTGAATTGTTAGACTGCATACCTGTGACCATCATCTCAGTGTGCAGGCGATGAGTTAGGTAACGTTTTTGTGCTTCGATACTGAATGCTCGGTGGATACTCCCAAACAGACTTTTTCAGCTTGTTTCTTTTTCTTGTGATCCAGCGGCCGTAGTATAAATGATATGCAAAAAAATATTGAACTCGAACAGGAAGGTATTTATTTATTTAAAAAAAAAAAAAATTATGTAAAGATACTTCTACATAAGTTAATCGTTCCGCAATACTCAACCAGTCAGATGTAGTTGTCACACCGTATGGCGTATTGATTTCCACCCAGTTACCCTAATACGATTTAATATAATATGGACAGGTCAGTATCGAGTAGCCCGAATGATGAACCGCGATCACACAATGTAGATTAAATTCGAATAGAGCTTTTCTAATATTCCTGTACTGTAATCTATCTGACAAACAATTCTAACGTCGCATTAGTCACGGAGAACATACCTGTGGCCGATTTGTATTGTTCTCGATTTCGGGGTACATAAAGATTGTCAGATAGGTTTTTCAATATCATCAGCAACTTTGTACTCGATTTCAGGGGCGCCATGTGTTCAAACTCGGATGCAAAATTTTCAAATTGTTTATGCAAAAAAAATTATCAAGAAAAAACAAGTGATAAAAAATATTTTTTTTTTCAAATAAAAAGGTATGACTAATTACGTTACTCAACCAAATTGAGAACTCCTCATTATAGCGTGAACCCAGTTTTAAGTTTTTTTAGATATATTTTAATGCGTTATTCTACCACTTTTGGTTATCTGCTCTCGTGATTTTGATCAGCCGTAAATTAACTAGAAACAACAAGACGAAACCTAGTGAATTGTTAGACTGCATACCTGTGACCATCATCTCAGTGTGCAGGCGATGAGTTAGGTAACGTTTTTGTGCTTCGATACTGAATGCTCGGTGGATACTCCCAAACAGACTTTTTCAGCTTGTTTCTTTTTCTTGTGATCCAGCGGCCGTAGTATAAATGATATGCAAAAAAATATTGAACTCGAACAGGAAGGTATTTATTTATTTAAAAAAAAAAAAAATTATGTAAAGATACTTCTACATAAGTTAATCGTTCCGCAATACTCAACCAGTCAGATGTAGTTGTCACACCGTATGGCGTATTGATTTCCACCCAGTTACCCTAATACGATTTAATATAATATGGACAGGTCAGTATCGAGTAGCCCGAATGATGAACCGCGATCACACAATGTAGATTAAATTCGAATAGAGCTTTTCTAATATTCCTGTACTGTAATCTATCTGACAAACAATTCTAACGTCGCATTAGTCACGGAGAACATACCTGTGGCCGATTTGTATTGTTCTCGATTTCGGGGTACATAAAGATTGTCAGATAGGTTTTTCAATATCATCAGCAACTTTGTACTCGATTTCAGGGGCGCCATGTGTTCAAACTCGGATGCAAAATTTTCAAATTGTTTATGCAAAAAAAATTATCAAGAAAAAACAAGTGATAAAAAATATTTTTTTTTTCAAATAAAAAGGTATGACTAATTACGTTACTCAACCAAATTGAGAACTCCTCATTATAGCGTGAACCCAGTTTTAAGTTTTTTTAGATATATTTTAATGCGTTATTCTACCACTTTTGGTTATCTGCTCTCGTGATTTTGATCAGCCGTAAATTAACTAGAAACAACAAGACGAAACCTAGTGAATTGTTAGACTGCATACCTGTGACCATCATCTCAGTGTGCAGGCGATGAGTTAGGTAACGTTTTTGTGCTTCGATACTGAATGCTCGGTGGATACTCCCAAACAGACTTTTTCAGCTTGTTTCTTTTTCTTGTGATCCAGCGGCCGTAGTATAAATGATATGCAAAAAAATATTGAACTCGAACAGGAAGGTATTTATTTATTTAAAAAAAAAAAAAATTATGTAAAGATACTTCTACATAAGTTAATCGTTCCGCAATACTCAACCAGTCAGATGTAGTTGTCACACCGTATGGCGTATTGATTTCCACCCAGTTACCCTAATACGATTTAATATAATATGGACAGGTCAGTATCGAGTAGCCCGAATGATGAACCGCGATCACACAATGTAGATTAAATTCGAATAGAGCTTTTCTAATATTCCTGTACTGTAATCTATCTGACAAACAATTCTAACGTCGCATTAGTCACGGAGAACATACCTGTGGCCGATTTGTATTGTTCTCGATTTCGGGGTACATAAAGATTGTCAGATAGGTTTTTCAATATCATCAGCAACTTTGTACTCGATTTCAGGGGCGCCATGTGTTCAAACTCGGATGCAAAATTTTCAAATTGTTTATGCAAAAAAAATTATCAAGAAAAAACAAGTGATATAAAATATTTTTTTTTTCAAATAAAAAGGTATGACTAATTACGTTACTCAACCAAATTGAGAACTCCTCATTATAGCGTGAACCCAGTTTTAAGTTTTTTTAGATATATTTTAATGCGTTATTCTACCACTTTTGGTTATCTGCTCTCGTGATTTTGATCAGCCGTAAATTAACTAGAAACAACAAGACGAAACCTAGTGAATTGTTAGACTGCATACCTGTGACCATCATCTCAGTGTGCAGGCGATGAGTTAGGTAACGTTTTTGTGCTTCGATACTGAATGCTCGGTGGATACTCCCAAACAGACTTTTTCAGCTTGTTTCTTTTTCTTGTGATCCAGCGGCCGTAGTATAAATGATATGCAAAAAAATATTGAACTCGAACAGGAAGGTATTTATTTATTTAAAAAAAAAAAAAATTATGTAAAGATACTTCTACATAAGTTAATCGTTCCGCAATACTCAACCAGTCAGATGTAGTTGTCACACCGTATGGCGTATTGATTTCCACCCAGTTACCCTAATACGATTTAATATAATATGGACAGGTCAGTATCGAGTAGCCCGAATGATGAACCGCGATCACACAATGTAGATTAAATTCGAATAGAGCTTTTCTAATATTCCTGTACTGTAATCTATCTGACAAACAATTCTAACGTCGCATTAGTCACGGAGAACATACCTGTGGCCGATTTGTATTGTTCTCGATTTCGGGGTACATAAAGATTGTCAGATAGGTTTTTCAATATCATCAGCAACTTTGTACTCGATTTCAGGGGCGCCATGTGTTCAAACTCGGATGCAAAATTTTCAAATTGTTTATGCAAAAAAAATTATCAAGAAAAAACAAGTGATAAAAAATATTTTTTTTTTCAAATAAAAAGGTATGACTAATTACGTTACTCAACCAAATTGAGAACTCCTCATTATAGCGTGAACCCAGTTTTAAGTTTTTTTAGATATATTTTAATGCGTTATTCTACCACTTTTGGTTATCTGCTCTCGTGATTTTGATCAGCCGTAAATTAACTAGAAACAACAAGACGAAACCTAGTGAATTGTTAGACTGCATACCTGTGACCATCATCTCAGTGTGCAGGCGATGAGTTAGGTAACGTTTTTGTGCTTCGATACTGAATGCTCGGTGGATACTCCCAAACAGACTTTTTCAGCTTGTTTCTTTTTCTTGTGATCCAGCGGCCGTAGTATAAATGATATGCAAAAAAATATTGAACTCGAACAGGAAGGTATTTATTTATTTAAAAAAAAAAAAAATTATGTAAAGATACTTCTACATAAGTTAATCGTTCCGCAATACTCAACCAGTCAGATGTAGTTGTCACACCGTATGGCGTATTGATTTCCACCCAGTTACCCTAATACGATTTAATATAATATGGACAGGTCAGTATCGAGTAGCCCGAATGATGAACCGCGATCACACAATGTAGATTAAATTCGAATAGAGCTTTTCTAATATTCCTGTACTGTAATCTATCTGACAAACAATTCTAACGTCGCATTAGTCACGGAGAACATACCTGTGGCCGATTTGTATTGTTCTCGATTTCGGGGTACATAAAGATTGTCAGATAGGTTTTTCAATATCATCAGCAACTTTGTACTCGATTTCAGGGGCGCCATGTGTTCAAACTCGGATGCAAAATTTTCAAATTGTTTATGCAAAAAAAATTATCAAGAAAAAACAAGTGATAAAAAATATTTTTTTTTTCAAATAAAAAGGTATGACTAATTACGTTACTCAACCAAATTGAGAACTCCTCATTATAGCGTGAACCCAGTTTTAAGTTTTTTTAGATATATTTTAATGCGTTATTCTACCACTTTTGGTTATCTGCTCTCGTGATTTTGATCAGCCGTAAATTAACTAGAAACAACAAGACGAAACCTAGTGAATTGTTAGACTGCATACCTGTGACCATCATCTCAGTGTGCAGGCGATGAGTTAGGTAACGTTTTTGTGCTTCGATACTGAATGCTCGGTGGATACTCCCAAACAGACTTTTTCAGCTTGTTTCTTTTTCTTGTGATCCAGCGGCCGTAGTATAAATGATATGCAAAAAAATATTGAACTCGAACAGGAAGGTATTTATTTATTTAAAAAAAAAAAAAATTATGTAAAGATACTTCTACATAAGTTAATCGTTCCGCAATACTCAACCAGTCAGATGTAGTTGTCACACCGTATGGCGTATTGATTTCCACCCAGTTACCCTAATACGATTTAATATAATATGGACAGGTCAGTATCGAGTAGCCCGAATGATGAACCGCGATCACACAATGTAGATTAAATTCGAATAGAGCTTTTCTAATATTCCTGTACTGTAATCTATCTGACAAACAATTCTAACGTCGCATTAGTCACGGAGAACATACCTGTGGCCGATTTGTATTGTTCTCGATTTCGGGGTACATAAAGATTGTCAGATAGGTTTTTCAATATCATCAGCAACTTTGTACTCGATTTCAGGGGCGCCATGTGTTCAAACTCGGATGCAAAATTTTCAAATTGTTTATGCAAAAAAAATTATCAAGAAAAAACAAGTGATAAAAAATATTTTTTTTTTCAAATAAAAAGGTATGACTAATTACGTTACTCAACCAAATTGAGAACTCCTCATTATAGCGTGAACCCAGTTTTAAGTTTTTTTAGATATATTTTAATGCGTTATTCTACCACTTTTGGTTATCTGCTCTCGTGATTTTGATCAGCCGTAAATTAACTAGAAACAACAAGACGAAACCTAGTGAATTGTTAGACTGCATACCTGTGACCATCATCTCAGTGTGCAGGCGATGAGTTAGGTAACGTTTTTGTGCTTCGATACTGAATGCTCGGTGGATACTCCCAAACAGACTTTTTCAGCTTGTTTCTTTTTCTTGTGATCCAGCGGCCGTAGTATAAATGATATGCAAAAAAATATTGAACTCGAACAGGAAGGTATTTATTTATTTAAAAAAAAAAAAAATTATGTAAAGATACTTCTACATAAGTTAATCGTTCCGCAATACTCAACCAGTCAGATGTAGTTGTCACACCGTATGGCGTATTGATTTCCACCCAGTTACCCTAATACGATTTAATATAATATGGACAGGTCAGTATCGAGTAGCCCGAATGATGAACCGCGATCACACAATGTAGATTAAATTCGAATAGAGCTTTTCTAATATTCCTGTACTGTAATCTATCTGACAAACAATTCTAACGTCGCATTAGTCACGGAGAACATACCTGTGGCCGATTTGTATTGTTCTCGATTTCGGGGTACATAAAGATTGTCAGATAGGTTTTTCAATATCATCAGCAACTTTGTACTCGATTTCAGGGGCGCCATGTGTTCAAACTCGGATGCAAAATTTTCAAATTGTTTATGCAAAAAAAATTATCAAGAAAAAACAAGTGATAAAAAATATTTTTTTTTTCAAATAAAAAGGTATGACTAATTACGTTACTCAACCAAATTGAGAACTCCTCATTATAGCGTGAACCCAGTTTTAAGTTTTTTTAGATATATTTTAATGCGTTATTCTACCACTTTTGGTTATCTGCTCTCGTGATTTTGATCAGCCGTAAATTAACTAGAAACAACAAGACGAAACCTAGTGAATTGTTAGACTGCATACCTGTGACCATCATCTCAGTGTGCAGGCGATGAGTTAGGTAACGTTTTTGTGCTTCGATACTGAATGCTCGGTGGATACTCCCAAACAGACTTTTTCAGCTTGTTTCTTTTTCTTGTGATCCAGCGGCCGTAGTATAAATGATATGCAAAAAAATATTGAACTCGAACAGGAAGGTATTTATTTATTTAAAAAAAAAAAAAATTATGTAAAGATACTTCTACATAAGTTAATCGTTCCGCAATACTCAACCAGTCAGATGTAGTTGTCACACCGTATGGCGTATTGATTTCCACCCAGTTACCCTAATACGATTTAATATAATATGGACAGGTCAGTATCGAGTAGCCCGAATGATGAACCGCGATCACACAATGTAGATTAAATTCGAATAGAGCTTTTCTAATATTCCTGTACTGTAATCTATCTGACAAACAATTCTAACGTCGCATTAGTCACGGAGAACATACCTGTGGCCGATTTGTATTGTTCTCGATTTCGGGGTACATAAAGATTGTCAGATAGGTTTTTCAATATCATCAGCAACTTTGTACTCGATTTCAGGGGCGCCATGTGTTCAAACTCGGATGCAAAATTTTCAAATTGTTTATGCAAAAAAAATTATCAAGAAAAAACAAGTGATAAAAAATATTTTTTTTTTCAAATAAAAAGGTATGACTAATTACGTTACTCAACCAAATTGAGAACTCCTCATTATAGCGTGAACCCAGTTTTAAGTTTTTTTAGATATATTTTAATGCGTTATTCTACCACTTTTGGTTATCTGCTCTCGTGATTTTGATCAGCCGTAAATTAACTAGAAACAACAAGACGAAACCTAGTGAATTGTTAGACTGCATACCTGTGACCATCATCTCAGTGTGCAGGCGATGAGTTAGGTAACGTTTTTGTGCTTCGATACTGAATGCTCGGTGGATACTCCCAAACAGACTTTTTCAGCTTGTTTCTTTTTCTTGTGATCCAGCGGCCGTAGTATAAATGATATGCAAAAAAATATTGAACTCGAACAGGAAGGTATTTATTTATTTAAAAAAAAAAAAAATTATGTAAAGATACTTCTACATAAGTTAATCGTTCCGCAATACTCAACCAGTCAGATGTAGTTGTCACACCGTATGGCGTATTGATTTCCACCCAGTTACCCTAATACGATTTAATATAATATGGACAGGTCAGTATCGAGTAGCCCGAATGATGAACCGCGATCACACAATGTAGATTAAATTCGAATAGAGCTTTTCTAATATTCCTGTACTGTAATCTATCTGACAAACAATTCTAACGTCGCATTAGTCACGGAGAACATACCTGTGGCCGATTTGTATTGTTCTCGATTTCGGGGTACATAAAGATTGTCAGATAGGTTTTTCAATATCATCAGCAACTTTGTACTCGATTTCAGGGGCGCCATGTGTTCAAACTCGGATGCAAAATTTTCAAATTGTTTATGCAAAAAAAATTATCAAGAAAAAACAAGTGATAAAAAATATTTTTTTTTTCAAATAAAAAGGTATGACTAATTACGTTACTCAACCAAATTGAGAACTCCTCATTATAGCGTGAACCCAGTTTTAAGTTTTTTTAGATATATTTTAATGCGTTATTCTACCACTTTTGGTTATCTGCTCTCGTGATTTTGATCAGCCGTAAATTAACTAGAAACAACAAGACGAAACCTAGTGAATTGTTAGACTGCATACCTGTGACCATCATCTCAGTGTGCAGGCGATGAGTTAGGTAACGTTTTTGTGCTTCGATACTGAATGCTCGGTGGATACTCCCAAACAGACTTTTTCAGCTTGTTTCTTTTTCTTGTGATCCAGCGGCCGTAGTATAAATGATATGCAAAAAAATATTGAACTCGAACAGGAAGGTATTTATTTATTTAAAAAAAAAAAAAATTATGTAAAGATACTTCTACATAAGTTAATCGTTCCGCAATACTCAACCAGTCAGATGTAGTTGTCACACCGTATGGCGTATTGATTTCCACCCAGTTACCCTAATACGATTTAATATAATATGGACAGGTCAGTATCGAGTAGCCCGAATGATGAACCGCGATCACACAATGTAGATTAAATTCGAATAGAGCTTTTCTAATATTCCTGTACTGTAATCTATCTGACAAACAATTCTAACGTCGCATTAGTCACGGAGAACATACCTGTGGCCGATTTGTATTGTTCTCGATTTCGGGGTACATAAAGATTGTCAGATAGGTTTTTCAATATCATCAGCAACTTTGTACTCGATTTCAGGGGCGCCATGTGTTCAAACTCGGATGCAAAATTTTCAAATTGTTTATGCAAAAAAAATTATCAAGAAAAAACAAGTGATAAAAAATATTTTTTTTTTCAAATAAAAAGGTATGACTAATTACGTTACTCAACCAAATTGAGAACTCCTCATTATAGCGTGAACCCAGTTTTAAGTTTTTTTAGATATATTTTAATGCGTTATTCTACCACTTTTGGTTATCTGCTCTCGTGATTTTGATCAGCCGTAAATTAACTAGAAACAACAAGACGAAACCTAGTGAATTGTTAGACTGCATACCTGTGACCATCATCTCAGTGTGCAGGCGATGAGTTAGGTAACGTTTTTGTGCTTCGATACTGAATGCTCGGTGGATACTCCCAAACAGACTTTTTCAGCTTGTTTCTTTTTCTTGTGATCCAGCGGCCGTAGTATAAATGATATGCAAAAAAATATTGAACTCGAACAGGAAGGTATTTATTTATTTAAAAAAAAAAAAAATTATGTAAAGATACTTCTACATAAGTTAATCGTTCCGCAATACTCAACCAGTCAGATGTAGTTGTCACACCGTATGGCGTATTGATTTCCACCCAGTTACCCTAATACGATTTAATATAATATGGACAGGTCAGTATCGAGTAGCCCGAATGATGAACCGCGATCACACAATGTAGATTAAATTCGAATAGAGCTTTTCTAATATTCCTGTACTGTAATCTATCTGACAAACAATTCTAACGTCGCATTAGTCACGGAGAACATACCTGTGGCCGATTTGTATTGTTCTCGATTTCGGGGTACATAAAGATTGTCAGATAGGTTTTTCAATATCATCAGCAACTTTGTACTCGATTTCAGGGGCGCCATGTGTTCAAACTCGGATGCAAAATTTTCAAATTGTTTATGCAAAAAAAATTATCAAGAAAAAACAAGTGATAAAAAATATTTTTTTTTTCAAATAAAAAGGTATGACTAATTACGTTACTCAACCAAATTGAGAACTCCTCATTATAGCGTGAACCCAGTTTTAAGTTTTTTTAGATATATTTTAATGCGTTATTCTACCACTTTTGGTTATCTGCTCTCGTGATTTTGATCAGCCGTAAATTAACTAGAAACAACAAGACGAAACCTAGTGAATTGTTAGACTGCATACCTGTGACCATCATCTCAGTGTGCAGGCGATGAGTTAGGTAACGTTTTTGTGCTTCGATACTGAATGCTCGGTGGATACTCCCAAACAGACTTTTTCAGCTTGTTTCTTTTTCTTGTGATCCAGCGGCCGTAGTATAAATGATATGCAAAAAAATATTGAACTCGAACAGGAAGGTATTTATTTATTTAAAAAAAAAAAAAATTATGTAAAGATACTTCTACATAAGTTAATCGTTCCGCAATACTCAACCAGTCAGATGTAGTTGTCACACCGTATGGCGTATTGATTTCCACCCAGTTACCCTAATACGATTTAATATAATATGGACAGGTCAGTATCGAGTAGCCCGAATGATGAACCGCGATCACACAATGTAGATTAAATTCGAATAGAGCTTTTCTAATATTCCTGTACTGTAATCTATCTGACAAACAATTCTAACGTCGCATTAGTCACGGAGAACATACCTGTGGCCGATTTGTATTGTTCTCGATTTCGGGGTACATAAAGATTGTCAGATAGGTTTTTCAATATCATCAGCAACTTTGTACTCGATTTCAGGGGCGCCATGTGTTCAAACTCGGATGCAAAATTTTCAAATTGTTTATGCAAAAAAAATTATCAAGAAAAAACAAGTGATAAAAAATATTTTTTTTTTCAAATAAAAAGGTATGACTAATTACGTTACTCAACCAAATTGAGAACTCCTCATTATAGCGTGAACCCAGTTTTAAGTTTTTTTAGATATATTTTAATGCGTTATTCTACCACTTTTGGTTATCTGCTCTCGTGATTTTGATCAGCCGTAAATTAACTAGAAACAACAAGACGAAACCTAGTGAATTGTTAGACTGCATACCTGTGACCATCATCTCAGTGTGCAGGCGATGAGTTAGGTAACGTTTTTGTGCTTCGATACTGAATGCTCGGTGGATACTCCCAAACAGACTTTTTCAGCTTGTTTCTTTTTCTTGTGATCCAGCGGCCGTAGTATAAATGATATGCAAAAAAATATTGAACTCGAACAGGAAGGTATTTATTTATTTAAAAAAAAAAAAAATTATGTAAAGATACTTCTACATAAGTTAATCGTTCCGCAATACTCAACCAGTCAGATGTAGTTGTCACACCGTATGGCGTATTGATTTCCACCCAGTTACCCTAATACGATTTAATATAATATGGACAGGTCAGTATCGAGTAGCCCGAATGATGAACCGCGATCACACAATGTAGATTAAATTCGAATAGAGCTTTTCTAATATTCCTGTACTGTAATCTATCTGACAAACAATTCTAACGTCGCATTAGTCACGGAGAACATACCTGTGGCCGATTTGTATTGTTCTCGATTTCGGGGTACATAAAGATTGTCAGATAGGTTTTTCAATATCATCAGCAACTTTGTACTCGATTTCAGGGGCGCCATGTGTTCAAACTCGGATGCAAAATTTTCAAATTGTTTATGCAAAAAAAATTATCAAGAAAAAACAAGTGATAAAAAATATTTTTTTTTTCAAATAAAAAGGTATGACTAATTACGTTACTCAACCAAATTGAGAACTCCTCATTATAGCGTGAACCCAGTTTTAAGTTTTTTTAGATATATTTTAATGCGTTATTCTACCACTTTTGGTTATCTGCTCTCGTGATTTTGATCAGCCGTAAATTAACTAGAAACAACAAGACGAAACCTAGTGAATTGTTAGACTGCATACCTGTGACCATCATCTCAGTGTGCAGGCGATGAGTTAGGTAACGTTTTTGTGCTTCGATACTGAATGCTCGGTGGATACTCCCAAACAGACTTTTTCAGCTTGTTTCTTTTTCTTGTGATCCAGCGGCCGTAGTATAAATGATATGCAAAAAAATATTGAACTCGAACAGGAAGGTATTTATTTATTTAAAAAAAAAAAAAATTATGTAAAGATACTTCTACATAAGTTAATCGTTCCGCAATACTCAACCAGTCAGATGTAGTTGTCACACCGTATGGCGTATTGATTTCCACCCAGTTACCCTAATACGATTTAATATAATATGGACAGGTCAGTATCGAGTAGCCCGAATGATGAACCGCGATCACACAATGTAGATTAAATTCGAATAGAGCTTTTCTAATATTCCTGTACTGTAATCTATCTGACAAACAATTCTAACGTCGCATTAGTCACGGAGAACATACCTGTGGCCGATTTGTATTGTTCTCGATTTCGGGGTACATAAAGATTGTCAGATAGGTTTTTCAATATCATCAGCAACTTTGTACTCGATTTCAGGGGCGCCATGTGTTCAAACTCGGATGCAAAATTTTCAAATTGTTTATGCAAAAAAAATTATCAAGAAAAAACAAGTGATAAAAAATATTTTTTTTTTCAAATAAAAAGGTATGACTAATTACGTTACTCAACCAAATTGAGAACTCCTCATTATAGCGTGAACCCAGTTTTAAGTTTTTTTAGATATATTTTAATGCGTTATTCTACCACTTTTGGTTATCTGCTCTCGTGATTTTGATCAGCCGTAAATTAACTAGAAACAACAAGACGAAACCTAGTGAATTGTTAGACTGCATACCTGTGACCATCATCTCAGTGTGCAGGCGATGAGTTAGGTAACGTTTTTGTGCTTCGATACTGAATGCTCGGTGGATACTCCCAAACAGACTTTTTCAGCTTGTTTCTTTTTCTTGTGATCCAGCGGCCGTAGTATAAATGATATGCAAAAAAATATTGAACTCGAACAGGAAGGTATTTATTTATTTAAAAAAAAAAAAAATTATGTAAAGATACTTCTACATAAGTTAATCGTTCCGCAATACTCAACCAGTCAGATGTAGTTGTCACACCGTATGGCGTATTGATTTCCACCCAGTTACCCTAATACGATTTAATATAATATGGACAGGTCAGTATCGAGTAGCCCGAATGATGAACCGCGATCACACAATGTAGATTAAATTCGAATAGAGCTTTTCTAATATTCCTGTACTGTAATCTATCTGACAAACAATTCTAACGTCGCATTAGTCACGGAGAACATACCTGTGGCCGATTTGTATTGTTCTCGATTTCGGGGTACATAAAGATTGTCAGATAGGTTTTTCAATATCATCAGCAACTTTGTACTCGATTTCAGGGGCGCCATGTGTTCAAACTCGGATGCAAAATTTTCAAATTGTTTATGCAAAAAAAATTATCAAGAAAAAACAAGTGATAAAAAATATTTTTTTTTTCAAATAAAAAGGTATGACTAATTACGTTACTCAACCAAATTGAGAACTCCTCATTATAGCGTGAACCCAGTTTTAAGTTTTTTTAGATATATTTTAATGCGTTATTCTACCACTTTTGGTTATCTGCTCTCGTGATTTTGATCAGCCGTAAATTAACTAGAAACAACAAGACGAAACCTAGTGAATTGTTAGACTGCATACCTGTGACCATCATCTCAGTGTGCAGGCGATGAGTTAGGTAACGTTTTTGTGCTTCGATACTGAATGCTCGGTGGATACTCCCAAACAGACTTTTTCAGCTTGTTTCTTTTTCTTGTGATCCAGCGGCCGTAGTATAAATGATATGCAAAAAAATATTGAACTCGAACAGGAAGGTATTTATTTATTTAAAAAAAAAAAAAATTATGTAAAGATACTTCTACATAAGTTAATCGTTCCGCAATACTCAACCAGTCAGATGTAGTTGTCACACCGTATGGCGTATTGATTTCCACCCAGTTACCCTAATACGATTTAATATAATATGGACAGGTCAGTATCGAGTAGCCCGAATGATGAACCGCGATCACACAATGTAGATTAAATTCGAATAGAGCTTTTCTAATATTCCTGTACTGTAATCTATCTGACAAACAATTCTAACGTCGCATTAGTCACGGAGAACATACCTGTGGCCGATTTGTATTGTTCTCGATTTCGGGGTACATAAAGATTGTCAGATAGGTTTTTCAATATCATCAGCAACTTTGTACTCGATTTCAGGGGCGCCATGTGTTCAAACTCGGATGCAAAATTTTCAAATTGTTTATGCAAAAAAAATTATCAAGAAAAAACAAGTGATAAAAAATATTTTTTTTTTCAAATAAAAAGGTATGACTAATTACGTTACTCAACCAAATTGAGAACTCCTCATTATAGCGTGAACCCAGTTTTAAGTTTTTTTAGATATATTTTAATGCGTTATTCTACCACTTTTGGTTATCTGCTCTCGTGATTTTGATCAGCCGTAAATTAACTAGAAACAACAAGACGAAACCTAGTGAATTGTTAGACTGCATACCTGTGACCATCATCTCAGTGTGCAGGCGATGAGTTAGGTAACGTTTTTGTGCTTCGATACTGAATGCTCGGTGGATACTCCCAAACAGACTTTTTCAGCTTGTTTCTTTTTCTTGTGATCCAGCGGCCGTAGTATAAATGATATGCAAAAAAATATTGAACTCGAACAGGAAGGTATTTATTTATTTAAAAAAAAAAAAAATTATGTAAAGATACTTCTACATAAGTTAATCGTTCCGCAATACTCAACCAGTCAGATGTAGTTGTCACACCGTATGGCGTATTGATTTCCACCCAGTTACCCTAATACGATTTAATATAATATGGACAGGTCAGTATCGAGTAGCCCGAATGATGAACCGCGATCACACAATGTAGATTAAATTCGAATAGAGCTTTTCTAATATTCCTGTACTGTAATCTATCTGACAAACAATTCTAACGTCGCATTAGTCACGGAGAACATACCTGTGGCCGATTTGTATTGTTCTCGATTTCGGGGTACATAAAGATTGTCAGATAGGTTTTTCAATATCATCAGCAACTTTGTACTCGATTTCAGGGGCGCCATGTGTTCAAACTCGGATGCAAAATTTTCAAATTGTTTATGCAAAAAAAATTATCAAGAAAAAACAAGTGATAAAAATATTTTTTTTTTCAAATAAAAAGGTATGACTAATTACGTTACTCAACCAAATTGAGAACTCCTCATTATAGCGTGAACCCAGTTTTAAGTTTTTTTAGATATATTTTAATGCGTTATTCTACCACTTTTGGTTATCTGCTCTCGTGATTTTGATCAGCCGTAAATTAACTAGAAACAACAAGACGAAACCTAGTGAATTGTTAGACTGCATACCTGTGACCATCATCTCAGTGTGCAGGCGATGAGTTAGGTAACGTTTTTGTGCTTCGATACTGAATGCTCGGTGGATACTCCCAAACAGACTTTTTCAGCTTGTTTCTTTTTCTTGTGATCCAGCGGCCGTAGTATAAATGATATGCAAAAAAATATTGAACTCGAACAGGAAGGTATTTATTTATTTAAAAAAAAAAAAAATTATGTAAAGATACTTCTACATAAGTTAATCGTTCCGCAATACTCAACCAGTCAGATGTAGTTGTCACACCGTATGGCGTATTGATTTCCACCCAGTTACCCTAATACGATTTAATATAATATGGACAGGTCAGTATCGAGTAGCCCGAATGATGAACCGCGATCACACAATGTAGATTAAATTCGAATAGAGCTTTTCTAATATTCCTGTACTGTAATCTATCTGACAAACAATTCTAACGTCGCATTAGTCACGGAGAACATACCTGTGGCCGATTTGTATTGTTCTCGATTTCGGGGTACATAAAGATTGTCAGATAGGTTTTTCAATATCATCAGCAACTTTGTACTCGATTTCAGGGGCGCCATGTGTTCAAACTCGGATGCAAAATTTTCAAATTGTTTATGCAAAAAAAATTATCAAGAAAAAACAAGTGATAAAAAATATTTTTTTTTTCAAATAAAAAGGTATGACTAATTACGTTACTCAACCAAATTGAGAACTCCTCATTATAGCGTGAACCCAGTTTTAAGTTTTTTTAGATATATTTTAATGCGTTATTCTACCACTTTTGGTTATCTGCTCTCGTGATTTTGATCAGCCGTAAATTAACTAGAAACAACAAGACGAAACCTAGTGAATTGTTAGACTGCATACCTGTGACCATCATCTCAGTGTGCAGGCGATGAGTTAGGTAACGTTTTTGTGCTTCGATACTGAATGCTCGGTGGATACTCCCAAACAGACTTTTTCAGCTTGTTTCTTTTTCTTGTGATCCAGCGGCCGTAGTATAAATGATATGCAAAAAAATATTGAACTCGAACAGGAAGGTATTTATTTATTTAAAAAAAAAAAAAATTATGTAAAGATACTTCTACATAAGTTAATCGTTCCGCAATACTCAACCAGTCAGATGTAGTTGTCACACCGTATGGCGTATTGATTTCCACCCAGTTACCCTAATACGATTTAATATAATATGGACAGGTCAGTATCGAGTAGCCCGAATGATGAACCGCGATCACACAATGTAGATTAAATTCGAATAGAGCTTTTCTAATATTCCTGTACTGTAATCTATCTGACAAACAATTCTAACGTCGCATTAGTCACGGAGAACATACCTGTGGCCGATTTGTATTGTTCTCGATTTCGGGGTACATAAAGATTGTCAGATAGGTTTTTCAATATCATCAGCAACTTTGTACTCGATTTCAGGGGCGCCATGTGTTCAAACTCGGATGCAAAATTTTCAAATTGTTTATGCAAAAAAAATTATCAAGAAAAAACAAGTGATAAAAAATATTTTTTTTTTCAAATAAAAAGGTATGACTAATTACGTTACTCAACCAAATTGAGAACTCCTCATTATAGCGTGAACCCAGTTTTAAGTTTTTTTAGATATATTTTAATGCGTTATTCTACCACTTTTGGTTATCTGCTCTCGTGATTTTGATCAGCCGTAAATTAACTAGAAACAACAAGACGAAACCTAGTGAATTGTTAGACTGCATACCTGTGACCATCATCTCAGTGTGCAGGCGATGAGTTAGGTAACGTTTTTGTGCTTCGATACTGAATGCTCGGTGGATACTCCCAAACAGACTTTTTCAGCTTGTTTCTTTTTCTTGTGATCCAGCGGCCGTAGTATAAATGATATGCAAAAAAATATTGAACTCGAACAGGAAGGTATTTATTTATTTAAAAAAAAAAAAAATTATGTAAAGATACTTCTACATAAGTTAATCGTTCCGCAATACTCAACCAGTCAGATGTAGTTGTCACACCGTATGGCGTATTGATTTCCACCCAGTTACCCTAATACGATTTAATATAATATGGACAGGTCAGTATCGAGTAGCCCGAATGATGAACCGCGATCACACAATGTAGATTAAATTCGAATAGAGCTTTTCTAATATTCCTGTACTGTAATCTATCTGACAAACAATTCTAACGTCGCATTAGTCACGGAGAACATACCTGTGGCCGATTTGTATTGTTCTCGATTTCGGGGTACATAAAGATTGTCAGATAGGTTTTTCAATATCATCAGCAACTTTGTACTCGATTTCAGGGGCGCCATGTGTTCAAACTCGGATGCAAAATTTTCAAATTGTTTATGCAAAAAAAATTATCAAGAAAAAACAAGTGATAAAAAATATTTTTTTTTTCAAATAAAAAGGTATGACTAATTACGTTACTCAACCAAATTGAGAACTCCTCATTATAGCGTGAACCCAGTTTTAAGTTTTTTTAGATATATTTTAATGCGTTATTCTACCACTTTTGGTTATCTGCTCTCGTGATTTTGATCAGCCGTAAATTAACTAGAAACAACAAGACGAAACCTAGTGAATTGTTAGACTGCATACCTGTGACCATCATCTCAGTGTGCAGGCGATGAGTTAGGTAACGTTTTTGTGCTTCGATACTGAATGCTCGGTGGATACTCCCAAACAGACTTTTTCAGCTTGTTTCTTTTTCTTGTGATCCAGCGGCCGTAGTATAAATGATATGCAAAAAAATATTGAACTCGAACAGGAAGGTATTTATTTATTTAAAAAAAAAAAAAAATTATGTAAAGATACTTCTACATAAGTTAATCGTTCCGCAATACTCAACCAGTCAGATGTAGTTGTCACACCGTATGGCGTATTGATTTCCACCCAGTTACCCTAATACGATTTAATATAATATGGACAGGTCAGTATCGAGTAGCCCGAATGATGAACCGCGATCACACAATGTAGATTAAATTCGAATAGAGCTTTTCTAATATTCCTGTACTGTAATCTATCTGACAAACAATTCTAACGTCGCATTAGTCACGGAGAACATACCTGTGGCCGATTTGTATTGTTCTCGATTTCGGGGTACATAAAGATTGTCAGATAGGTTTTTCAATATCATCAGCAACTTTGTACTCGATTTCAGGGGCGCCATGTGTTCAAACTCGGATGCAAAATTTTCAAATTGTTTATGCAAAAAAAATTATCAAGAAAAAACAAGTGATAAAAAATATTTTTTTTTTCAAATAAAAAGGTATGACTAATTACGTTACTCAACCAAATTGAGAACTCCTCATTATAGCGTGAACCCAGTTTTAAGTTTTTTTAGATATATTTTAATGCGTTATTCTACCACTTTTGGTTATCTGCTCTCGTGATTTTGATCAGCCGTAAATTAACTAGAAACAACAAGACGAAACCTAGTGAATTGTTAGACTGCATACCTGTGACCATCATCTCAGTGTGCAGGCGATGAGTTAGGTAACGTTTTTGTGCTTCGATACTGAATGCTCGGTGGATACTCCCAAACAGACTTTTTCAGCTTGTTTCTTTTTCTTGTGATCCAGCGGCCGTAGTATAAATGATATGCAAAAAAATATTGAACTCGAACAGGAAGGTATTTATTTATTTAAAAAAAAAAAAATTATGTAAAGATACTTCTACATAAGTTAATCGTTCCGCAATACTCAACCAGTCAGATGTAGTTGTCACACCGTATGGCGTATTGATTTCCACCCAGTTACCCTAATACGATTTAATATAATATGGACAGGTCAGTATCGAGTAGCCCGAATGATGAACCGCGATCACACAATGTAGATTAAATTCGAATAGAGCTTTTCTAATATTCCTGTACTGTAATCTATCTGACAAACAATTCTAACGTCGCATTAGTCACGGAGAACATACCTGTGGCCGATTTGTATTGTTCTCGATTTCGGGGTACATAAAGATTGTCAGATAGGTTTTTCAATATCATCAGCAACTTTGTACTCGATTTCAGGGGCGCCATGTGTTCAAACTCGGATGCAAAATTTTCAAATTGTTTATGCAAAAAAAATTATCAAGAAAAAACAAGTGATAAAAAATATTTTTTTTTTCAAATAAAAAGGTATGACTAATTACGTTACTCAACCAAATTGAGAACTCCTCATTATAGCGTGAACCCAGTTTTAAGTTTTTTTAGATATATTTTAATGCGTTATTCTACCACTTTTGGTTATCTGCTCTCGTGATTTTGATCAGCCGTAAATTAACTAGAAACAACAAGACGAAACCTAGTGAATTGTTAGACTGCATACCTGTGACCATCATCTCAGTGTGCAGGCGATGAGTTAGGTAACGTTTTTGTGCTTCGATACTGAATGCTCGGTGGATACTCCCAAACAGACTTTTTCAGCTTGTTTCTTTTTCTTGTGATCCAGCGGCCGTAGTATAAATGATATGCAAAAAAATATTGAACTCGAACAGGAAGGTATTTATTTATTTAAAAAAAAAAAAATTATGTAAAGATACTTCTACATAAGTTAATCGTTCCGCAATACTCAACCAGTCAGATGTAGTTGTCACACCGTATGGCGTATTGATTTCCACCCAGTTACCCTAATACGATTTAATATAATATGGACAGGTCAGTATCGAGTAGCCCGAATGATGAACCGCGATCACACAATGTAGATTAAATTCGAATAGAGCTTTTCTAATATTCCTGTACTGTAATCTATCTGACAAACAATTCTAACGTCGCATTAGTCACGGAGAACATACCTGTGGCCGATTTGTATTGTTCTCGATTTCGGGGTACATAAAGATTGTCAGATAGGTTTTTCAATATCATCAGCAACTTTGTACTCGATTTCAGGGGCGCCATGTGTTCAAACTCGGATGCAAAATTTTCAAATTGTTTATGCAAAAAAAATTATCAAGAAAAAACAAGTGATAAAAAATATTTTTTTTTTCAAATAAAAAGGTATGACTAATTACGTTACTCAACCAAATTGAGAACTCCTCATTATAGCGTGAACCCAGTTTTAAGTTTTTTTAGATATATTTTAATGCGTTATTCTACCACTTTTGGTTATCTGCTCTCGTGATTTTGATCAGCCGTAAATTAACTAGAAACAACAAGACGAAACCTAGTGAATTGTTAGACTGCATACCTGTGACCATCATCTCAGTGTGCAGGCGATGAGTTAGGTAACGTTTTTGTGCTTCGATACTGAATGCTCGGTGGATACTCCCAAACAGACTTTTTCAGCTTGTTTCTTTTTCTTGTGATCCAGCGGCCGTAGTATAAATGATATGCAAAAAAATATTGAACTCGAACAGGAAGGTATTTATTTATTTAAAAAAAAAAAAAATTATGTAAAGATACTTCTACATAAGTTAATCGTTCCGCAATACTCAACCAGTCAGATGTAGTTGTCACACCGTATGGCGTATTGATTTCCACCCAGTTACCCTAATACGATTTAATATAATATGGACAGGTCAGTATCGAGTAGCCCGAATGATGAACCGCGATCACACAATGTAGATTAAATTCGAATAGAGCTTTTCTAATATTCCTGTACTGTAATCTATCTGACAAACAATTCTAACGTCGCATTAGTCACGGAGAACATACCTGTGGCCGATTTGTATTGTTCTCGATTTCGGGGTACATAAAGATTGTCAGATAGGTTTTTCAATATCATCAGCAACTTTGTACTCGATTTCAGGGGCGCCATGTGTTCAAACTCGGATGCAAAATTTTCAAATTGTTTATGCAAAAAAAATTATCAAGAAAAAACAAGTGATATAAAATATTTTTTTTTTCAAATAAAAAGGTATGACTAATTACGTTACTCAACCAAATTGAGAACTCCTCATTATAGCGTGAACCCAGTTTTAAGTTTTTTTAGATATATTTTAATGCGTTATTCTACCACTTTTGGTTATCTGCTCTCGTGATTTTGATCAGCCGTAAATTAACTAGAAACAACAAGACGAAACCTAGTGAATTGTTAGACTGCATACCTGTGACCATCATCTCAGTGTGCAGGCGATGAGTTAGGTAACGTTTTTGTGCTTCGATACTGAATGCTCGGTGGATACTCCCAAACAGACTTTTTCAGCTTGTTTCTTTTTCTTGTGATCCAGCGGCCGTAGTATAAATGATATGCAAAAAAATATTGAACTCGAACAGGAAGGTATTTATTTATTTAAAAAAAAAAAAAATTATGTAAAGATACTTCTACATAAGTTAATCGTTCCGCAATACTTAACCAGACAGATATAGTTATTAAGAAAAAACAAGCGATATTTAATATAAGATAATTAAGTAGAACTTTTAAAATGGTTTATTAATACTTTTATTGCGTTACTTAAAAGAAGTTATACGACGTTTTTCCCATAAAGTGTAACTATTATATTCTACCATTTTTGTAATCTGCGTTAGGTATCGTTTTTGAGTTCCGATACTGAATGAGCAGTGGATACTCTTAATTCGATAATTGTCAGCCATTGTCTTTTTTGGTTGATTCAGCGGCCGATATTTTATGTAGTATTAATGATTTGCAACAATTTTTTAAAAATATATTTTACTAATATTCGTTATAATATTAATACTTGATTTGTGTTCTAGTTCAGGATACGTTAAAGTTTTGAAGGTGTAAAGTGTTAAAATATTATTAGCAATATTGTACTCAAATTCAGGGACGCCATGTGTTCAAACTCAGATGTAAAATTTTGAATTTGTTTTTGCGAAAAACATTCATTCAAGATTAACAAGTCATATTAAAAAAAAATATAAATTAGGGTATGTATGAGTTATAAATATTTTTATTGCGTTACTCGCCCAAAGGGTTTGAACCCAGTTTGAAATCTATTTAAAGAATATCTTTGTCATTCATTTGGTATTTTTTATCTGCTTTCGTGTCATTATCAGTCGATCAGTCGGGTGTCATCATCATATCCTAAATATATATAAATCCATACAGAAACATTCTTTTTGTCATGCTACCTAAGTTATATTATTTTGAACCACATAAATATTCATACATTTTTAAAAACTTTTGTTATTCGATTATTACTTTAATTAACTTACTATTCATGCTGTCCACTCGGACTGGAATATGGTTCATGATAATTTAATTCACTAATTTTACAGAACAAAATAAAAATACGACGTGAATATTTAGCAAGTGTAATTTTTCTTGAGTGTATTTTTAAATATAATCTTATTATTTATATTGTTAAAAATACTAAAACATTTATGGTTTAATTTTTAAGTTTAGCTTTTTTGGTTTGAAAAATACTTACAGTTAACAAACATAAATTTAACCTATCATTGATATAGTTTGTGAATTTTGGTGTATGCTATTCAGCAACATGATTTTAAACTTTCTAGTTTTTTAATCATCATTGTTTGTTCGTTTTGGACCAACTCCATATCTTTTTTTAGTTTTTGTATATTTGTAGTTGCATGCCTCGCGTTTTCACATTCAATCTAAAAACACAGAATAAAATATTTAGAACTGTAATGGACTGCTAATGAAGTACACACGCAGCAATGGACAGCAGCGAATATATAGCATATGAAGAGAACAAATTAGTGTGACCATGCTTAAACTAAAATCGCTCATTTGTTCTGCTACACTGAAAAATATTGTATCATGGATGACCATAGAGTAATAAAAAGACGACGTTTGATTATTACATAGAAGCGGAAAATGACACGGAGCAGTAAACGGTAAATGTATACGTATTTTATCTATCTACAGTCCAAGTACTAAAGTGACCTTAATTCAATGACCTACGGTTTGGCTTTAAATCAGTTCCAATACCTTAGTATAAGTAAGATAGGAAACGTCGTCTCTACATTACTCTATGGTTGCTACATGGCTTATTATTAAAATAAAATGGCTAAATAAACCTTATGTTATCTGCAATCCACATTTAATGTTGTTAGTATTGATAAGAGATCATTTTATAAATCAAGAATAACCAGTCGAAAAAAGTGCAAACACTAGATTTACAATTGGGGATTAAACTGTGACCTTACGTTAATCACACTTGACGCGTCGCAAACTACGGTTTTGCATCAAGCCCAAAATCATATCCAAATTGTCATACGTATGAAAATAATTACTAATTTACAATAACATTTATACATTATCCTTTTTTTAACTTTTGTCACACACATTAAAAAGACACGTTTAAATTAACTGTTTGGTATATTATTAAAATAAATTTTTCTCATATTTAAGCAGTTTACCTTTTAATTTTTTAACGAAAAACCTATGAAAAAAGTTGAGAAAACAATCTTGTGATGGCAAAATTGTTATGTAACATTATGATGACTCTTTTATTTATAAAACCGTTTTCATTTATCACTTCATAGTAGTCTATATAAACTACTCTTCATCACTATTATTTTTTTATTTCTCTAAATAATTTTATGTTTCCCACATTATTTATAATTTAATTATATTTGCCTGTTCTTCTAAGTCCTTAATCTCTCGTCTGATGGCTCCAGTTTGTTTCACTGATTGCACAATACTTGAACTGTTGGCGTGTATAGCTGCTAATAGTTTGTAACATTTTCTAATTGTTTCATCTTTTTTAGCTACCTAAATACATTTTTTGTTTTTTTTAGTTGAAGTTAATTTTTTATAGACGGATTTTGGTTATGGATACCTTAAACATAAGTTCATCAATTAAGATGAAACATCGCTCTACTTTTCCATCTAATGAATTAATGTCTTTTTGAACTAATCTTGTATCACTCAAATTCTTATTTATCTCTTTTTTTTGTTTTTCAATATTTGAAATTATTTCTAATATTCTTAGCGTGTAACTAGATCTATAAACGAAATAAATTAATATATTTTAAACATTAAATAATTTAAATATATTTTACAATTTTTTCATTTTACTGACTTCTAGAAATATTACCTTGAATTATAATTGGATTTAGACTCCAAATCATTTCTGCATAATTTTATTAAATTTTCTTTTTTCTTAATTTCATCGAATATGGTTTGAAGTTTTAACTTTTCATTTGTGTACACTGATTCTAACCTATTGTTGTTGGCCTAAATCATGAATTTCAAACATTTAACTTTCAAAAAAACAATGTTTTAACGAAATATGTATTGGTATGCCTTACATTTTTTTTATTCAGTTCTTCTTTTAACTCCGATATTACTGATTTCTGTTCAACTGCATAAAGATTCCATTTATTTTTCATTTTTTCTAATTTTTCTGGTGATGCCTTGATTTTATTTTTTAATTTATCAATTATAACAGGATTATTTACTATATTCAAGCTCTTTTCATGAACAGAGTATTTTTTTTTTAACATTTCTAGGTCAGTCTTGCGGTTTTTATTATTGGAATTTTCCTACACAAATATTCAATATTTTAAGCACAAAGTACTGTTTTAAATATAATAATCACAACAAGTTATATATAACAAAACACACTTGAACAATTAATTGTTTTAAATTTTGTTTTTCAGCTATTAGTTTCTCGATAATTGATGACTTGGAATCTTGTTTTGGTGTTACATTTTTAAAAATACTAGAGTCTTTTGCAATTGAAATTTCACTATTTTTTCTTGATACATTATTTACATTTGTATTGCTGCTTGTTTCTTCATACTAAAATAATTTAAAAAATTTAATTAAATATTAAATTTAAATATGTATAATCAAATGTATCCATTATTATTACCTGAGATAAGGAGGCACATGGATTGGCTTTCTTAAATTCATAAATGTTTAGTAATCGACTAACATTGAGAGTTATTATTGAAGGAACCAAACATTTTAGATCTGATGGTTGTTCGGTGATAAATTTTAAATTATTGACACAAAAATTTTTCCATTCTAAAAAGTTAAAACAAAAAAAAATATTTATTTAAATTAAAACATTTTAATAGTATTTTTATTTTATAAGTAAATAGAGGAACTAAAAAAATGTACTCATTCATATATTTTTAACTTCGATAAATTGATTATTTATTAACTTTTTTTCTTGTAAATAAGATTTTAAAAAATGGATACATTTTTTTATTCCAAATTCAAGTTCATATTTTGTTGTATACAACAGAACTGGTTTAAAATACTTTGTAAATAATACCTAGGTATTTTAAATTTCAGGCTAGTAATAAATTATTAACTTTTTCGAAATAAAACAAACCACATCTAAATGTGTGAGTCATTTTGGAGGTACTGTCAAAATATATTCTCAAATTTTTAAAACAAATTGCAAGAAATTACAAAATTTTCAAATGCAAGCTTGAGAGCAGTATAAATACCACCATAGGAGTAATGGTGTAACTTCCAAACAAACGAGCGCAAAAGGTTAAATGTGACAAATTATAGTATAGTCAAATCCTTTATAATCTTGTTTAATTGTTAAGTTATACAGGTACAATACATGGATGGTATACATAATAAATCGAAGTACATAAATCTGTAATGTATTTCAATTATATACATATTAATTGTTATAAAATATGTAATCACTATACCTGCTGGGGTACATTTTCGAGTGTACCCAGGTATGCTTATACCAGTTTCTAATGGAACAGAAACAAATGGGTGTTGTGGAGAATACAAAATATTTGTTTTGACCCTCTCAGAAGATAAACTTTCTTTCAATGTTTTTAGTATTGCAAATCGTCGACCTAAATGAAAATGTCGAATATAATAATGAATGGAGAAACAAATTACTCTAAATATTATGCTATACTTTTCAACTCTACAATATTTTCAGTGTCTTTTGGTAATTTTTCTATCAAAAACATTAAGATCCTCCTCATATCAACTATATTACCATATAGAATTGTTTGATATCCAATATCAGATTTGTAACCAACTTTCTAAAAGAAAAAATTGTAGATGTTAAATGGGATTGCTATTATTATTTAAATTAAAACTTGGGATTTGAAAAGCAAAAAGGGACCACTTTACAACATTATCCATAATTGAGTAAGTGCTCTTTTCTGAACCTTGATTATTTTCAAACAATATGTGACATCAGTAAACAAAGTTTGCAACTGTAGTTTGCCTACAATAGGTACCTTCCCCCGAGATCAATTTATACTTAGGCTTGATTATCTCAAGTGGATTTTCTTAAGTTGTTCTCAAAATAAATTCTGCCTTCAAGAGGTCCCTTTTCCCATATAAGCATGTGCATTTACCTATTCTTGATTATTGGATAAACTGAATCAATAATTGCAGAAACGACAAGTCGGTTTTTTTTTTTTTAATTGAGTTTTTAGTAAAAACACATTCTAGTATGTGTTACTGTCCGTTGTGTATAAACAAATTTATACTTAAAAAATTGACACATGTGGTTTCTGCAATCAACGATTAAGCTATAATAATATACCTAACCCTTAATACGGTTTTTTCAAGTAACAATAATATATAGATTTGTATTAATACATTAATGTCTTTACCAAAATTCAAATGCTAAAGATTTACTTACTCTTTTTAAGTTGAAAAATAATGAACTAAATCGTTAAATAGATAACAATAATGGAATTTTAAAAAATGATCATAAAAAATAAAGGTAATAAAAATTAATATTTTAAGTATAACTAAGCAAGGCAATGCTTTTTTATGTTCATAATCTTATAGATAACCTTTAGTGATACGTGCATTACTTATCCAGCCACTGAGTTACATCAGCAATTAATTATTTTCCAGTCAAATAAAAATATATATATATTTTTTTTTTAATTTTTAATTAAACATGTCATTTGAGAAACGCCTTCAGTCACAACATCTAAATTTTACAGAAGGAAAAATCTTCCGTTAACACAGGGATGGAGAAAGCATTTGAAAACCCAATTTTCAATCCTTTAAATCACTGTAGCCGACATGACAGGCCAATTTTTATTTCATTAAAATTTAAATTTAAATAGGCTGAAATAACTTAAATAGGTCTTACAGTATTTTTCAAGTAATGCCATGTTTACAGAAATACCATAAGGTGGGACTAATGATGTTTTTTTCTATGAACGGCAAATCCAAATCCTTATTTAGAACGAAAAAAAAACCTTGGGACAAGAGGTGTTTCACCATAGAATGTGTGTCTCAAAAACAGATTCAATTATTTTCGATTATATTATAAATTACAAATTATTTTTCTAAAAATATATTGAGGCAGGGCTGGAAGTGATTAAGTGATCAATATGATCAAAAAGTAATCTTTCACAATTTTGTTAAAAATAAAAAAGTTTTTTTTGCAACTGTAATATAAATTAAAACTTGTTTATTTAATTAAAAAAAATTGTTATTTGTTAAACTTTTAGCAATGTACACTATAATATACTATCTCTCACAAAGTGGTGCATTGCTTAATATAAATCGGCGGTTTTGAATCAGAAGGACATATCAATAAAAACCCATTTAATTTATTTGTGTGTAAAGAATTTAGTATTAAAATGACATAATTCTTAAAGCATAGGACCAAAGTGGTATAAGTGATACTAATGTAATACATATATTTTTATTATCAAGTTGACAGATTTGTGTTACTTTTGTTTTCTTTTATTTGTAAGGTTTCTTATATACTAACAAACATCACAATTTCGAAACTAATTTGTGATCGTTTCATAGTGACAAAAGATAGCATGACCTTCATGAGTGTATAAAATTAACAGAAAATTTAAAGCAGATTAAAATTAGACTGGGATAAACAATTACCTCGCGCACTTCATGGAAAATTTACTAGAATTTGCCTATAAATTCTATACAATAGTTATAGCCAAATCGGGTTACAATATAATAATGCCTACCTATAATAAATTAATTTTAGATAAAATGTATGTACCTATTACCTATGACTTAAGATAATTATAAACATCTAATACAAACTAAATTATTATTTAATAACTAATTATTTCAAAATAATTGTTATTTACTTTGCAAGCTTCGGCTACAGTGATGCCATATTGATATCGAGCAGACATAGATCTAGGAATTGTATTTGATATTTTTATCGATGGCTGTATTTTTTGTAAACATTTTATGACGGATTTTATAAAATTTTCTTGAGTCATGTTGGCCAAAGAAGTTTCATTTTCTGAGAACTCACTAAAAACAAATAAATGTTCTAACTTAAAATTGTTTAAACCTAAAACGTCTTAGGTTGATATTTAAAAACAAAATTTAGTTAAGTTATAGCATTTATACTAAATTTATTAATAGTTTAACTATTCGCATGTACCTAATAATAATTACTTAATATTACATTAGCTATGTGCAATTAATATACTTAAAAAACTTCTATACATTCAATATAACTAATAATGTGAACTAACCACAAAATGTTAGGATAATGCTTTCAAAAAATGAAAGATAATTTTTAAAACAAAATTCAATAAATTTGAGTTACCAACTAATTTTTAAAGAAGCCAAAAAATATTATTATTTTGTAATCGGTTTAACCTGTTGTTGGTTAACCTATATTACGAAACACAATGGCTAAACTGTGAGCGCTGCACTCACACATTACTTTTTTCATTATTTTTAATTACTCCATAAACTCAGAACATTGAATCATCTGATAGAAAGAAGTATCTTTTTACTCACTACCAATAGTTAATATATTTTTTGTAATTTCTATTATTGAAAAATAAATTAAAATTAAAAACTGCATTTTTTTTTTTTAAATTGTGTAGTACAAAATAATAAAAATTGATGAAATAAATGTAAAAAACCTCATAATTTAAATTTAATGATTATAAATGATTTAAAATAATTAACTGAATCACTTTCTGAGGATATTATTATGTTGCTACAGGATACACAATAATATGTAAAATACAATTGATAAACTGCTCACTTTATCGGTACAGTCAACTTAGTTCACTGATAACTCCCGAGGAAATAGTTGCGGCTTCTTTTTTTTTTTATAATTATTTGTAAACTTATTATTTGAAGGTAATAATAGAATCAAGCCAATTGACAAACATTTATATGACTGACGTTCAAAAAGTTATCTGTATGAGCGCCGCGCTCAGATGTTTACCAACGACGGGTTAATATAATTTATTGTTTTTAATTGAACAAACATATAAATACATTTTTCTTAGATCTCTCAATCTGTTAAGCTTGTTTTCTGTAATTTCAACAGTTTATGTTTACTCGTACTATTTTGGTAGTTAGGTACACCACTTCATCTCACGTCTTAAAACAATTAAAAAACCTATTTTAATATTAGAAATTTACACCAGTTACTTGGTACCATGGACTTCAATTTATCTATTATTTTTAAAAATGTTGCTTACACTAGATATAAACTAAAACATTATTAATTACAATTGAAATGATAATTGGGCAATAGTTATTAATGTACAATGTCACTTACGACATTTTTCCTTTGTACCGTCTATATAGTTTTATATACTTATCAAAGATAGAAAATGAATATAAACCGTTCATCGTTGATTAATAAAGTAGAAACATACCATAAGGATATAAGTAAAATGACGTTTTACACATAGCAGTAGGTGCACAAGCTGGATATTTTGATAATTAGTTCATATCGCTATGAACCAATATCACATTCTCATTAATTAAAATGTATAACCCTAACGTTGTAAATAACTCATTGCCTATTCATAATAATAATTAGATACAGAGATGTACATACCATCCGATTCCTTTGAGAGTGAAAAAAATAATTCCGTCTATTTCTTCCATTGTGGATCCAGCGAAATCACGGGAATTACTTGGTACTATACTCTGTTGAGATCTACAAAACCGTATCTAAACTGACAGATGGCCATACACAAAATGCACGAAAATATGTTCACATGACGCAACAGACGAGAAGACATGATAAACTCAAACGAGGTCACGTAACGACTATCGAGCAACGACACGTATACAAGTGAAGTCGCCTAATATCCCTTCGAACGTAACTTGTAGGTAGGTAGAATATTCTAGAACCGAAACCAGAAAAGTGATCGTAAACTGTATATATATAGTTATGAATCATGAACTATAATTACTTAGGTGTGTATTATATAAATAAATAAATAAATAGACTGTAAGGCGTAAGCGATCACGATTCACGTTTTGCGTACGCGTTTTAAGAATTTAGATCACCACATTCCACAATAATACTAGACACAGAGTGAAAAGTGAATTGTGATCTATGTGAACATCGCAGCCTCCAGGACATGACGCATCCCGATTCCCGTCGCGGACATATGTTTATTTTGTTTGCTATGGATTGAAAAATGGCGTCGTTCGTTTTGCCCATTGGCCTAAAAAGAAACGGATTCATAGTAGAGGGAGAAATCCGAAGGTCAACCATGTATTCTATAGAAAGAGATAGAGAACGTTGGGAATTTCGTGGGAGAAACAGTTCTATATCATGGAATAATACTATGTAATATTATTTTCATAGATAATAATTATTATGATAACATGGTACCGCGGTCGATAGGCATGGAAGAACCGAGGGTGGTGGAGGTAAAGTCCAGCGCGCAGTACGACATAGGTATGCCGGCAACTAAACCTGCACAATGGCCGTCGTTGTTTTCGGGCGGCCAGGACATTGACAGGGAGATAAACGGCGGCCATGTTCAGAAAATCATCAACGCCCGTCGCAAGAGACAGGCATACCTGTTGCATTGATAAACGTAACCGCCGGCGTTTTCAGTCTTTGGATAATGGTAGTTTAACGTTACATCGCCAAAATCATAGAGTAATAATCACGGAACATATTATCACAGAATAACATATTCAAGGTGGATTTATGATGGTGATAAATCCACCTTGAACATATTATTACAAAATGAATCCGTGATAATATGATACTCTACGGCCATAGTACAGAAGCAGCAAAGTGACGTCACCTGATACAACAATCAGACACTGATAACAAATTACACGGGCATCATGTGCCCCCCACGAAATCAGTTGACAATATTCTCGGAGCACAAATCAGTGTATATATGTGTAGTTTTTCATATATACATAATAGGATAACACAGATATATATAATAAAATAGATTGCTAACTAGCGATAAGAATTGAAGCCGACGGTCCGCCATTCTGGTGGGATTTATGTGTGTTATCAATGCATATAATATATATCTGTAATTGTTATAAACATATATTATTCTCGCGTGATAAAGTTCTAATTCCCACCGAAATGGCGGAAAGTGGCTGCTTCAATCTTCTCTATTGGTGGCATCATAGACCTATAAAGATGGGTCTATGTATGATTTCTTTATAGGTATATGGGTGGCATGTACAGTTAGCGATCTAGTTTATTATATATATATCTATGACAATAATAGATATTGTCCTCCGAAAACATGGAGTGTTGATTCCGTGATATCACAGAAATGTCCGTGGCCTAGTGACGTCATCACTGCCGTGGTTGCGACAAAGAATTGGTGGTACCTCTTGCTCTCCAGCCGGTGCCAATGCCAATACCTTTATACACCTTACCGCTGTGGTTAAGCTAACACCGAGTCGACTCAATTCTACATCTCTGCGGGGACATCATCGGCCTATCGTGCGTTTATTATTTTTTTTTTTACATTTGTTTTTGTTTATTCGGTCGACACGTTTATTGTTTTTGCCTATACCTATCCCGCATGCCGGTCGAACGTTTCGGGTCATCGTTTAGTAATTCTAGTCCACGCCCAAGTTGTCAGATATTAAAAAAAAAAAAATTATAATAATAATAACACGAATAATAATACTTTGTGGTTTGTAGTTGAGATACGGTTATACACTACTTAGTATAATGTTTCGTACGAGACTTCGAGCAAGACCCTTTGTTATTGTCACACGCAGAGATAAGAGCTGAAAACTTATATTATACTTATTTAGAGTAAGTCGCTTGATTTCATACCTATACGGTTTAATTTCTTTCTCAGTTCCCATCAATTATTACACCCGTTTTTTATTCTCATTATCGTTGCAACAGTTCGGTGTATCGACACAGTTCACAGCCATTATAATTCTTAACTGTAACTGTATTATTAAATTAACATGATTGAACCAATGTCTTAAAATTTGTCTATTATAAATTATATTCTTGGTACGTTTTATTGTCTAATTATCTAATTAGGATTATTATTTGTTTGTAATTAATTGTAGTCGTTTAGTGTAACTGTAATGATTATACTTATTAAAACTGTACCTAGTATAGAGTGTTGATAGGTAACAATAAAATAATACATTTGTACAAAGTCATTGTAAAGTAACAATTTCATATTTTATTGATTATACAATTTTAGTTAAAAATAATAATTTAATATGTTCGAAAAACAAATTTTTAAACTTGGATATGTTACAGTGTTTTATCACGTCTTAATAATAATATTTGAGATTATAATTTACCACTAAATGCAATTTCTTAATAATACTACACTTGCTTTTGGTATGTAAGTACATTCAAACTCGTCATCACAGTATGTATAAATGACAATAAGAATCAAGTTAAACTAACATTTGTTTAAGTAATACTATTACAGTTTCTATGTCAATGTAAATTTTACAATTTAGTATATTGGCCTTGCTGTAATACATATCATATTTCAAGCCACAATATTATTTTTCTTATTTTTATATTTTCTGTGTGATTTGATATCCCAAATATTTTTATGTTCTTACCTTAGTGTTGCTTTAGTAGGTAAATAAATATAATAACTTATTAAATAGATATAGTAATAAACGTACATGAAAAAAAAAATGTTTTACAGACTGTTGCGTGACATTATAGTGCTGATAATAATTATCTAATGCTTTAATCGGTACAAAATATAGTATTACACTGGTATCACTATTTTGTGCAGGAAGTTATGAACAGGCTTATCTGTTTTTAGACTTGGGATACAAGAGTTTGATAAATAGCTGATTATAATTGTTATTATTATTTAAAAATATAATGTAAAAAATGTTTTTATTTTTTTAAGAAAAAAGTGAATAAGTGGCAATTTACCTCTTGAACATATACTATAGGTCTCTTGGTAAAGTTATCTAATGTTATGTTACAAATAAGAACATTTTTACTATTTATCATTTAATATATTTATTTTCATTTATACCATAGAAATTGCTTTATAAAGTAAGAGTTCAAGGAAATTATGTTTCATCAGTGTAATTATTTAAAGTTTTTTATGGTACAAATCGCTCGTATAAATAAATAATTTGTGTTATTATACCAAACACTATTGATAAATTTAAATACATTGGTTATTAAATTATAAATTGAAGAAAACTATAGACAACAAGTTAACCACTTAATAAAAAATGTGTTTTTTATAAGTAGCTATAAATTAATCTATATGGTTTAATAGACATTGATAGTTTATTTGTATGTTGGAAAGAAAGATTGTAAACTCATGGCTGGCCCTTGGCAGTATATTCTTTATAAGAACTACAAAAATAGTTTTATTACACTGCTTACATTGACAGTAGTGAAAAAAAACTCAAATAGTGGCTCACATCCTGTAGATTCTTTTTATATTTTTATGATTTCACTGGTTGTTAAACTGTTTAATACTATAATTATATTATTACTATAATATAATTAATAATATTACTAATATTCATCCTTTGAATTATACTTGGAATTTTCATTATTTTTTTTTAAATTTAAATATATAGGACATAAATAGGAGATAATGTATTCCATTAAGTAGAAATTCATATTACCATATTATTTATAAAATCTAAAAATAATATTATATTTTTATAATATTTATGTAAATAATTTAATGATGTGTAACATATGCAAATTTAAATTTGTTGTATATATTTTTTTTAGATTATGTGATATGCGAATCAATCTGAGATGAAATTATCATTGGATTCAAAGGAATAATAAAATAAAATTACTTTAATCATGTAATTATCAACAAATTATAAAAAATGACGTCATGCGATTTAGCTCATAAGCGTTTCTACTGTCGAGAATGGGTGTTTCAAAAACTACAACATTGTTTTGATATAAGAAGCACTTGGAAAACATGTGGAGTACTATTAGTTGGTGGGGCCGGTTGTGGGAAAACGGCAATATGCTGTGAAATTGTTTGGCCAACAAATAGACAACAACGGTCATTGAACAGAAGACTTCTAGCTTATCATTTCTGCCAGGCTCAAGATATCAATACATTATCGGTGACACATTTCATTCAAAATTTGGTCTCTCAACTATCTAATTCATTGCCAAAGTCATACAAAGAAAGACTGAAAAATGACTCTATCATACAAGAAGCTTTATTGCCAATCAACATAGTTAAAGATGCAGATGATACATTCAAGAAAGCTATTATTTTTCCATTGTTAGAACTTGAGTTACCAAAACATACAATGTTTCTGTTAGTTGATTCAATAGACGAAGGGTTGTGTGTAAATGAAAGATCTGATTCGTTTTTGAAAAATAGTACTAGCAAAACCATAACAGAACTTTTGGCTACACACCATCACTTATTTCCCCAGTGGCTGATGCTTATTTGCACAACACGTCGACAAAACAAAAGTGTTGCTCGGATGTTTTCTGGTTTCCGAAAAATTAGTTTAGATGATCTCCGTAAATCACAAGTATGTCATTTTTTTATTTTATGAAAACTTCTAATTAAGTTCTCTTAGTCTGAAGCAAAATTCTAATCTACATATTTTATCGTACCTTAAGAAATAACATGATTTGTTTAATTCATACAGGTTGTTACTGACATACAACAGTACATATTAAGCCGTTTAGAGTCTGAAGAAACGCTGAGGCAACACATGAGTAGAGATACAGCAGATATGTTAAATCAGTTACATATTAAAAGCAATGGATGTTTCCTTTATTTGGAAAGAGTTTTGGATGGCATATCCGATGGATGTGTCGTGTTAAGAGAAATCAAGGATATACCCGGTACACTCAATGGGTTATATTTATGGTTTTGTCAAAGGCTGTTAAATTCAAAACATTTTTCAAAAGTAATACTATTTGACAAAGAGTAACTGTCAATATTTTTTAAATTCAATCTTGACGTATTTTATAAATGTGCTTATAGGTACGTCCTTTATTAAACGTGATTTTGGCATCTCCCGAACCTTTATCAGAAGAGCAGTTGAACAGTATTATGTGTTCTGTGTATCGGTCAATGTCTGTTGAAGAATTCCGTAAACGATTTAATTTATTAAGAAGGATATTTTCAATCTCAAGAGATTCTAAGCTAATACAGTTCCATCACAGTTTTGGTGAATGGTTTTTGGACGTCAAACATTGCACTAGAAGATTCTTGTGCTCTTCTAATGAAGGCCATGCAATGATAGCAATACATACCGCAATTGAGTAAGTCAATTTTTTTTTTTATTACTTTTTTAACTTGCATATATTTAAACTTGATATTACAAAAAAACTATTTACATTGAATTCTTACTATTTTGGTACTTTTAAACTACTATTTTTTCCTGTGTGAATATAAGTCATACCAGAGTTGTTATATTTTCATCACACTTGATTTATAACATATCTTAACACAATTTATTTTTTTTAAAAATGACCTTAAATCTTTTTATCTATAGATGGCAAATTACTAATACTGATAAATTTTTTTAGTTGTACATCAATGCTTAAGTTTGAAGATGCACACAAGTTAGCTTATCACTTATCGAGAATAAATCCATTGCCGGGTTGGTCAGATTTCTCTGATCCCAATCTTTTACCTTTATTGTGGTTAATAGATAGTGGAGCTCAAATCTCTGACAGTATGACAGTTCCATGTTATGATTTGAAGTCTGTTAAGTTTATAGAAGATGCCAACAGTTGTTTAAAATCGGACAACAGCATACTACCTTGTGAAGTAATTATAAATTTAAATAAAATATAAAGATTACTTTTGTTTTAATAGTTTGTAAATTTACAAATTTTTCTTGTATTTTACTTCTCTAATTATTATTTATTTGGTTTTTTTTTTTTTTAGCATAAAACAAACATAGAAAAAGTTGTTTGTTCCAAAGAAGAAGTGAGCACTGCTGAAAGTAATAAGTTAGTAACAAATTTAAATGAAATTGATGTCAATGGAAGAAATGTTTTGCACTTACTTGCAATGGATGGTAATTTAAGTGTACTCGAAGAGCTATTAAACACGCATCCTAATGTCGACTTGGAAATTAGTGATAACAATGGACAAACTCCACTTAATATAGCTGCACGCCATGGCTACTTAGAAATAGTAGAGGTAGGAGTATAAGTAACTTATTAAAATATATTCAAACTTCACCACTATTAACTCAAATTTCAAGGGTGATAAAAGTTAATTTGACTAATGCTATTTACTAAAGTTTATATATCTAGAATTTTTTTTCAAAAATAAAAAAACATTCGAGTTGGCAGTTTATTATGTTTTTATTAATCATTACAATCATGACCGGATTAGATAATTATACATTAGTTTATGATGTCAAATATTGTATTGAAGGTTTAGGATTTTTCATGAGTTCAGAAAGAAATTTTAGACTTTCGAATTATTGAGACTTAATTGTATATACCTATTTCTATGTAATCATTTTGAAATAAAAACATTTTTAGCTTCTCTTAAAACACAAATGCAAAGTTGACCATGCAGATGTTGAAGGATGGACAGCACTCAGAGCTGCTGCATGGGGAGGCCATTCACAAGTAATAATCAAATTCAAATTATTTTGTTCAATATAATTTCCTTAATCTTTATAGGTTGATATATATATATATATCAATTTTTCATTGCTGGCAGGTCCGCTCACCCCTCAACGCTCTCCATACCAAAAACGTTAATGATATACTACAATTTGAAAAAAAAAATTTCAGGTGCTTGAGGTGTTGTTGAAACACGGAGCGGATGTAGAATGCTGTGATAGTGAAGGTCGTGGAGCCCTAAGAGCAGCTGCCTGGGGTGGTCACGATGATGTTGTAGCAAAATTACTTGAAGCTGGTGCAAATGCCAACACAAAAGATGGAGACGGTAGGACTCCTTTAATCGCTGCAGCGTATATGGGACACGCTCATATTGTAACTAGGTTGTTGGATAATGGAGCAAATATTAATCATCACGACAGCGATGGCCGTACTGCTTTAAGTGTTGCTGCCTTGTGTGCACCAACTAACGAGGGATACGCAAAGGTCGTTACCATATTATTGGATTATGGGGCATTTGTTGACCATGAAGACAAAGACGGAATGACTCCATTACTTGTCGCAGCATTTGAAGGCCATAGGTATATATGTTTCTCTTAGAAAATAACCCCAGCAATTTAATTTCCTAGAAACTAAACTTAGAAAATAAACTGTACAAATAAATAAACCTCAAGTTATTAACCACTCTTGGTAATATTGTAGTTTTTTGTTGATAAAATATAATATAGATTAAAAATATTATATAGTATAGAAGAACAACGCTCGTGTATGGATTTGTTGCTGGGTTTTTTTTTTTTATTTCGTAAGAGTTTTGCTGTGAACTCTAGAAATGCAGATAATATTATTCTATACTTTACCTAACTATGGTTTAAGAGTAAAATGTATATTTTGATATCTATGGTTAAGCTAAAACCCAATTTCAATAGGTATATGTTTTACGCTGTTTTTACCTATTAGACATGATCAAATGATTAAGTATTCCTTATTTTAAGAAGACGCTACCCATCCATTTATTAAGTAGTGAAGTATATGCAAATTTTCGCAAAATCTTAATTTCGATTTTGGAGCATAAACTTTAGGATATACTTTATTAATACAGTACCTAATGAGAATTCTTTATTGATTATTACTTTTTTTGACTGACTTCACAGTCATTTCTATAGACAAAATTAGAATTATTTTCTATCAAAATAAATTTGTGTGAATCAAAACCAAATTGTTTGGGATTGTTGTTAAATTACTAAATTTTCACTAACTACTATAAATTTAGAGGAAAACATTATCTGTGTTTAGACGTTTTTAAATATTCAATTGAATAATCCTTCTAATTTTTCTGATTTAAGAAAATGAGTAACATGTTTCAGTAAAATACTCTGGTAACATTAATTCATTCACATCAGCAGCTTTACCATTCTTCAAGAAATTCAAAGCAGTTGAAGGCATTTTCAACAGAGATATTGAGTATTCTTTTTAATTGTTTTGTTTTGTGTAATAAATAAAAATAAAATAAAGAGCTTATCGAATAGTCATAGTTTACTTCACGGTATTTTTTCTTAATAACCCAGTTTGGTATGAAATAAAATTGAACAATATACTCGCAAATGCAAAATATTATTAACTTTATTGTTTTGATTTTCAGAGATGTTTGCGAAATTTTACTTGAAGCTGAAGCCGATGTAGACCATTGTGACAAGTTAGGTAGAACGCCATTATGGGCGGCTGCCTCGATGGGTCATCCTGATTGTGTTTCACTGCTATTGTTTTGGGGCTGTTATGTAGACAGCATAGATAATGAAGGGCGTACTGTTCTTAGTGTATCAGCCGCACAGGGAAACAATGTTGTCGTATCTCAGCTACTTGATAGAGGTAACCTCTTGCAAAATAACTATTATCTAGTATCCTTTTTAAGTTATATGTTATACAACACCAATTCTTTTTCTAAATAAAACATTTTTGTATAAAATTGTTAAATTATTTGTGTTTATTTATAGGGTTGGATGAACAGCATAGAGATAATTCTGGGTGGACCCCATTGCATTATGCTGCCTTTGAAGGGCATCAAGTTGTTTGTAGATCATTATTGGAGAGTGGAGCTAAAATTGACCAAACAGACAATGATGGAAAAACGCCATTGATGTTGGCATCTGAAGAGGGGCATTCAATACTTGTTAATGAGTTTTTAAAAGATTATGGAGCTCCCCCTGATCAAAAAGCTCATGATGGCCGCACCGCTATAAGGTATTTTGCTACTATTTTTAACCTTATTAACAACTCGTAGTTACCCTATATACCACTAATTATTTGATAAATAATTTTCATAAACAGATTAGCTGCATTAGAAGGCCATATTGAGGTAGTCAGGAGTTTATTGGAGTATGGTGCTGATGTAAACAAAAAAGATGCAGATGGACGAAGTACTCTTTATGTACTTTCGCTAGAAAATCATTTAGTCATGGCAAAATTTTTTGTTGATCCTGGTGGTGCAGATATTGAAAGTACAGATTTGGAGGTATATCATTTTTATACAATATTATGCTACAAACAATATTTATTCTCAAATCATTTAAATCTAATTATTAACATTTGAATAGTGTTTGTATAACCTTGGGACTAAATGTTTATAGGGTCGCACAGCATTACATGTGAGTTGTTGGCAAGGCCATTGTGAAATGGTTTCCTTACTGTTGACTCTTGGAAAAGCGAATTTAAACGCTTCAGACAATGAAAATAGGACTCCATTACATTTGGCTGCATGGCAAGGACATTCTGCTATCGTTAGACTATTGCTTGAGCGAGGAGCCAATATAGATCACGCTTGTAATCAAGGAGCAACTGCATTAGGTGTGTACAACAAAACTTCAAGAGGGGAAAAAAAAGCAATAAATATTGACCCAAAGATGTAATTAATAAAAATTATTATTTAGGCATAGCGTCTCAAGAAGGTAATGAGACATGTGTTCGATTGTTGTTGATGCAAGGAGCCAATCCATTAATTTCAGACCACTGTGGCCGCAATGCTATTAAAATTGCAGCCAAAAGTGGCCATGATAATATCGTTAAGCTATTGGAACAGTTTTGCCCTGTTAAAAATGAAAGTATGGATAATAGTTAAAATTTTTAAATAAAAAAAAAATGCACATTTATTAATTATTTTAAAAATTGAATTTAGACAATGGATGCAGTACTGTGAATACATCTTGCGGATCTGTCTCTACAACTGAAACAAAACCTTCCTCTGCAATATTAGCTAATTCATTATTGTCATGTGCATCTACAGCACCTATTCGTGAATCGTCTTCTCTCGAATCACCCGACTCTACAGCTAAACGAACATCATTTGTTTCCAACTACAGCAAATCAAGTTCTAATTTAACTGGCAGTACAAAAAGTTCCCATCAAGATCTACCAGCGCAAGTAAACAGTGAAAGCCTTTCTGGTTACTTATTGTATACATTTATTCATGCATGCTTTGTTTCAATTTTAGTTAGCACCGCTGACTTTCACACAAAAGTTGCAACAGTGTAGCCGTGGCTTAAAATCGAGACCTACATCTAAAGTTTTGAGTCCATTACAAAGTCCTATTTACGCTACACCGCCACATAGTCCCGAAGAAGAAGCTACAGCTCCTAGTCTTCAAGGTGAGAATAAAAGTTTTTTATTATGTATAGAAAACTTAAATGAATTACAAATCGTTTCAGTGTTGACCAATGACCATTTTTCACGAGACACTCACATGCGAATCATTCTTGGAAATAATGCAGTGTCAAAGAAAACCACAGGATCCAATTCAAAGTATGTTAAAAAAAATTTTGTTTTTAATATCTATAGTCTTAACAAAACAATTTTTTTACAGTAATAGTAAAAGTGCAGGAAATAATAAACAGAAACGTAATGGTATTGTGACTAATCCAGCGTCGAGGATAATACCAGCTATACGCAGCGGACTCGAAATGGCTGCCGGACGCAGAAATAAAACTCCTCATTTGCCAACAGATAGTTTTAAATGGCGTAAGGAAACGCCTTTGTAAATGTATTTATAAATGATATGTTAAGTGAGTTGTTTATTTTCGTTGTATATTTATTTGTATTATTCAAAAATAGTTTATGTCAAAAGGAAATTGGCGGTACATCTTTCTTATTTTGTTAAAAAAAAAAGGTTACACATATAAAATCAATCTCCTTACAGAGTATGAACGTTAATTTTAAATATATATTTAGTTTCTAAAACTGTGTTATATTTCACGGAACGTAGAAAAGTCAAGAGGTATTGTAAAGTCAATTTGATATAAATCAAAGAGAAAAATATATATTTTTATATTATTAAACTTTCCTTTATTAAAAATTCAATTTTAATACATAATAACATACTTCATAAACTGATTCTAAAATATTGTCGGCTTAAAATAGTTTAAACTGACTTAAGGCTAATCATTTTAAATTAAGCATTGAAACATATTTTTAACAAATTAATTAATTATACTAATCTTAGTTTCCAACAGAATTTAATTGTATCAAATTATGATCAAAATCATTAGGAATTAATGATAATGATGGATAGTAAAATTTTAGGTTATTTACTTTTTAGTTTGTAATTTATACAATAGCTCAAAAAATATTTGTTTGGATGATTTCATTGTCAAAATGATACTATTGTCTTTACTTTATTGTAAGTCTCGGTTATGACTGTCCAACTATAACTATTTCCAACTATATACTATTTTTTTGTAAACTGTTACCAACAAAGAGTTCGAATTATTCTGTATTGAAGCTTGTTAACTGGAATAATTTAATTTTGTTAGCGTTTATTTGATACACTTTTGTTTGCAGTTCACATAACAGTTGTTTGTACATCCAACGCGTAATGATTGTCAACCGAGGTAGTTAAATAATTGGTTTCTATATTATGAGGCTGATGATGTGTAATTTTATATGACTATAGGTATACTGAAATAGGTATAATATATTATCTTTGGTACAAATATTCTCGTATTAGCAATATCTACTTATGCAATATTATGCAAACAAAACAATATTTTTTTAGAAATTAGAATTTTTAACAAAAAACTAAAAACAAGTTTAGTATCGACAAATTACTATTAATTAATAAATTATTTGTTTTTGTATTAAGTATAAAAAAAAATATTAGAGAATATTTGTAATCATAGTTGTTTATTGTATCTTACAAGTAGGTATGTTTGTACTGATCCGAGTTAGAAAAAAGTTGATACAAAGAGTTATCAAAGCTATATACTTTTGTTGTAAGGCCAAATTTGTCTAAGGGCATTGTTTATAAATAATGTACATAAATTTGTTAATTTGTAGCAATAATTTAAAGGCTAAGCGAATGTTTGAAATAATTAGTATGAGTATAACCCAATTATACGCCTTCACTTAACATAATTAATGCACGAAATTTAATATTTATTTCCGTTTGAAAAGCAACCCATTTTTTTTTTACCTTGTAACATTTTCTTAAATTTAGTCTGCGACTAAAAAGCAATTCGATTTATACAATTGGAAATTGTTGTTTTATGTTTTACTTGGTATTTCCATGGCATATTTGACTCGTTTACAAAAAAAAAAAATTACTACCTCAAAAAAATGTTCTGCTAATGTACAATTTACCGTCTATTCTGTGATAACGGTACCGAATCTTTAATAAATTATTTTTATAAAATGTCTCATCAAAATGAAATTGCAATTTTTAAAAAAATGTTTAATCTACACGATCAGTTAGATTTTCCAACACTACAGGCAAGTGATGGGTATAGTTCTAATACACTCTCTTTTTGTGATAGCAAATAATCGAGCCACATATTACTGTAATTAAATCAATAATAGTATTATTCTAGTGGCCAATGAATCGCGAGTGCATTTTTTTTTACTTTTTATTAAACACGTTTGTCAATTTTGATGTAGTTATGTACTTTTCTATATTATATATGAATTGTAGGAGTAAGTTTTTTGTAGAACTTTTATTTTATTAAATGTGTATACCTTTTTTTTAATCTCATACATGTTAATAATGAACTCTATGAAGTATACTTCCATTTTTTATTTTTATTATTATTTAATTATAATAGAATAAACTATATGACCCAGTGTGGTGGTGTTCTGTTACAAAAACACAATTTTTATTACTTTTATACTATGACTAAACTACAGTGGCCCTGGTCCCTTAAAGTTATACTTTTTTATTTCTGATTAGAACACTAATTATAACTCTAGACAATAGTGTATACATCACATTGGTAGACCTTAATCATTATTTTTATATAATATATACAATAATCTAGTCTTTTTTTTTTTTTATAAAATACATGTGTCCTACCTAATTTTAAACTGATCCATTTCTTTGTTGTTTTTATGTATAATGTATAACTACAACATGACACTAACATACAAAACATTTTGAAGATTTTTTTTTTTTTCATGTAACTACTTTAAGTTTCTAGTCAACTAATTTGTACAATTCACAAAGGCGTGCATATTTATTATATCATATGTATAATTATCATTTATACCCAAGTATTGTACTGAGGCTCTCAAAGACCACCAACACTATTATTTTTTTTTTTTTAACGTATGTAAGTAATCATAAGAATGTTCAATCTGTGAAGTAGACTGATAGAATATAATATAGAAAGCAGGAACGCTAATATTGCTAAATTACAGAATAAAATAAATATTTTTTAAAAAAACATCTCTTAGTTTTGTTTTTTTTTCATTACCGATTTTGTCAGTTTATTTTGTTATAGCACAAAAGGAGTACACCAACTAGGTACTGGATATTAAAACGTTAATTTAGTAAACTAAAACGATTTACTGAGAAAAGATTATAGAATTATATTAAAAATCAAAACAATAATCAACCTTCTAATATTCTATATTCTTTATTGAACCGTAAGCACTAGTTAAAAAAGGAAAGTAAAAAATTGTTTACACAAACTTAAGCTTCCGATTTCCAACAAAAAACAAACAAACAGATATTTCAAATTTTTCTTATATGCTAAACTATCTTTAAGGTAATGTCATTTCTTAATCAACCTAAAAAATATTACAAAGGCGACGATCATCAGACCTTAATATTTTTTCTTCCAACTATGTTTTGTAAGATAAGTGTAAAACATTATACTATTTGTTGCCAATTAAATAATACATACTACGGGCTAATTTTTTTTTCTCAAAAAAAAAAACATTTGAATCTAAAATTTAATAAATATTTTATAAAGTAAGTTATCGTGTAGTATTTTTCATTTTGTTAAAAAAAGATGAATTTCAAGTGTTTGTTAAGCACTCGCATATACTTTTTTACATGACATATGTATATATATATTTCCGGAAACATTTAGGAAACCATCATATTTACCTGAAGGATTTAAAACTATCAAAAATGTAGTATTTGTTTGTAATAAATTAAAAACAGAACAAGAAGTTATGTGATAAACCCAATTAAGTGTGGATTTCTTTGGAAAATTTAAATAAATGCATTATTGAAACTAATAAAAATGCATCAGTGGTCGTACGACCAGCAATTAAATAATAAGTATGACTTTACAACACAAGACAGGGAATTTTAATGTAAAAACTAAACTATAAAAGCATCATTGGAGGATCTTCCAAGATCATCACCAAACGTGCACCTCACGAATTTCACTGATGATGTTATTTGCATTTTGTAAAGCCTAAAATCAGAAAATAAAAATAAAAGAATTTTTTTTGATTTAGTATTATACATTTTTTTAAGGAAAACGCAGAGCACTATTTATTAAGGGGCAAAAGATAGGCAATATATGACAAAAATTTATCTAGTAGCCATTTTAAATATGCCGACTAAATAAGTCGAAAAAATATAATGTTTTTCTAGTTATAAAGCTTTTAAAGTTATTATTCTTCGATTATGACGAAAGATTAATAAAAAATAAGTCATTTTCTGGCATATCGATAGATTTCAATTTTTTTTTTTTTTTATATATATATATATATATATATATATGAAGCTTACTATTTTCTCTATAGGAGCTAAAAGGTCGATTTTTAAATTAGCTATTAAAAAATTAGTTGGATTTACTAAAAAAAAACTATGGAAAATTAAAAATACGAACGCTTATAATAAAATTTTAAAAACAAAAATAAAAACCGACATTTCAGCCCCATAGAGAAAATATTTATAACAAACAATTTTGAAATCGGTTCGGTAGTCACTTCACGTTTTAGTCTTTATTTGTATATAATTTTGCGCTTTCCGTTTCCCTTAATACTAGATGGTAAGATACATACCTTGAGCATATCGACAGCGTCTTTTCGACGTTTAGATATATGTTCAGACTCATTGAGTAGTTCTTCTACTTGTTCGGATTTGTACAGATGTGTGACTAGCTCTGATTGTAAATTATTTTTAACAAAGTTCACTAAAAAGTGCATTATTGCCTTGGGCACGCTGTCTTGAATTGATTTTCTCACTATGTAGAAATATGATTTGATCAATCGCTCTAAAAACATTTTAAAAAAGAAAACAATTTAATTAAATTGAATTTACATATTATACATATATTTAGTTGAATTGAAAATTCTGACCTATAACATCGCAGTCACGCAATTCTTTCTCGGAAAGATTTCTATTAGAAGGGCTCTGTATATCCAAATTGTGGAAGCTATTTGCCACAGACGTAGTCAATAGCTCATTATGCCCAATGTGTACAGGCGTCGTGGCGGGTGATGATTCAATAGAATTCACTTCACTGTTAAAATCTTGTTGTTGTCTTGGAGTCCTTCTCATCGAACCAGTGCTTGTTACGCTCTGACAGACAATTCAAAGTGTTACACACAAGTCAGATAGTTTTTTATTCATTAAAAATTATTTTAGATTAACTTACATCTCGATCACAACCATTTACTGAAGCAGCGGCATTAAATTTTTTCAATGCTCGTTGTCTAGAAACTTCGTCTTCTTCTGCACTTTTCATCATTAACGATACCAATTCAGCATCCCTATGGAAATCTGGATGCTTAGTATTGATGTAGGCTAGTTCAATAGCAACCAAGTTTTCGACCTGAAATAGTTACAATAACATAGGAGTCAAAACAGGATAACCCGTAAAAAATGTAAATAATTTTCAGATAATAAAACCGAAATATGAAACCAAAAAAAACCTTTCCAGACACATGAACTAACCCAAAAATTAAAAATGCATAAAAACACCAGAATCTGTTGACCCATTATATTTTGACTTAAAGATTAAACCGTGTATTTTGTACGATCAACAAATGATATTATATTTGTAGACGGAACATGTATACAGTTTCAGCGGTATGTAGCACGGGGCACACTTAGATTTTACTGATACATAAGCACATTGAATTTCCATGTTGGGAAAACGGTCAAGCGGATTAAAAATAATTGATTACAGTGACCGTACTACTCAAACCTACCACCCTATGCTTTGTCCAGTAGTATAAGATCAACAAAAATATATTACTGACCATTGAGTTTGTTGTGGGTAAACGGCGGCGCAACAGTTGAGTTACAACGTCGACAATGCTTTCATGTAATTTTGGAAATCTGATCATTTCTTGTTGGGACTCTACACCGCAATGCTGAATCATGCGTTGCATTTCTTCGTGGACGAGTTCAACACATCGTAAGGAAGGCTCTTCCAGTCTGCGTATCTGCCTTTTGACCAACAGCTCAAAAGACACTTCAGGCACAAACAGAGCAGGTCTCGGACCTGTTGCATTTCGTATTGCAGTGAGGACATCCATTTTTGTAAGACCAGTCAGAGGATGGATAGAGTCCAAAACTTTTCCAAATGTCTCATGAAATATGTAACATATTCGAGCCCCACCGCACCTATATAGAAATACAATAAATGAGTATTAAACTAATTATAATTAAATGCATAAAATCACTTACAATTCAGTTGTTTCAATGTTTTTAGAAGTTCCATCAATAGTTGAACAATAAGCAGCTGCGAATTTAGTGATTATTTGCAACAAAGTCTGACTCTTATCTGACACGTCATCGCCAAATGAATACAAGAGTGATTGAAATTGTGAAACCATAACATTAACTCTAGTCTGAAATCACACATATTCAAATGTATGATTAATTTTCAACCAAAGAATACCACAGGTGTTTTTGCATTCATACAACAGGTATACTTACTTTCAAGTTCGGTAGGCAATCTCTAATATGGTGCATGAGAAGTCTGTTTAGGGTCTTGGTCAAGTAAGGTGTCCCATTACGATTAGCCAATGAAGGGTATTTTCGTTGTAAAAAAGTACCTTCATCTTTTAAAGCATTGATGATCGACTAAATCATCAAAATACAAAATATGAGTTTGGACATGATTCAATAACATTTTTACTTTTCATACACACTTTATTATCGTTAATGTCTTGTTGCGAGCGATTCACAACGCCAATTATACCAAGTTTAACTGGAATAACACGACCACATAATATATCGACAGCGTCAGTTCCTGTAAATAAATTTCAACGTAATATATAAATCAAATTAATAAGGAAAAATCTCTTCAATTATTCATACCAGCATCCATGAGATCGAGTTTTGTGATTACAGCTAATGTTCTTTTCCCTTCAGGATCGACTTCTTTGGCTAATTTAAGACTTTCACTAGTCGACATGTCTGTATTGGCAGTACTCACAGCTAAAATTATTGAATTTGGATTTTGAATGTATTTGATTACCAAATTTTTAACTTGCATTTCAATATCTTCTGGCTGATCACCCACAGGAACCTTTATAATAATGCGAATATTCAATTTACATTCTTAAAACGATTCATAATTATATTTTCAAATTTGACAGTACTTTTGTGATGCCAGGCAAGTCTACCATGGACAAGTTCAGAACGTGTATAGAGTATATTTTCAAGCTGATGGGTTCAGGGCATATTCCTTTATTGCTACCAGCTACTCTGTTCGTTTCAGCTTGGATTTCTTCGCGTATTTCGGAAAAATCCTTGAACACTTTGTTTTTACAATGGAGAAACTCGCCCCATTCTTCTAAATTTGCTGTACCTGTATGAAATACATTTTAAGTTTAAAACAACTATAGTTAATCAACTTTTTGCTACAAGAAAAATTATTTATATGTACACTTTGCTACAGTATATGTATATGTATAATAACCAACTAATATCGTACCATTTTCAGCACTTCTATGTTCCTTGTCGCTTAGTGGGCAATTAACCAACTGCAAAATCAAAGGACACCTGGTGACTATTCCAATGCCTCTGGGTAAAAATGATCTTCCGACAATACTTTCTATCACTGAACTTTTTCCAGAACTCTAAACAAATAATTTTTAACATTATTAAAACAATCATGTAAATTTAAAAAGTTTCGCACTTCATCAATCATAGAAATTAACATCTAATAAAAATGCATATTTTAGCTTATTGGTACAACAAATTTTCATTATTGTATAAAATATACGTACATATATTTTTTTTAATGCGTGTTTTTTCATAAGCATTTCATAATAATTTTTTCTACTAGTTCAGTTAAGTAATTAAGTAGTTTTGAACCATAAATACTATTTAAGGTAAGTTAATTAGACATATTGGTAGTTCAAACACATATTATAAATTGTATAACAGTTACACACTACATAAAAAAATATATATTAACAGTCAATTTGTGAACTATTTTAATGAACCAACTAGATAAAAACAGTATAAAGTCATTAACTAATTTACTTGTTAGCTTTTGTTTTGCATCTAGCTAGTTATTTTACAAAGAATTAAAAAATAGATTGACATTATAACAAAAATATGTTGTTTTTTTTTATTAATAAACTTTTAAGTTTAAAAGATCAATACGACAATCACACCTAACAAAAAAAAAAAAACGAGTTGGGTAAAGAATAGTATTTTCTGAGTAAGTACTTTGGACTTATTAGTATTATCAATTCTTTATCTAGTATTAAATAAAGTTGGTCTCTGCCTACTAATAATCAATACAATAATTGTTTATGAGTTATGTAAAGAAAAAATGTCTTACAAAAAAGAAACAGTTTTTGTAGTTAAAGTTGAAATGAAATTAAGTTATAATGTTGAATATAGAAAATTCCTAAGTAGTTAAATTTTAAATTGTTAATATAATAAATGTTGTTAAAAAAAAATATTAAATAATAAAATATTTTTAAAAAAAATCTTAACCACAAAATGAAATACACTTTAGCGTATACACGTATTTCGGCAGTAACAACAGACAAACAATGTCTGGTAACATTGTTGTTGAATTACGCATAAACACTAAAGTGTATTATTTTTTGTAGTCGAGGTTTTTTTTAATATTAAATTATTTTATTTCTTTACGATAAATAACAACGAGTGTAGCTTAAGTTTTAACCAGAATGTTTTATAATATCACCAAGTACCTTCATAAAGTTACATTCATATTCATAACATATGGACAGCCAATAAGGTTGTTAATCATTGACGCGTACACGTAATATTTCCATATTACGCATCAATTTATAGTATTGACAATGTAAATTACGACAATTTATATTTTTGTTATAAAATTAAACTCTTGTATTGTCTACAATATATATTTAATACAGAATAATTAGTGAAAGGATGACAAACCTGTGAACCAATAACCACTATTTGCGGGAGCTGTATAGCGTCATAGCCAACGGTGTTGAAGACGTCTTGTAATCGATTGATTACCGGAATCAATGCTTCCATCCTTATCGGTGTGAGTCCGCTAGCGGACGGTTTGTAACGAGTCTAAATTAAAACTGAGCTTAACGGGCTAAGTCAATATGTGCAATACAATGTGTATGTGTAATAATTTTTTTTCTTTTTTACGCCCGTTGTGAAATTAAACGGAAACCGCAATCATGCACGTACTTGTTACTAGGCCGCTAATGTAAAGCAACAACGGTGTTTGCGACAAACAGGAACTGTTTCTTTTTCTTCGGAATAATTCAAACGATGCCCAGCAATTAGATTTTGTAACAGCCAGTCGGAGGGGACAACAATGGATAAAAATTGTGCAGTTTAAGGGGAAAACAACGACTGGAGGTGCATTCTGTGATAACGATAAAGATTTTTTTTTTCTGGGCTTTTTACTCATGGCGTATTTCTCTATACTCTAGCCGCAGCTGTTTGTTACCGCGGTATAGGTGAGCTAGATGAATCGATAACCAGTCCGTGTTGATAACTCATCTGAATTCTGCTTCAGGTGATAAGAAATTATCTACCATAATATGATAATCATTATTTGTTATTACTTATTTATTATTTATTAATCGAAATTCGAATATTGATTGTTTATTTCGGTACAATTATTATATAACACTATTTTCATCAATTATTCATGTAATTTAGACTTTAGACGGACTAATAATCATTATATTGACCCGTTGTAGTATCATTCGTGGCAATGTTAGGCCTTAAAAATGACTATGATGCGGATTTGAATTTGTCCTTAAAATTTTATCAGTATGTTAGTTCGATTATCCTGATGAACTGATTAAAATTTGAAGGTAATTGGATAATATTAGGTAATTGAGTTTCATTTAATAGGAATTTTTCTCACAATGTTTTTAACCTAGCCGTCTGAAATGTACACAGTTTATGTGGTTGGCACTTAGCCAAGTTATTGCTGTTATCCATCGAAATTATCTTTTGATAGTAATGATTTTTTTTTTTGGTTATATTAACATGACCACCAATAGTCTTTAAATAATACAAATTTCTTAAAAAAATTTTTTGGGATTTTGAGAACGTTATGTGCCATTGGATTAGGCAGCGGTTTTTTCTATATTCCTCGTTTGAAATTATTTTACAAAGAAATGTAAGAAATTTAAAAGTATTTTTTAATTTGTTTAAACTGTAGGTACTAAATGTTTTATTTTCAAACAGATAACAATTTTTATAAACATATATATATTTTCTTTACAAATAATTTGTTTTTGTGACTTTTTTCCGAAAACAGATTTATAAATAAAATTGTAGTACTGACTAAAAACTACTGAAATACTAATAAAATATCATTATTTCAGAGCTGCTATAGTCTGACACTTTTTTTAATGATCAAATATCAAACTTGATAAATTAAACTATGATCAATTTACTGACATACAACCGAGTACCTAATAATTTTACGACAATATTCTTAAAATTGACTCGATTAGTAACGTTTAATACCATATTCAACTAAATTGGAAAATGGAAAGCAAAAATAATTTTTTAAGAAAGTATGAGTAAGCTTGAAGACATTTACCAGGTATAAATAACAGTAATACATATGTATAACAGGCAATAATAAAAATAATAATGATATTAGGCAAAATAATAAATATTACAAAATATTTACATAGGTTTTTAATTTAGATTATCTATCTAATTTTGATAGGTATGGTAATGTATACTATAAAGAAAGTCACGACCAACGTCTTTATTCTTAGAGACAAGTTGAAAATTATATTTTGTATAATAAAATATATAGGTGTGAGACTATATCATAAGTACTATATTATAATACTATATTTTAAGTAGGTAGTACATTTTGTGCTAGTATGTGATAAAAAACCACTAATGGATAGCATTATATCAATCATTCCGGGCTTGCAGTTCATCGGTTAGAAAAATATGTTATGTAATTATTTTATATATTATGTAAACGAGTTATTTTTTTACAAGGCATGTCGTACTAGAAATTAATATTCTCTATAATTATCCTACAACAGTAAATTTACAACAAAAAAATAAGTACTGAGTAAAATCCCTTCGTGTATAGAAATATAACATTGATAATTTGGCAAACAATTTATTTTTTACATTTTTGAATTCTTAATTATAATTTTAAGTTTATTAATTTTCAAGCACGTCACAATTACATACATTGAAAAGTACAAACACCAATTAAATCGATTATTCTATTTGTATAAGCAAATACAAGAGCAGTGACTAGTTTCTTGATATATTATAGGATAAACACAAATGCGTGAACGATGTCAGCAATCAGATAATATTATTTTAGTCATAGAATATTGTTTTTGACGACTATTTGTTTATATTTAGATTTTAAACAAGGAGTGAACATTTGAAACGGACCAATGCCTTTCTCAGCTGGATATTTTTTTTAAAACAAAAATATTATCTCATACAGTCTTTCATTAGTATTTACTAAAGGAGAATAGACATTAGTCATTACTCATTACTAGGCTAGGACCGATACAATTTTCAACTATACTGGACACATAGCGGCCCAATTTACGGTTACTTGTAAAAATAACAAATTAGCCACAATAATAAAAATTTGAGTATATAATTCATAAAACGGCATAAAAAATGATTGAGTAATCTACAATACTACTTCACATAACATAACTAAACTGATCTCCGGCCAATAGCCCCTTTAGCTTACCAAACATTTTGATCCAAAATGATCATAATGTAGTAATATTCATTTGCACATAAGGTAAAAAATAATTACAATTCTGAAAATCGAATTCTAACAAAACACGGCAAAACAACACTTTTCCAACGGTAAACAACGTATGTACTTTGTTATGTTCATTGAAAACTTCATCGCATTTGAAATACCAATGCATTATTTATGATATTATTTACATGATAAAATGTTGTATTTCTCAATTATTAACTTCATGGGGAAAAAACGGGTAAATATCGAATTTGAACTTTTAATTTTAAAAAACGGTTGAAAATTGATTATTAATTAAAATTCATAACAACGTGTATCTGAGTACAAGTATATAAACTCACAACAAATTTAAAATTTGCTTGAGGCCAACGGTGATGACCTCGGCACAGGGAACCAGTGAGTACAGTGGGATGCAATTGGACAAATAACGGGTGACGGTCAGCCGATGTGATTTCAAGCCTAAGTCCACAGGTGATCTGAGTACACTATAGACGCGTCAATCGAATTTCGTTAGCATTAGCGTTTTCATCTCGTTGAACGTCTCACTGAATTCGGTCAAGTGCGCTTTCATATTGCTGGCCGTTGAATTGAAGTCGCATCCGCCGTCATCGACAGGCGTGTGGTACCAACTATCACCAGTACTGCATTGTGTCGATTCCACTTCCTCGGTCAACACTTCCGCATGCTTGGCCAGTACCGAAGTAAACGAGTCGGTCTGTTGATCGCATGATTCCTGGTCGGTCGGCGACTTGAATTCGGCCAGCTGCTTTTTCAGCTGTTTCACTTGTCGCGCGCGCTCTTCGGCGGCGCGTCTCAGCTCGCACATCTCCTGCGCCATCGAGTGCATTTTTCTGTCGCGCTGTTTCAGCTCGCCGACGAACTGTTGCCGTTCGGCCGCGTTTTTCTGCGCCGTCATTTGGGCCGTTTGTTCGGCCCGCTTGGTCGCCTGCTGCTGCTGGGTCAACGCTGACTCCAACCGCATGATGGCCTTCGTCTGCTCGTCCGCCCGGCACCTGAGCTTTTCCCCTTCGGCGTGCGCGTCGCAGTACTGCTTGTTGACCGCTATAAGCTCTTTGCCAACCGTCTCCACTTCGGCCTTCAGCTCGCATATCTCTTCGTCGGTCTTGCATTTCTCTTGTGCACGCGTCGCCCGCAGCTCTTCGATCATCCTCTTCAGCCGGCCCATCCGCTCGGCTTGCGCGTCCAGCTTTTGTTGTCGGTCCGCCAGTAAGCACTTGGCCTCGGCCTCGTTGGCCGTTTTCGAGCTCAACTGACACCGGAGGCCGGTCAGCTCCGTCTGCATTTTTGACACGTTGCTCTCCATTTCCGTTTTTAGCTCGGCCATGGCCGACCTCAGACACGTGTTCTGCGCCTGAGCCTCCTCCACTTTCCTGTCCATTTCAGCCCGTTCCGCCTTGTTGTCGGCTAGCGCTTTTTGCAGCGACCTGTCCGCCTCCTCCAGCCGGTCACACATCCGCTTGCCGCTCTCCACCAGTTCCGCTATCTTCTTGTGCAGCTTGCACGTCTGTGCCTTGAGGTCCGATCTGGCGCCCTCCAACTCCTTGATGACGCCCTCCTGTTTCTGGAACTTGCATCTGACGGCATCCAGTTCACACCGGAGCCTGTCGGTTTCCCGCTGGCTCTTGCTCAACAGTTCCTTGTGCGATTCTAGCTCGCGGCGAGCGCTCTCGTGAGTCGATATCAGCTCGAGCATGCTCTCGGACTGCTTGCGGATAACATAATCCATCCACTCGTCGGCTTTGCTCATTTTTTCCTCCAGGCAGTCTCGGCTGGCCTTCATGTTGTCGAATTCGCACAACATCTGCTCCAGTTCCCGGATTCGTTCTTCCGCCTTGGCCAACTGACATTTCAAGTTTTCTTGGTTTTCGGTCATTATCACGTCATTTGCTTACGAATTTTTGATATTTAGAGATTCTCAATTATACTTGATGATTTCGTGTATAGTAAAAAATGATGTATTACAACTGAAATTTAAATTAACAACAAAAACCGTTTCCATGTTTTCAAGTCGCCCTGGAGTTGTTTGTAGCCAGGTGTAGGTTAAGATCGACGAATGCTGTTTTGTGATAGAATTACAACTTCAATGTGTAGAAGGAACGCGTTCATAGCAACGAAACTAGACGCTTGATCATTTTCGAATCTATCCACGAAGCCGTTAGTTAGCTGACGTTTCAAACCCATTGCAGGGTCCATCTTTAGACATAGTCACCGATTCATAGATCCGTAAATGATCAAGTTAATAGTTCAATCCATGAAAATTGTTTAATTACAGTTTGTTCATTTACAGAAATTAGACGTGTTGTGAAATTATGAAGACATCAAGTTTTTATTTGAAATAATAACATGATATTGTCTCTTATACATTATTATATATTAATACTATGATACGAGTAGGCACAATATTTTAAATTGTTTGTAAATAGTCTCACAGTGTATGCGCAGTAGCCTATAGGTCAAGGCTATAAATTACTGTGGTTCAAAGGAGAAATCGTTCATGTACTAATAAAAAAGCAATGGTGTTTGATGTTTTAAGTATGCGAGTTTAGGTCGGACGCTGTATAGATATATTTTTAGTTTATATATGTAAGCATAATAACAACCAATAAAGATCCCTCCAAAATAGAATAGCAGCTTGTGTAAAACAATACTTTTCCTACAATAATAAATTACAAAAATAGACCACAAACAAAATAATGAATATGTAGCAAGTTAAAGTAAGCTTTTTGGAAATCGTTTCAATTTTGGCCGTCACCTCGCACAACTTTTCTTCCCTCGATTCCGATTCCCTTAGCGCACACGACATCCGCTCCTCTTCTATCATGTCGAATTCGCACAACATCTGCTCCAGCTCCCGGATTCGTTCTTCCGCCTTGGCCAACTGACATTTCAAGTTTTCGGTCATTATCACGTCATTTGCTTACGAACTTTTGATAATTAGAGATTATCAATTATACTTGATGATTTCGTGTTTAGCAAAAAATAATGTATTACAACTGAAATTTAAATTAACAACAAAAACCGTTTCTATGTTTTACAAGTCACCCTGGAGTTGTTTGTAGCCAGGTGTAGGTTAAGATCGACGACTGCTGTTTTGTGATAGAATTACCACTTCAATGTGTAGAAGGAACGCGTTCATAGCAACGAAACTAGACGCTTGATCATTTTCGAATCTATCCACGAAGCCGTTAGTTGGCTCACGTTTCAAACCCATTGCAGGGTCCATTTTTAGAGACATAGTCATCGTCGATTCATAGATCCGAAAATGATCAAGTTAATAGTACAATCCATGAAAATTATTTAAAACATTTATAGAAATTAGACGTGTTGGGTTTTGCAGATGATCGGTTAACTGTTAACGGCAAAAAGGACAGTGAATTATGAAGACCATATCGGGGAAGGACGTCTGATGTATCCTGACCTACCTGATCTTAAATTAGAGAGGAGAAGTGACACCGTGTATGTGCAGTAGCCTATAGGTCAAGGCTATAAATTAATATGGTTTAAAGGAGATCCGTTCGTGTACTCATAAATTGCATCAATAAAAAAACAGTTGTGTTTTGACGTCTAAAATATGCGAATTTAGGTCAGATATATTTTTGGTTAATATATGTAAGCATAATAATAACCAATAAAGATTCTTCCAAACTAAAATAGCAGCTTGTGTAAAACAATACTTTTCCTACAAATTTACATGTACACTATAAATTAAAAACGATGTTAACTTACACTGTACTCAACTGATTATCTAAACATTGAAAACACACTGAAATTCTGAGTACCAAACCAGAATTTAGAATTTAGGTAGTAATATAAAAAATTGTGCTCCAATTATTCTCACTTAAAGTCTTACGATTAACTAATAATAATTTTACTATAATCTTACCTATTACTAACACAATTCTTAATTCTTTTTTTAAAATTTAGATTTAAAAAAAAACATTATTTAAATAAAATATCTTTGAAACAATAGGACGTGTATAATAGAAATATAAAAAATGAGAAGCGTGTTTATTGTTTTTTTCTACTTCTATTCAAATGTGTTAGAGTGGAATCAGATTCGATCGAATGCACACGCCGAATTCTAAGTTTCGGAAAAAAAAAACAATAAAAAAAGTGATTTAGTAATGCCCCAATAATTCACTATAGTGAAATGGACACACGGATTTAATTTTATGTTTCCTGAAAAACAATTGATTTTTGTGAGGGAAAGCCACTTTATATAGATAGTCTTTTACTTTATTCTAGCCAGTAACATCTTAATTTCCCACGGAACGGTAAATTAGTAGACTTTAGTCTATAACCAAGTTAAAATAAATAACAGTTGTATAAACTTTTCTTTATCGAACAGCGGACTACAGGAACGTCTTTGACTATATTTTTATTGTAGTCACAAATATTATATATTAAAAAAAACAAACCAAACTTAAAAAAAAAAAAAAGATAAAAAACGAAATTAGGTTAACGGCACCAGTACTACCCCAATTTTTGGCAATACTGGGTTTTTTTTATATCAGATAGAATATTAAGATATTTTATACCGCTGAAATGAATTTTGTATACAAAGTTCATTAAACAAAATGCAAAATATGTAAAAAAAAATTATCTGATATAAAAAAACACTGCATTGCCAAAAGTTGGATTATAGTGCCAATCACTGGTGCCGTTAACCTATTTAAGAAATTTATTTTTATTTAAATGTAAATTCTGTTAGCTGTGGTACCTGTTACAAATAAAGTAATTAGGGCCTCTGGATACCAGCCATTTTTAAGGAGTTTTGTATAGGCAATATTTAAGAAAAAAGTGGTTTTAATTAATATACCGGTTAATTTGTATAAGCTTCATGATATTATTTTTAATTTAAATCATTTTTTCTGTGAGTATAAGCCATTATTAGCCATTTTTTTATAAAAGTACATTTTTTGTTCATCGCACAGGCTGAACCAGTGATCTTGATAAGTAACTTGAAAACAAATTTGAATTCGTCATGAAGTTTAATAACAAACTTAATTATTTAGACTTCACAATAATAACAAAATAACTTCTTTTCTTACTTAGATTTTGAAAATTACTAATTTAAATCGATAATGGAAAAGTTAATATTTAATTTGTTTTTTTATGACAGTAACTAGCAATTGGCAGGACCAGTTAAATTGGCTTGGAGTAATTATTATTGTCCCTGAACCGTTTCGTTTCATAACCATGGTTCACACTCAACAGTAGAGTAGTAACAGTAGTAACCACGGATTTAAATATAATTGGAATGACCCGTGACTGCTTTCCAAACGTTTAATTTGTTCAGGTCCATACCATTGTGGAATTTGCCAACATTATTGTGAAGTCAATCGGTCGGTCGTTGCCCGTTGGTCGCCATTTCTTATACTGAGCCATCGGATGAAGTAAAATTAAACTTTGGTCAATTCTTTATGTATATTTTTGCTAAGGAAATAAAAGCTCAGAGATAGAACAAACATGTTATTGGCATGTACTTGGATTTATTATTTTATCGTTTACATGTTACTTCAATCGTTCTACTGTTCTACTACATCTTATCCATTGCCGTGGAAATATGACCGTTGACAATTCCGGTCATACCTTTTCTTACGGTCTGATATGTTTTACGAAATGAATAGGTATGACATTTCCTGTGAATTGTTTGTGTTTCGTTATTTCGAAATAAAACGTCCGCGCTTACAATTATATAGTAGGTAGCTATGCATTAAATTTAATACATGACATAATGTACTTGAGCATATTATTTTGTTTTATGTACAATATTTACTAACATGCAACTAATATTTGGACAAATTCATAACCAATTTAATAATTATTTAACAATTAAATTTTTCGAGTGTTTAGAAATCGACGCCCACTGCAAACCAAAAGTTTGAAATGAAAGAGGAACGGAAAGCGCTATTTATTAAGGGGCAAAGGATAATTTTAAGGAGAAAGGAGAAGGGCTAATTTTAAGGAGAAAAATATTAAGTTTTTCAAGTTTTTAAAGTTATTTTTTTTCGAGTTATGGTGAAAGTTTGTAAAAGTCATTTTCTGGTGTATCTGTTGGACGGATTTAAATTTTTGTCAGTTTACAAATTTGAAGGACCATACACCAGCCTAGTGATTATCAAATTATATAAATACCAACCACTAAATGAGGGGCTGGGGAAGTGGAGATCCCTTAAATCTTCTTAAAGCTCCCTCAGAATTTCAATAAAAATGTTAAACGTCCTATCCTATGTCCGATCGATTGCTGACATTTTTTAAAAGTTTAAAAGTGGTTTAGAAGGATTTTCATTCCGCCTACCTCTTCTAATGGCACCAATTTATATTTGTCTGTTATATTATATTATCTACATCTTATCTGTTTGGGTAATTTTAAAACTAAGAGAGGAAGACGTGCGAGTACGGCGACTTCTTGCTACGGGATACTGACGGTACAATAATATATCATGTCTTCTAGTGGAAATTTTTTTGATTCTTCGGCCACCATCTCATTGGTTTCGCGTTACTGTTTATTTTTCTTGGCCTCTACCACAGTCATACCGTAGGCGGAAATCTAAAAAAATACTTTTGTATTATACTCTTTTGCCGTCGATATCGGGAAATTCATTCGTCACGGCAATTCCCCATTACATCGTCGTATACACCTTTTTATAAATATATATATATATACATACACAGTAATGCATATTTTATTCTGCTACTGTAGTACACATTATTTCGGTCACCGTCGCGTCGTATAGTCGTCGTTGTCACTGCCAGGATTCGAACCTGCGCGGTTAGGTCTTCTGCAGAACACACACGCACACAAACGGTAGACTTATTATATTATTTTTTTATAAATGCACGTGTGATTATACATAACGCCTGTGTACA